CATAAACATTGAAGAATAATGAAACAAAATGGTATGAAAAGTTTGACTGATAAGAGAGGCCGTTAACCATATCATTATGAATCACCAATGTTACAAACTTGATGATTTTAATGGAATAAGGACAACAAACACATCTTCCTCATGTCAAAGTATAGCAACCTCAGAAGCTTTGTAAATATTATTAATATGGCAAATCAGAGTTTGCAATTCCACATTGACCAGCTTCTCATTTTGGTGATAGTGCATCGATCATGCAAGTCTAATCAGAACTTTGGTATATGCATAGCTTTCTTCTGTATCCAGACCTCTCTATTTTTGATGTCAACAGAGTGCTTTTTTACTTTTGTACCATTTGTATGTATCATTTGGAGCAAGTGGTTCCATTGATAGGACTCAAAGTGTCTAAAATTTTAGATTAAATTTTCTATTCCCAAAACAGGTAAGTTTTTGTACACTAGGACCACAATGTACCAAATATAAAAGAGCAAACGTTATCCCATTTTAGAAAAAAAGACACATAAGCTAATAAGATATGGGCTATGGTGAAGCTTCTTTCTAGGTACGCGCGTAGCCATTGAAGACTTGTTCTTTCACAACACTTGGCACCATTCTTTTAAAACATAAACAAACAAAGGAATAGTAAGGTAACAATTGAAAAAAAAGCTCAATAGGTGCATATGATGATGGTGATCAACACCCTACTTTTAAGCCTCACAGTAGCATCCCACATGTTCACCAAAAACGTGGTGAAAGGCATGCTTTTCATACCACTTCCCCCAATAATTGGTGAAAGCAAAGTAATAAGATAAGGGGTTTGTTTCTCTAAGGTTGAGCCTCCTAGTTTTCAAACACCTGGGCGAATCTTAAAAACATTAGCTATCATGATTCTAAAGAATGCTACATGACCCACCACTTGCCCTTTGAGTCACTTAATAAGAAAAATTTAACTAGAGAAAAACATATAGGATTAGTATACAGTTCAATTATTTGCCTTCTGATCTGAATTCACATTGGTTGGTTTTAAAGAATAAAGAAATTTTCGCTTATTTCACACCTTGAGATAGGAAAATATTTAATAAATACCTTTTTATCAAAAGAGATAAAAATAAAAGCGAAAAATAATAAATGCCATAAGTGATATGACTTGACAAAAAGAGAAAAATAAGAGATGTCATATGAATGATGTCACTGTTAAAATCTTTATAAATCAGAATTATTTGACAAATTTCAAACCATCAACACTTTAGATGGGGATAACTACACCTCTTGTTAGAAGAAGGGACAATTATTGCACAGTTAGGCCACTACTTTGACTAGAGATAAACTTTACCTTAGACTGCTTTTGCTGTCATTGTTGTTATCATTATTAAGACATCATTATCCCATATGGGCAGAGCACATTGTGAAAATGAAGACTCTGTAGTGTACCTATCCGTGTTATTTCTCTCCCTTTTGCACATTTAATGTGAATGCCAAAAAAATTTGAAATTTCAACTCTAAATATTAATCCAAAATAATATGTGGTGTATTATCTATCACGAAAAAGTGTACAGGCGTAACAGTGCATATTTAATTTTGATATGTACATGATGTATTGGATCACGCACTACAAACAAAAGAAGATATGAGCATGATGTAATACTATATGGAATAGAAATAACAGAATACATGTTTAGATTTTTTTCTTTTCATTTTTACTAAAAGAACAAGGTCCACTAAACTTTGGGGAGGTGCCACGTCTGCATATTCTTAAGGGTTCTAAGATGTATATATACACACACAGATAGGGCAATGGGCATTGAAAGCTCATAGAAGCTAGCTCAAGTAAGAAGAAGAAAGGATATATATAAATATATATTATTAATCTTCTTTATCTTTTCCTTACTATAGATATTCTAATCAGATAGACTACTATGTCTCTAAAGATAGCAGCCGAAAGTTATCCAAAACCACCATCAGAGACAGTGGAGGAGCCATTGGTGGTGGTAAGAGACTATGATGAAGAGAGACACAAGATAGCAATAGAGAAACTGGAGAGACTTTGTGAGATTGGGCAGAGAGGAAAGCCATCTCTTGTCACTGACCTCATGGGTGACCCCATATGCCGTATCCGTCACTTTCAATTGCATGTCATGCTGGTAACTAGTTACAAATCTAATTCAACTTTTTTCAGTTTAGCATTATCTTAACTTGAATTGCATAACAAAATATTGTTATTGTATCAACAGTCTAGCTATTGCAGAATTATTATAATATTCATAGTTTAACAATTTGAAATTGTTTGATAATTGGAATGAATTCCTTGTAAACTTGGATTTATACACGTTCTTGCTTTTGGACTAAGCTAATCAATATTAGATTTTTTGGCTTAAACAGGTTGCTGAATATGGAGAAGAAGGAGAAGTTGTTGGGGTGATAAGGGGGTGTGTAAAAACAGTTACAAGAAGGAATTCAGTTTATGTAAAACTGGCCTATCTTTTGGGGCTCAGAGTCTCCCCAAGACACAGGTTCTATTCCACTTTGCTCATATGTTTTTGGTTTACTTCCATCTGTTTCTGCATTGCACATTGTCTAAAAGCATCGAAGGAATTCAGGAAAACTTGGCAGTTGGTACTCTTGATTGGTCCTTTGGATGTTAATGTGCATGCGTTTCAGACAAATACCAAAAGCAAGAGTCATAATCAGTTCTGAGTTCTTCTCTATTCTATCCTACTCCACTAAAGCAAAAGTCAGTTCAGAAACTTTTTGCTTCTGTTTTGTTTGCCATTGCTAACTCCTCTTTCGGTCCCTTTCTCTACAAGTTGCTGTGTGCTTTCTTGGCCCTAATCTCATTCAAACCTTATAAAATAAGGGAAACAGAAAAATCAGAAAAAGAAGTGGTGGAGGATTAGATTCTAAGAAAAAGATAAGGCAATGTTCCTCGTATCATGGAAAGGTGAAAAAAAGTATACTTAAGCTAGCCTGTCATTGACACTTGTGTGATGTATCCACCAAGGCTACTTTACAAAGAAACTAGCATTTGGATATGATGTCTTATTCTTATTTTCAACCATCTCTCTGAATTTCGTACAAAGTTCTTCATCTAAACAGCAAGGTCCACACAAACCTTACTTTTTTCCGTTCAGTTCAAATATTCCTTATGATCCACCTCTAGTGCTCTTCATTCTAATCTCTGTTTGATTACTTTTAATTATATATCTAATTCTAGATAAGAGTAAAATAAAATAAAGCTCGAGGGCCAAAAGCAGTAGCTATATATGTTTTGATCCTTGATGAGGCAACAATATGTAAAAAGCTTATCTTGGCATATGCAGGAGATTTGGCATTGGCACAAAACTAGTTGAACATTTAGAAGAGTGGTGCAAACAAAAAGGGGCTAAGTATGCATATATGGCTACTGATTGTACAAATGAGCCTTCCATCAATTTATTCACAAAAAAATGTGGGTACTCAAAGTTCAGGACTCTAACCATACTAGTCCAACCTGTACACGCTCACTACAAGCCAATTAGCTCTAGCGTTGCTGTGCTTCACCTTCCACCACGCCTAGCTGTGTCTATGTATAACCATATATTTGCCAATTCAGAATTTTACCCTAAAGACATAGACTTAATTTTGTCAAATAAGCTGAATTTGGGCACTTTCATGGCCATGCCCAAGAAGTACCTGTCCAAATTTGATCCAAAAAGGGGCATTCTACCTCCAAGTTTTGCAATATTAAGTGTGTGGAACACCAAAGAAGTGTTTAAATTGCAAGTGAAAGGGGTGTCACCACTAGCACATGCCTGCTGCATAGGTACAAGGTTGTTGGATGAATGGATGCCATGGCTAAGGCTACCTTCTTTTCCTGATGTTTTTAGGCCATTTGGGGTTTATTTTCTGTATGGACTACACATGGAGGGAAAATGTGGTGCTCAATTGATGAAGCGCCTATGCGGATTCGTCCATAACATGGCAAAAGATGATGATGGTTGTGGGGCCATTGTGGCTGAACTAGGCCAAAGGGACCCAGTAAGAGACGCAGTCCCACATTGGACCAAGTTCTCATGGGCAGAGGACATTTGGTGCATTAAGAATCTTCAGGATATCCCTATAAAATGTGGGCCTTCTGATTGGGTCACTTCAAGATCCTCCTCATCAGTAATTTTTGTTGATCCTCGCGATTTTTGACATTATCATATAATTCAAATCATATATATATAGAGAGAGAGAGAAGGGGTGAGACTGAGAATGTTGGTAATATCTTTTCTTTCTGCCACTGTAAGCTGTAAATTAAAGCAACTGTTTCGTTAAGTGTGAACGACTAATCCCATACATCTTTAATCATATGCTTCATCTTAATCTGATTATAAATTAAGGAACTTATTACAATAGAGCAATCTAAGAATTAAATAATCACTTTAGCTATACCTACTTTATTACACAAAGAAATATACTTCAACCAACTGGAAACAGCTTAAAACAAAAATGAATGACATAAAGTTGAGCGTTTAGTGGTTATAAGCAGTTGACTTCAAGTTCAAGTGCGTTACAGGGCGTTGCCACACACTTGAAGAGAATCTAGCCGTTTGTACCAAAACAACAGCGAATCTAGTCATCTCATGCTCTCTCATCTAGGGATCTATCTTTTCTCACTTTAGTTTTCATTTATATTTATCTTTCATTTTCTTTTTAAAGTGTAACAAAATTATATGTATATATAATATATATTAATATCTAATCTAATGATAAGAGCGGCTAAAATCATAGGGTTCGGTTCAGCATCAAAGTATGAAGTGATGCAGCGTGGAGTAATGAAAAGCATTAGAAAAAAATAAAAATAAGTGCGAAGAGGATGTAAGAAAAATAAAAACGTACAAACCGAAACTCAATAAAAATAAACAAAAGCAAAAAGTATAACTCATGCTCACGTACTCTCCCTATGCTTAGGAGTTTAGACAGCTGCACTTGTTCATGAATTTCTTGTCTCTATTTGCGATGCTGCCATGAAAGAAAAATTCTCAGCCCCATCGAAAAATTGCGGATCCCCAAGTAAGACCAGCACCAAAGCCCGAAGCTGCAATAGTTTGACCTGCCTTAACTTTCCCACTTCGAACAGCTTCATCTAAAGCCATGGGAATAGAAGCAGCACTTGTGTTACCGTAATTAGCCAAATTTGATATTACCCTTTCTGAGGGAACTTCCAACCGAGTGGCAACTGCATCAATAATCCTCTGGTTTGCCTACACTTACTAAGAAGTTAGGCACTTATGTATGTGTCACCTTCCATCCTCTAAGCAAAGATAATACTATAATTTATGCCATGGATTTCCAATTTAGTTCAAATGAGATTCTATTTTAATCATAAATTACTCTCACTACTTAGCAAATTAATGAAGTGCTAGGGACGTGCAACTAATACATATATAAAAGAATATATTTTTTTTTTAACTTGTGAACTATTACATATGATAATAATTTATATATGGTATGTTTTTATTGAAAAATATAGAATTAATACAATTCAATGCATTGATACTATTAAATACTATAATTTTTTAATAAAAGCGTACTCTATATAGGTTACTATAATGAGTAATGTCGTGCAAAGTTAGAAAAATTGATATAAGAATCAAATGACATGTTCAAATTTTGTTTTGTAGATTATTTCTCTGTACCTGATGGAGAAGTAACCAATCAATGCTTGACATAGATAGACCAGCCTTTTCAAGGGCCGACTCAATTGATGGTGGCACGCTTCGTACAGCAAAGCGAAAAACTTCTTTGCCATTCATTTGAAGGCATGAATATGAAGACTGCCTAGGAGGAAAGTCTACGACAGAACCATTTGAATCCACTGCACTAATAACCTTGTTTTCCTTAATTGCAGCGTTTAAATGCCTACATGAAGTGATATTAGATGTTTACAGACGTTGCTTATAGGAAGAGGAGACAGGTTTTAAGTAAAAACATGAGATTTACATACCTTTGACCATTACCATCACTATGCAAATCAAAACCAAATAAACCATCTTCTTCATTGTTGCAGGCCTGCAGTGCATTCATAACACCAGATCAATGCCATCAAGTGATCATTTTATATCCTTTCGTTAAAAATTCCTTTTCCAGAAAGCATCAGTTATTTGTTTCAGTTCACAGCACTGTAACCCAAAAAGAAAATAATCTTACAAAAAAATATAGGACCTGAAGACCTTATTTCAGAGCTATGGTAATATCTTATTTACAATTTTACACAGTCGGTTCGAAGATTAGCACAAGAGCTTGCTTGCATCTTAAATTTCGGAACAAATGTTTAAAAATTTTCCCTTTCATCTTCACTCGAGATGAAAAATAGAAAACGAGCTTTTGGAAGAGTGGTCCTTCATGTTATCTGAGACTTTATATTCAACTGGTTTTTAGTTCAATCCTTGTTGCACCTGTCATTCTAATTGAAAAGTTGAATTTCAGAACAAGTGCGCTTGTGCATTATCCACTCATAGTCCAAAGAGCTCTTGTGTGTGTGGATGTGTTAGAGATATAATATAAAAAAACCATTCATTTACATCTACCTAATGCTTACGCTTTTGAGAAAATTGGTTCTTGACAAACTTAAACACAGAAAAATACTAATAAGCTAATGATAAAAGCAAAGAAATGCGATCCAAATTACTAGTTGACATTTCTGGATTAGCTATTAACATTGGACACCATCAGAAATATGTACAGTAACCTGTACTAGTACAGCACCAGCAGCATCCCCAAAAAGTATACAGGTCCCTCTGTCTGTCCAATCCACATATCGTGAAACAGCATCAGCCCCAATTACCAGAACATTATGAAATCCAGCCCCTGCATTCATTCATATAAAGGGAAAATATTTTCACCATGTCTAAAAGGTATTACAACCTCAATTTAACAAAATATAAGTGATTCATACCCCTAATGTGACAAGCAGCTGATATTAAACCCAACACAAATCCACTACAAGCAGCTGTAATGTCATAAGCCAATGGATATCTTTTGCAGCCAAGTTGTTTTGAAATCTGAATCCCACAAGGAGAATAACAATTGTGAAGAAACAAAAATAAGATGCCCACACAAGCTGTTTTGTATCCAGTCCATGCATATTCATTCAGGCATTGCAACATTTTTGTCAATGCATGCAGCTTCTCTATGATCTATATATATAATATATCAATCATAGCACACAAACCTGAGGAGCAGTGCCAAAAAGATCATCCGGAGTAGATGAGCACATCAAGATTAGGTCTACATCATCAGGATCCACCTTTGCCATCTCCAGAGCTTTTCCTGCTGCCTCTACTGCTAAAGTTGCCAAGTTTTCTCCACCTGCAACCACAAGTCACAACAACATCTTCAACAATAACTAGTATAAGTTTATTCAAAAGCTACAATTAATAGCGTTAAAGTAAGCTTAGTTCCACATAATTAACCAAACATGTAAAATAAGTATTCAAGTTAATGATTTAAAGCGTGTTTGGTTTGACATTAAAAACAAGTAGATCTACGTTTACTTCAAAGTTACTAGTAGTATTTTCTACGTTGGATTAACATGTTTTGAAACATACACTTACCTGAGAGGATTCGGCGTTTGTGAATCCCAGTGCGAAGTGATATCCATTCATGAGAAGTATCAACTATTTTTGCAAGATCATCGTTAGAAATCTCAAGAGTGGGCACAGCAGATCCACATCCAACGAATTTACACCCTTTACTACTGCTAGTGACAGGCCTACAAACACTAGAGCAAACACTGAGTTTGGCATTGCGAGGAAGAGGAGCAAATGAAGTAGCAGAAAGCAACAGTAATGATGACGATGCTGCATTTGCCATTTAAGTTATAACTAAGCAAATGCAGTTCTGCACTTGCATTCTCCATTTAAACACACTATTTATACTGAAAACCCAGTTCAGTTCCCACTCAGCTACTTTCGTGGCTCATCAAACATGCACATGCACCCATCTTTATTTATTGCTTTTATTTTTAAAATTTGATTAAGTGTTTGATACAAGTTTCACTACTTGAATTTATTTTTTATATTTTTTTAAATTAAGATTCAGTCTCTACTTTTTTATAAACTGTTGTTTTTATAAAAGTTACTGTTAAATGTCAACCACAAGACTAAAAATAAAAATTTATAAAAATATAAAAATTATATAAAAAATATTTTATAAAAATTTAATCTAAATTATGAAACTTTTTTAGTATTAAACGCTTAATTAAACTTTATTTTTATCATCCTTTCGGCTCCTTGATTGGTTGCATTCAATCAATTGGGCCAACTAGGGTGGCCCAATAATTCCGTTTACGGCCCAGTTAATCATTAACTATGCATGATTGCTGACGCTGTTAAGAGGACACGTCATCGTCCTGCTCCTATCCATCATTGCAGAGCTGAGAGAAAACACAAACACTATGGCTATGTCGATGGCCGTTTCATCTCCACCTTTCAACCTCACCTTCCTTCGCCTTCGCTCTTCTCCACTTCAATTTGTTTCTTTCACTACGAAATTTTCTTCTTCTTCTTCTTCTTCCGCTCAACCTCTGCGCAGGGTCACTGCCAAAATACGAAGCGTTGGAATTGGAAGAGAAGGTGGAGGATCCAAGCCAGATCCGAAGGCCGGTGTCTCTTTATACAAACCGAAATCCTACGAAGTTCTCGTCGCGGATGCTGCTAATTCCCTCGCCTATGCTATTCAAGATGGAAAACTTCGCCTCGAAATCGATTTTCCGCGTGTGTTCATTCCACTTTGAATCTGCTCAAATAATGAACAACGATTTCCGAAATAACCTAACTCGCATTTGTTTTCCTGATTTTTCCCTTGCAGGCCCTTGCCCAGCAACGTGTCTTCTTATAAGGTACTATTCTTTGCGGTGTTTTCATGAAGCGAAGTGAGGAATGCATTAGCATAGCAAATTTTTACATTCACTTCACTTATTCCTCTGCTTCTTTTGTATTGGCTGTGATTATCTACATATGAGTCTGTTTAATTGATTTTTGTGTCTATACTATGTGGTTTGTGCTAAGCTAACAGTAACACTGATTTCATGTTTGAAGAAACTGTTCTAATTTACAGTTATTTGAGTTTTGTGTGAAATGCTTGTCTGAATATACTGCACATAATTTTCTCAAATTCCTAAATATTTCAAGGGATCTTCAGATGAGTTCATTGATGCCAACATTCAACTTGCCTTGGCGGTTGTAAGAAAGCTCCGGGAAAAAATGGAGACCAGAGCTTGCATAGTAAGAAGATGCATTCTTTTCTTCCCTTCGGAAGCAAAACGTATTTCTTTTCAAGTATATATTTTACTCTCTTTTTTTGGGGGGAAATGTTACTACATTTGTGCCTGATTGTAGGTATTCCCTGATATACCAGAGAAGCGCCGAGCCTCTCAGTTGTTCAAAGCAGCTCTGGATTCGGTAATCTAACAATAACTCGTAATGAATTTGTTCCCCATCTATTTAATAAATTGATTTCCATTTAATTAATGACATTTTTCCAAAATCGTGCCTGCAAAAGATTGCACCATCAGAAAATTCTGAAGTATTTAAACTATTTTCTAAAATTTTTTTGGATTGATTCTGAATGTAGACATTATATTTTTCTCCAGATTGATGGAATTACCCTAGGTTCCTTAGATGATGTCCCTGCTGGACCTATGACTTCGTTTTTTAGATCTGTTAGGAACACCCTTGATTTTGACTTTGAAGATGACAATGAAGGTTAGTTCTTGGGGGAAATGGCAATAGTGTAGTTTTCTAAATGATAACATTGTTCTACTTACCAAATCCTGTTTGTGATAAAGTAATAATGTTTTGACAATTTCTTTTTGTACAAGTGCAGGACGATGGCAGTCTAGTGAGCCTCCGTCACTCTACATATTCATTAACTGCAGCACACGTGAACTTGCCTATATAGAGAAGTATGTGGTATGGTATCTCTGCCATTAGAAGTTTTCCTGAACCCTTTCTCCATTTCAAATCTTCAATGTGCTAATGAAATTTCACTTTAATCTGCATTGGCTTGGTCTTGGCTTCTCTAGTCAGAATTGTTTTTAGTTCTTGTTCATTGGTGATAAATAATATGCAGTAATATATGTTGACTTGAGTCCTTTCATTTGAATTTGAATCAGCATGCAATCTTCTGCAATATAGAGTTTTGCTTCTAGTCTATCCCTTACAGTAGCAATATCTTTAATGGAAAAACTTGATTCAGGTTCTGCTTTTTATACCCATGTAATTATCTGTGATTGAGCATAATTTATTCTGTACCCTGGCTTCACCTCGATGCTTTAGTTTTATGTATATTTTCTACCTTAACTACTTGGCTTCTGCAGGAAAATTTTGCTACATCAACACCAACACTTTTGTTTAATCTTGAACTAGACACACTGCGGTATATGCTCTACTCCTTTTTTTTTTGGTTGAGTTTTCATACATGCGTAAGTGCTTAACTATTTCATATACTTATGTTTGACAGAATAATTATTGAATTTACAGTGCTGATTTAGGCCTTCTGGGCTTCCCCACCAAAGATTTGCACTACCGCTTTCTTTCTCAGTTCACTCCGGTGTTTTACATTCGAATCAGAGAATATTCGAAGGTACCCCTTCTTTATTGAATTATCTCTAGATATTGATATTTTATCAAATAATAGGCATTGATTACTTCTTTTTCTGCTTTTAAGACAGTTGCAATAGCACCTTACATTGTCAATTACAGTGGAGCTGTGTTCCGCCAGTACCCAGGTAAAACAATATATTTATATGGGTATGTCACATATGTGTACAACATATACGTGCATTTGCATACACATACACATGCATATGAGAGACACACATTCCCACTCACATGTGCGTGTGCACAAAAACAATGTACATATATGGCTAAGGGCATGCTCAGATCGTAATTTTTTCAATATGTTAATACTGCAATCACATATTACGTAAAATAAATATTGAGATTAATACAAAAAAAAAAAGAAATGTAATGCACTACTAAGAAAGTTGAGGAAAAAGTATGGTAAACTGCTAATTTTATACCATTTATTTGATATTAGCATCAGGCCTGACATGGAAAACTTTTTTCCAGTTTTTTTTTTTAATTTCATTTTATAAAAGAAGAAAGTGATTACTTACATCCATTTGCAGCAAGGGACAAATTTTCTACTCAGAAACCACCTTATTATTCAGGGAAATAGTTTTGCCATATTGTTCTTTTAATACCCATTACTCTTTGAACAGTAGCACTTGGTTATTGTGAATAATTGTGTTGGCTTGTTGCGAATCACTTAGAACGCTTACTGAGCAATCAATATCTAGCTTTTCTGGTGCATAGTACATGGTAATTAAAGGCATGACACAAACTGTATCTAGCCAGCAGTTAATGCCAGATATATTTTAATTTATATTTGTTTCTTATTGTATAACTAGTATACTTTTCTTTGCTGATGATATTGATGATGCACCTAATTGTTTCTACATAAACTGTTCAGGTCCCTGGCAGGTGATGCTTAAACAAGCAGATGGTTCATATGCTTGCATAGCAGAAAGTGCAACCCGCTTCACCCTTGGTGAAGTAATTTCATGGACCTAACCTCATTTGCTTATTATTGTAAATAGTTTCATATTAATCCATTGACTGATATAGGCCAAAGAGGAATTGTTGAGGGTCTTGGGACTTCAAGAAGAAGAGGGAAGTTCTCTTCAATTTCTTCGAAGAGGCTACAAGGTGTTTTCTTGTTATTAGTCAGTTTCTGTTAACTATATGCATGCTTGTTTCTTGTTTGTTAGTGCTCTTTTTATCCCTGGTAAAATTTGCATGTTCCTGTGATCCTACATTGCATCCTTATAATGCTCCTGTCCTACATAGCACCAAAATGTAGTGTCAATTCTGTACAGTCGGTTCACAAAGTTGAGGCAGCACAGGTTTCAATGTGCCTTCAGATTTCGTTCAATTCCTCTTGTCCTATTTGTTTACTTGAAAGTACCAATGGTTGTACTATGAAGCAGGCCTTCTTGTACAACTTCTTGTGGGTTTTATGTAATATTATTCTTAATTTAATTATTCTAACCTGCATAACTATTCACCTTTTAAAATTTTTATGCAAGTGACCATGAAGATACTCATTCATAACCTGATGTTTGGTTTGGGCATTGTGTTGATTCAGTTTCCTACTACATTGGGTTTATTGTGAGATATTAAATCTTATTCGGCCATGTCTCTAGTTCAGTTATAAATCTCTAGCCTGCATTGTGTGATATTACAGGCAAGCACGTGGTGGGAAGAAGATTTTGATTTGGAAGCATCTTCTGCATGGCGGAGTTGAGTAGTATACTTTTAGAGGAGATTGTGTTTTATAGCATTCGCATGCGGTGGATGTTGAATGCTCACGTATATAATCAGGGAAGGCATTTCCTGCAGAAGCGCCCAATTTTTATGTTTAATATTCTTTAAATGTAATATTTTTCTATTCTTTCTCTTTCAGTTTGAAACTGATGTGGCCCATTTCTGGCAAAGAAATATGAAGACTTTGTAAACTCAATTGTAACACGTCAGTTGTGGGCATCCACCCGCGCATGTCAATAGTTAGTGTGTACAATAGTATGGGATACCGCATACCCCTAGAAGAGAGGGCCGTGTAACCCTATCTTGTGGAATCATGTTGCATTTCTTAACCATGAAATCCGTATTGTTTGTTTCGCCCAGTTGCATCACAAATACAAAGATGATTTTCCTTACTTGGTAGAGGAGACAGGAAGAATGCGCATGAATCATATTGACATATATTACTAGGTACCCGCAGATGTGTAAAAAAAGGCGTGCAATTAGATATTATATCTAAAATTCATATCTTTGGAAATTTAACAGATGTAGAATCGTGTTCTAGGTCATTCATCAAAAAATTTTCACACCGCGTAAGCTAAGGCTGTTAGTGATATCAGCTGACGAATGTGTGTATCTTGCAAGTGCAGCTAGTGTACTATCTGAAGGACTCGCAGTATACATCAAGATTTTGCATTTTAACAGAAAGAGGAGGAGGATCAATTTTCATCTAGATCACTGAAGTCAGGTTCTGGGGGCTTTTGGAGTTTGACCAGCTCCCTGGAACTTGAACCGCGAAGCCTATGACCACGGAGGGCACTGGCGGCAAAGCGAGAAGCATAGACGGTTGCACTAAGTCCGAACCTTGAAGAAGAAGAAGAAGATGCATTACGCGTGACCAAGGCCCTTGCAGAATCATCACTTCCTTCACAATCAGAATCATAAAATTCTTCTTCCTCCTTCCGGCGTTGCTCTGCAATCTTTCTCCTGCAATGCCGCCTCCATGCAGCTTGGATGTATATTGCAGCCCACGTTCTCCACTGCTGTGAGTAGAAACGGAAAGTGTGCTGAACCTGTCTACTGTGAATGTGCCTAAACTGGGAAGCTACAAACTTCAACTCCTCTGCTTCCAATGCAAATGCCTCAACCTCATTTATAGCCTTCACTGTCCTTGTTGATGATGGCAAGTTAGCGGCAGATTTGGGGTCCAATGCCCATGTTAGTAGCTCTTCTCCACAGAAGTCATTTTCTTTCAGAAGACCTCTGTTGAAAAATCCACTTCTTCCTCCATCTGTAGTAACACTCTCTAGACGACCACGAATGATGAAGAGCATCTCATTAACTGGGTCCCCTTCTCTAACTATGTAAGTGGCTTCTGTATACAAACTAGGCTTCAATCGCTCACATATAGCATCAAGCAACCGTTCATCCATGTTAGCAAAGAGAGGAACCTGAATATATGATGACATATACACAAGACAGATGAGAAATGAAGACTTACAAGTGGCAGTAGCACTCAGTCATATATATGATGACATCTCATAAGAAATGTTTTTATATTCGTACTCACCCTTCTAACCAAATTCAAACAAAGATGCCGTTTGATATCTCTCCTTAGATCTTTTGGTAGACTTTGAACCAAACTCTCTTCATCTACTCCTCGAGTGTTCAGCCACTTGTATTGGTCATAGCGTCTCACCCTTTCCCTTAGCTCTGGAGGAAGCAAACGATGGTGCATCCACTGCTCAGAGTCACGTCTTTTGATCCTCATTTCCTCGAGACGAACTGACATTGATTGAAGATAGGTCTGTCCAATTGCACGATAACACAAAGATTAGAACTAAATAACAATTTTGTTCAAAGTACTCTCCTTTTGCTGAGAGGGGACTTGTATGTTACATCATGTTAAAGCATGAGAATAGTTTGACTTTGACCCATCCCTTAATCATATCAAAGCTCATATGTCATATGAATGCTTATTTCATTTCAAATAAAAGAGAAGCTGAGAAGATGGTGGTAATTGTGGATGCTGTAAGACTACATTAAACAATCATAAATAAACATTGACTTTGTTGTTTTTACCGACTGAAATGTTGCTGTTGTTACAGAGAATACTGGAATGTGCATAAGTAATATAACCATCTCTTTTTCCAAAGCATTTTGTTTAAAAGTATATACAGGTGTCTTAGTTATGTCGAGCAAGGGTGTGAACAGAAATTTCATATAGCGTCTCTCCCAAGTCCTAAACTAGTTAATTGATTTGAGTTAGAATGTAGGTAAATAAACGCTTGCGCTATGTATCTTTGCCAAAAAGAAAAAAAGAAAAAACAGTTCTTAAGTCACATAAACTGGCATATTATCATTGTTCAGGTGAGAATTTTATTCAATCATTCATCTTGTGGTGGTGACTAACTATTAAAGTATAATGTTGATCAAGATATCAATAATCATCATAGATAAAGAGAGATTCATAGCGCAAACTTTTTTGTTTACCTGCATGTTTCCAATCAGAAGAGCGAAAAGGACAAGCCCCGAAATAGCTATTACTATGGAAAACATAACCTCTCCAGGGTAGGTACTGGTTAGAAGCCCCTGACCAAGTGTACTGTGAAATGCAAAACAGAAGGTGCTTAGGTTAGTAAAACTCGGAAACACAGCAATTTCAGGTTATTGAAATGCACGTGCTAGATGCAGACAGTAGGTAAGAAAGAGCAACAGAATTCTGCACCAACTTGCCAAACATACGTATTGATAACCGTATTGGTTGGAGATGTGAGGGCTAAGTGTCAATATGTCATCTTTAAATGACACTGAATAAACTATAATCTGCGGCAAACATTTTGAAGCAAGCATCAAGTGAATGTTGACATAATAATATGGGTAAAGTTGAATCAGAAGATGGTGTCGAAGTCTTTTAAATCAAGTGGTCGAGAGTTCAATACTTCCTGCCCCTAAAGTCCAACACAAGATAGTAAAGTAGTGTGGCCTGGAGGTTATCCATTCTTGAAATTCAAGAAGTCTTTTTTTTAGATGTGTTTTAAAACATGAATCAGAACAAACTTCCAGAAACCATAACGGCTGAAATTTTTGGAGCTAATGGTTACTTAACATCTGCTATAGAGAAAATTTAGACGGGTATTATAATATTGTTAATCAGACAAGGAATATACCTCAAATTTTGAAGCCCCCACCATAAACAGTAACAGAATTTAGGAAAGACTTCAATGGAAGCCACAATATCAGACTGTATAGCTTGAGAGAAGATTCCATAATTGAATGCTGAGGTATCATCCTCAACAAAGCAGCGACTTTTAAGAACAGTTTCGCTGACATTTCTCCAACTTTCATACCCTGTCAGATGCTTGTTGGAACTCCCACAATACAAGAAATGTGTATTGCATCCATCCACTTCTTTACAAGCATTCTTCCAGCATGTGTCATTTCGTTCGATGGCTAACAAATACCAGACAGAGCCAGTTATCTGTGGCATTATGGAATTGAGTCAGAAGAATTAACTTATTACTACATATACTTAAAACTTGATTAGGCACTCGTACCCATCTCATGTGTCTCGCCATTCCAACAAAAAAAAGTTATATATCTCGTGCTGTCTCTGCCACCCTTTTTATTGTCACTTCTAGATTTTAGTTTCCAAAACATATTCTAGAAAATTAATTTCATCATTTCTGGAATTTATTTTAAAATCTTTTGATTGAGACCCTAATAATAGACTGGAATTATGGTTTTGTTTTAGAAGTACCAGGACATGTTTAATTTTTAACCTAAAAAATATAAGGACCAAAAATTATAGTTTAACCTTTATTTAACAGGCAATCAAGAGTTTGGGATAATTTCGCTTCCAGGACCGACTAAATTGATCAGTTTATACGCAAGTCCAATGCAACTGGTCTTATTTAAGCAAACAAGGCATACATTAGTTAATAATCATTCATATTAAAGAAATGTGCCAAGTTTGTTTACTTGTATGTGTACAAATTAAATAATAGTGACTATTAGTGTGATCCTGCAGTAATCTTTATGTCAATATTACTATTAATCAATTCATGTACGTACTGTGCAGCAAAAGAGAATCAGAAAAGAAGGATTGCTTTACAACATGGACTTACATGACTAGCAAGCATATACCAGATCAAATAGTACATGGCACCGAGCAATGCGTTTTCAGAGAAAACACCAGCTGTTTTTTTAACTTCTGAAGCTAAAGGTATAAAGCGTAGAAATCTTGGAAAATATTGCAAGATGACAATTCTCAACAGTGCCGTTTTTGTGGCCAATACCTCTACACGTCCTGTTCTGTAAAGATATTTCCACACTATAATCTGCGGCAAACATGAAGATAATTGAACCACATTGGCAAAGAAATTTCCAAATCTAACCTGAATCACCAACCTCTTGATGACATCATAGGTCGATTTTAGTAGCAGTTAACAATTGTTAAGGTTAGCGCAATGAGTGACTACTAAAATTAGCCAAAAAGTGGTAAATATACAATCACTGTCTTATAATAGTACTTCATGAGAAAACTACAAATAATCTTCTTGTGGGATAAAATAAAAGATGGAAGAATCCTTGTATGCTATTTTATTAAGCTTGCCTACATAACCTTTCATGCATTGCAATGCAGTATATATTCCTTTTATTCAAAGCTTCTCACTAATTTCATAATTCTTCAAATTTCACCTAAATATTATACAAAGAAAAGGTGAAACGTTAAGTATTATACACAAACATATATAGATGCAAACTAGTGGCTTAAAGGGGAGCACGGATAGTTTCTCAAACCTGTGGCATAGGCAGCACAGAAATGAAGTCAACAATGAAGTAACGTTGTAAATATCTCTTGGCAATTTGTGCAGGATCAATGACAAGTTCACCTCGTCCAAATACTCGAGATGAAGGTGCAATATAAGCAGTGCGGAATTGAAAACTTATGCGGAGAAGATAAACGACATCACATATTGTTCTTAATGTAACGGCAAAACGTGCTAGCTTGTTGTCTATGGCGAGACAAAATGATTTGTGGTTGAAATAAGGAAGATAGAAGAAGAATGGATCACAAGCTACAGAAAAAATGCATAGAATCTCGAAAAACTTGTTCCAATAGAGAAGGTTCTTATCTTGAGGATCAAATACTTTTTTCTCTGAGACTTTAAGATCTTCTGGGAATACTGCAAAAGTGACTCCACTTTTGAGTGATCTTCCAAATGTCTTGAGTCCATCTGAACCCTTCTTGACTCCTAGCCTAAAGGATTTCGATGCTTTTTTTCTTCCACGACCAGGAAGAGGCAGAGGCAAAGAATCTAAGTTAAATCTTAATTTCTTCATCCCACTTGAACCAGATGACATAGACAAATTGGAATCCAGATCATCCAACCTACATCATCCACTGTTTGTCAGATTCAGAGACGCTTATGTTAATAACTTAGCTTCTGCGATATTTACTGTGCCAAAACTTAAGTGCAATACCATAAACACTGTTAGTGTTGTTTTTCAATGAAAATTATAATTTCACCTTGTGTACGAACCTTTAATGCTAGTGCGTTGATATTTAATGGCGATCAATATTATGTAGATTATAGAGATAAGACTCCAATTCCGATAAGAGAATAACGCCAACAGTAGCTATAACACTGCACTTAAGTTTTTTTCTTATTTATTAATCAAAGTGGAATATAACCAGAAAATGGAACAGAACAAATATCCATTGCTTAGCAAAATCATATTGAACATGTTACATTTAAACACAAATAGAACATTAAAAATAAATTGTGGTCATGTATTATATACCTTACAAACTTCTCCTTCTGGCCTCCAATATACTGTGACTTGTAACCAGAGTCAAACATTTTGAGGAAATAACATAGAGACCGCCAGGAATAAAGTTCAGTCTACAAGTTTCCTGACATATGAGAAAGCTTAGTATTCTATCTAATATAATGCAGACAATGTCAGCCATGTCAGAAAGTTTCTCTTGTACATAAATATGAAATGCAAAGGGAAAAAAAAAAGAAAATGTGGAAAAATAATCCTTAGAAAATAAATACAATGTAAAAAACGGAGTAGCTTAAAGAATCACAAGCAAGGAAACTTGGTAATAATAATTTGACATGATCAAACATGTTTTCATAAACGTCAGTCCATACAATGAAAATGAAAATGACTCGAACACAAATCTAACAAAAATTTATTCATAATGTTTTTGAACAAATTACATTCCCAAATTCCTCGCAGCCTCTCCCCTTCTCATTTCCATGATTGAAAAAACAATGGAAAAAGTTATTTTACTAATCCCCGAAATAAATAAAAAAATGCTCTAAATTAAATGAACAGAAAAAAATTCTGGGTATTAACTTACGGTGATGAAGTTTAAGGTTTTGATTGTAAAAAGATACGGTGTGGAAAGGAATGAAGAAGGATGAATTGAGAGAGAAAAGGAGATTGGTAGAACGAGAAACGTTGTGCGGTGTTTCGAGTAGATTTAGGAACATGATACCGTTATGGTAGTTACAAGTGTCCACGCCACACGTGCGCGCTTTTAATTTGCATGTCTTCAGACACCACTCATGCAGTTTTTTTTTTTTTTTTGGTATTTTTTTTTTTTGAAACACAGGTCAAACATTATATTTGTGTGTCTCTAGAAAAAGGGTGTATTTTTCGAAGAAAGTTGGACATAAGAAACTAAGAAAGTGAGATAAAAGAGATTAACCTTATCGCTATAAAGGGAATTTTAAAAAAATACTAGATTAATGTTAAATAACTGAAAATAGTAAACTTTTTATTTAAAAATTAATAAAGCTTCATTACTTTCAAATGTATAAAACTATTCTAAATACGGATGTTTACAAAATCATTAAAATTCAAGGACATGTTGGTGAACTCCTCCTCCACATTTCATTTCCCTAATCCAGGGCTGCTTTATAAATGAATTATCATAAATTTAATTATGTTTGAATTGATTCTTAAATTTATCTTGTTTGTAAATAACATTATCTACTAAGTTGAAGTTAAATTACTAAAATGTTGATATTTGAGTTAAATAAACAGTTGAGTTTATCTCTGGTAGTAATTTAACTCTAACTTAATAGAAAGAACTATTTACAAAAGGATTACAATTTAAAGATTGGTTGAAACAAAATCAAAGTTTAGAATGTATATTTATGTAAAAAAAGATAAAACTTTAAAAATAATTGAGAAAAAATCAAAATTCAGAATATGTATTTACAAAGGGAATAAAATTAAGAACAATTGAATTTGAAACGAAACTAAAGTTTAGAGTATCATTTTATAAGAGAGATAAAGTTTAGGAGGAGTAAACACTAATTTCCATTAAATTTTAAATGATAAAATTTGTAAGGGATTAAATGATGTTAAAATATAATTTTGCTGAAATTTATTTGTTACATGTCCCGAGATTAATCAGCCACACAACGCCCTAATCCTAATAGATTCATCATTAAAAAGCACGTCAAAAGACTAATCTGGTGCTTGTATGATGTTTTTTTATAAATAAATAAATAAATTATTTTTGGATCTTGTACCTCCAACACAAATTTCCCATTTCTTGTGAAGACAACGTCGTCTTTCTATAATCCTCATATAACAATATTAAAGCTGAAAATGCCTAAGAAATTTCATTGCCCAGAATAGTATCTTATGCCACTTGCTTCACCGTGTTGATGAGCTTTTATGTTCAGATTGAAGGAATTTAGAACAAACCATTTTATATAAAATCTCATTAGATAATGAAGCTTCCAAGTGGCTAAGAACATGACTCTCAAGTTAATTCATTTATAGATGTGGGAAGAAATTAATATACTTTTAATTAGAGCGCGGCAACTAGTTTAGTGGGATTGTATATGATTATAGTATTTGCATTTGGAGCAAGATTGTCTTTACTATTGGGAAAAGTGAAATGAAATAACCCTGTTCCACTTTATTTATTAATTTTTATTAAAAAGTATAATATTTAATATTATTAATATATTAATCCTATAAATTTATATAACTTCTTACAACATTTTCTTATATATACATTCGACCTTCAGCTCTCTTTATTAATCTACAACACTGGCAATGATCCTGCGAAATATTTTCACTGTGATCATAATCAACATCTTCCTTGGTTGATTATGCAGTCTGACCAATATTTTGTCCCTTCTCTATTCATGACCCCATATTTCAACCAAGAGATTTCCAAACTGTTCCCTGAAAAAGACAGTTTTCCACCATTTGGGACGCTCCCTTTTTCACCCTTCAAATGAAGCTTGGGAACTAATCAGCAGGCACTATCAAGCACACTTGGCCAAGGCAGATGAGAGGGTAGGCATCCAAATAAGACTATTTAATCCCGTTTCCACTCCACAACAACCAGTTATGGATCTAGTTTTAAGCTGCACCATAAAGCATACGCTACTTCCGAAAATAGGTATGCAAAATTCAGTATCTTCTAGAGGAAAAAACACTGTAAGGGCTGTTCTTGTGGCATCTTTATATCTCTTTATATCCAGAATATGGTGATAATTTAAGGACTGTGTATCTTAAGAAACCAGCTGTTACAGGTGAAATAATACAAGTTTATCAGCCAAGTCATGAAGGGCATCAAAAGTTTTATGATAATATGCATAATATGAAGGATTGGATGGAAATGTATCTAGCTACTAAGTTTATCTGACGTGTTGGTGACTACCTCTAGGTCTACTTTTGGTTATGTTGCTCAAGGCTTGGGAAATTTGAAGCCATGGCTTCTTCACAAGCTAGTCAATAACGATACTCATTTTTCATCCTGTGAACGGGAGTTCTCATCGGAGCCTTGCTATCATGTTCCTCCCATGCATTACTGCAACGGAAAGCCCATAGAAGATTTTGTTTTGAAGGAATGCAAGGATTATTGTTTTGGAGTGAAACTGGTGAATGCTTCTACGTAGTTTCTTTTTGGTCTTTGACTTGAGTATAGTCCTTTTTAGAGAGAATTCTTAGATCCAAGTTCCTCGCATTGTAAGCAAAATTTGCCCTCATATCTCACTTCCACTGTAACTAGGTGTTGTTGCAGTTGTTTCATGATTATATACTTTATATTTCTGTTGATTTGATTCTAAATTAATACAACCTGAGTATTATTTACTTATGCAGTTAATATTTTAAAAATATTAATTTAAGTATTTTATTTAATTACTTGTATTTAAAAACTTGAATTAATATAGCTAGGTAGTATTTATTTTAAAATAATATCTCAATATTTTAAAAATGGAAATTTAATCATCATGATAATTAAGTATAGCATTTTTAAGATTGTGGATCGACCCTTCAAAGGCTCAGACTGCTGAATCTCAAATTGGGTTGAAATCATGTTTTGTTTACCTTGTAGAGCCAATCCAATTATTTTATCCAATTAACCATGTTGATTTTGTATCCTCTCAAATTCGGCCATTTTTGACCGTGCTGTTAGCCTGTAGTTCCTCCATGAAATTAAAAAAGAAAAGAATATGAACCCCAACTTCAATCATGATGAGCACAAATTCATCATGATTCATTTTTTAATGAGTAGCGCGTATGAGTTGGATTATTGGCATTTAGGGCAAGATTTTGTCTATAGTGTCTGGTCCCATAAATGCACAGAAATTTGGCTTTTTAACGCGTTGTTAAAGATAACAAATAAAAATTTATATATAAATTTTTTATTAAGATTTGTAAATATTAATAATATTATTAAATATTATATTTTTAATGATAAACTTTTTATTTTCTTTATTTTTTTATTGTGTACATTTAGGTACATATTTAAAAAATTATAAAAAATAGCTCAAACAAATATTTAATAATTGTTTGGATAGGATATACTTTAAGGGAAAAAAAAGACGCATTTTAAAATCAATAAAAATATGTATTATTTATGATATATAATAAATAATACATTATAACCATTATAATTTATGGTTTTATATAAATATTATAAATTAAAATGCATTTATTTAAAATAAAAGTTTTATCTTTCCTCCTCTTCTTTCTAAACTCCTCTTTCCCTCCTAAAAGGAAAGTAATAAATGTCAGTTTAATAAAAATAGACAAATTAAAATTCCAAATATAAAGTGGATCTTCAATACCACATGCATATGTCTATTATAAAAAGTTGACTCAGGATTGTTACACAGAAGGTTGTTTTGGTGGAGCCCTTTGCAAAAACATGTCTTCTGCCCCGAGGTATTCGTTTTCTTTTTACCCTCTTAATTTGATTCATGTTTATTTTTTTTCCTCTAATTGTTTTTTAAACTTGCGCTTAATGAAAAATAGCAATGGTGTGTTTTCACTTTTCACTAACAGTAGATAATTAAGTTAAAGTTTCAATTAATCAATCTCCAATAATAATTTATTGCTATCTGGTGATCATATATGATCTGAGAGACTCTTTGATTGAGTGCTTTTAATCAGAATCTCTTGTTAATTACGAATCAGATATGTGAAAAAGATAAAAAAAAATGAAACTTGATGATGGAGTTCCCCGTGGCTTGGTTCTCTTTTTTTTTTTTTATTGAGTTGAGGATTTTTACATGAATTATGCTTCTTGACTTCATCCTAGATGGAAGAAATTGTACTTAATCTTGGTTTTCCTCATTGTTCGTAGATCTTAATTATGAGCATTCTTCACTATTACAAAGGGTTATATTATTTTCATTAAAGCTTGGCACCTCATAGTGAAGTACTTCAAACCGCAATGGACCAGACAGGACTGAATTCCATGAGACTAAGAATGTTGTTTGTAATGTTTTTCATAGTTTTCCCTGTTGTAATAATAGTTACTTTAATGTACCGAAACTCAAGTTTCGAGCTTTTCGAGAGTTTTTCTAAAGACAAACTACAAGAAGAGAGTGGAACAACTCAAAACGTTACAACTAATGGCTTTGGATTATTTGGAGGAACAGTCCAAAATACAACTCATGAGAGCTTAGGAGGAAAAAAACAGAATAATGATTACCACGTCAGTAGTAAGTAACATTGTAACACCCTTTTGCATGAGTTTCTCTAACTTTTTTCTTTCAAACTTCTATTTGCCTGTTTGTTTCGTAAGGATAAAAAATCACTTTACTTTTCCTCTACTTAACTATGATATTTTGTACCAAAAATGCAGGTTCAAAAAATGCATCATTAACCAGTTCAACAAATGACTCGACCCCACAAACTGTGATCCCAGATGACAAGGTGACAGATAAACTTCTTGATGGACTCTTAGCTTCTGGATTTGATGAAACATCATGCTTAAGCAGGGTGCAGTCCCATTTATACCACAAAGCTTCACCCCACAAACCTTCTCCATATCTGATATCTAAACTACGAAACTACGAAGAAATTCATAGAAAGTGTGGTCCTTATGGTAGAGCTTACGACAGAAGCATGATAGAAATTGTACGCTCCAAGAACAGTGGTGTTAAAGAAATGTGTAAATACATTATTTGGACACCTGTCAATGGTTTGGGGAACCAAATGATTAGCATGGCTGCAACATTTCTTTATGCTGTTCTCACTGATCGAGTGCTACTTGTTAAATTTGGGAAAGACAAACATGGCCTATTTTGCGAGCCATTTATCAATTCAACTTGGATATTGCCTGAGAAATCTCATTTTCGGAATGAAAAGCATATAGAAAAATATCAGATCATGTTAGAGAAGGACAGTGCTAACAATTCAAAGGAGCATTTACCTTCAACTCTCTTTATTAATCTACAACACACCCGCAGTGATCCTGAGAAACTTTTTCACTGTGACCATAGTCAAGATCTTCTCCATAAGGTCCCTTTGTTGATTTTGAGGTCTGATCAATATTTTGTCCCTTCTCTGTTCATGAACCCCTTTTTCAACCAAGAGATTACCAAAATATTCCCAGAAAAAGACACAGTATTCCACCATTTGGGACGCTACCTTTTTCACCCTTCAAATGATGCATGGAAACTAATTAGCAATTTCTATGAGGCACACCTGGCCGAGGCAAATGAGAGGGTAGGAATCCAGATAAGAGTATTTAATCCTGTTTCCACTCCACAACAAACCGTTATGGACTTAGTTTTAAATTGCACCATGAAGCATAAGCTACTGCCAGAAGTGAGTTCCCAAACTTCATCACCTTCTACTGGGAAAAACAAAACTGTTAAGGCTGTTCTTGTGGCATCTTTATATCCAGAATATGGTGAGAATTTACGGACAATGTATCTGGAAAAACCAACTGTTACTGGGGAAATAGTACAAGTTTATCAACCAAGTCATGAAGAGCATCAAAAATTTAATGACAATAAGCATAATATGAAAGCTTGGGTGGACATGTATCTGCTAAGTTTATCTGACGTGTTGGTGACTACCTCTCTGTCTACTTTTGGCTATGTTGCTCAAGGATTGGGACATTTGAAGCCATGGCTTCTTTATAAGTTGGTAAATAATAAGACCCATTTTCCATCCTGTGAACGAGATTTCTCAATGGACCCTTGTTATCATACTCCTCCTAAGCATTACTGCAACGGCAAGCCCATAAAAGATTACGTTTCTTCTTTTCTATATTTGAGGAAATGCAAGGATTATCATTTCGGAGTGAAGCTAGTTAATGGTTCTATGTAAATGCATTTCTTTGGGTTGGTGGTTAAGCTAGTAATTGGACGTTTGTTTTTTCTCAACAAAAAAGAAAAACTAGTGAATGGTTAATCCTTTGACAATTTTTTTAAAAGTATTAAAGACACTTTTGTTTTTTAAATACACTCTTCAATATATTTTGTTGTGATTCATGAATCTCCCTCTCTCTCCTTATAAATGAAATACGTATGTTTGGTTTAAGAAAGAAAATGAAAAGACACAAAATTGAAAGAAAGAACAGGAGTAAAAAGAAATAGTAAAAGAGAGATTTTTTTTCATGCAAAAAAATTTAAGAAAACTTATTTTATTTTTTATTTAATTGTCTTGATCAATATTTTAATTTTTATTATTGAGATTAAATTCATTATTTAGAGTTGATAAATTTTTTTATTGAATTATCATTAATCCTAAAATTATTTAATATATTCAATATTTATTTAACTGCTCAATATATGTTTAAAATTAAAATATAATAAATAACTTATTACATGTATAATATTGAATTTAAGTGAGATAATAACATTAATAGTTATCTTTATTCTCAAATTTATATTAATAGTTCATTTTAAGTGATGGTAACAAATATTATTTTTATAATTACATTTATGATAAGGATAGAAATACTATTGAAAACAAAAATTACAGTTCCATTCTAATAATTAGCACAAATCATACAAATAATATTGATTCTATTTATAAAGAAAGATATGATAATTTTACTAAAATTTAAAAATATTTTGAAGGCCAAAATTGTTATAGATTAAATTATAAAAAATATTTAAAATATAAAATTAATATTTATGAATACTGTAAAAATCAAACTTAAAATTCTATAAATAAAAATATGATCGTTAATTATTATAATAATTTTATGTTAAAAATTATATTTCTTTTAAAGAATTTTTATTGATAATATAAGTTAATATTAGTTTATAAAAAAAATTGATTTAAATCAATTTAATGATCAGATCTCCATATATATTATTTATATATATAAATTAATAAATAAGATTTACTAATATTCATCCAATAAATATTATAATATATGTATATATTAATCTATCTAGATTATTAATATTATATTTGTAATAATCATATCATAAGAACAATTTAAAGTAAATTATAAAGACATTTTTTTATAATCTTTATTATAATTAAAAATCTTTAACTTTAATTGAATAACTTTATAATAAACTATTTAGTAAAAGAATATATATGATAAAAAATACTTTATTATTATATCTTGAATGAATTATATAAACTGGATATTAGGCATTCACGTCTTCTAAAAGTTTATCTGATGTGTTGGTCACTACCTCTGTATCTACTTTATAGGTTATATTAAAAATGATACCCATTTTCCATTATTGTATATATTAAATTTAACATAATTTAGACAGTTATATATATACATGAATTTGATATTATGTGAATAATTTTTTTAATTTTTAATTATATGTAAATAATTTTTAACATAACTTTTAATCATGTATATATAATTAAAAAATTAAATTTCGAAAATTAAATAAAAAATAATATACTAGTTTACTTTTAATGCATTATAATTTAATTTTTTAGTAAAAGAATTGCTTTCTATTCTTTAACTAATGTTTTTAGGGATAAAGACAATGGTCAGTAAGATTTATTAAAAAAGTTAATATTAATAACATTTAAATCATATGTTTCAAAACGATTAAGCATCACTGCGAAACGATTCGTTTTTAATTGTGAAGAATAGGATATGGCGGTGCTGCGTTGTTCCGCAATCGTCTTCTACCCTGGATCGTGCTAGGTTTTGCAGAATTTCAGTTTCACTCAATTGACATACCAACAGAATCTCGAAATTTATCCATCGTTTCGTTTTGGTAACTCGCGAAATCAAATCAATATCGACAAGTGACAACCTCCCACGATTGGGTACGATATTTCGTTACTCGTTTGTCTTATCTATGGATGTGTTTATTGGAAAGGGAATTGTATATCTACGCAGGATTTATGGAATCTTATTTCAAAATTTTGGGGGAAAAATGCTTGATTTATTGTATTCCATTAATTGATTGGCAAGGAGCTACTCATCGTAATCTTGTTTTTGGGTTCCTAGTTTTCTTCTTTCAATCTGTTATTAATATTTTGTGAATAGAGTGAAGTAAAAACAATTTTTCTCTCGCACGTATCATTTAGATTTATACAAAGGGAAGAGTAATTTATTTGAGAAGGTGAAACTGAAACCTGATAACAAAATTGCTCTTTGCATCGTCTATATAATGTGTGGACAGATAATTAGGATATTCCTTATGTGAATGAAGTTGAGCTTTCATACATTTCCTCATCTGTGTTCAATGAATCATTTAATGTTTATATAAAGGTTGGTGTACTTTGAGAAGATGGAACCTGATAATAATAACCAGTATGTTTAAAGATGAAATGGAACCACATAAAGAGATGAATTCTCGGATGATTTTGGCCTGATGCTGATTTGCTTCTTTCTGACAGTGATTCTTGCAAAACTGATCCTTGCAAATATCAGATATTCACTGCAAGCAAGCACTCAAGCATCTGTCATGGGTATAATCAGGAGTTGCTTCTCTTTCATTGCAGGGACAGTGTTTGGGGTTTACTTGGCTCAGAATTATCAAGTTCCTAACCTCAGGAAGGTGGCTGACACCGCTGTGGTAGAGGCGAAGCAAGTTGAGGAAAAATACCGCAAGAGTAAGAAGAAGGGTGGTAATGATGATAACTATGATTAGAGCCTTTACCACACTACATTGGAATCAGGTTCTTGTTTTGGGATTTTTGTTCTTTTTGGGGTTTGTCCTGCATTGTATAGGATCGGGTACCCTTATTAACTTGGAGAACACAAATTAGTGGAAGACCTTTACAGAAGTGATCTTTGCATTTATGAACTTATTATTTTGTCTATTGTTCAAGGGTAATGTTGTCACTCCTTTGTCTTGTTGCAAAATTTGCTTTAAAATTACTAGTTAAAGAAACGTAATGTGAGTGATACTGTGTGTACTCCAGGCCAGAAATTTGTTTGATGGTAATCAGAATTGTGTTCATAAAAATGTTGTTAAAATCATCCTTTAACTGTTGCTCTCGGTGATGTTATCTGATTGGGATTTGTTCCTTCAAAATATTTATATTGTTTGTTTGACAAATGTATGTGCAATATGCTGTGGAAAAGTGAAGTTGCTTGCTGGCTTAACATTCTAAGCGGTATAAAAATCTAAATGAATCGCAATCCATCAAATCAATCTGAGTTTTTCAATTAGTTTTTACGTTGCCAGTTGAAAATAATAAAGAGAAACATAGGTAAAATTTCATTAGTATTTGATCAAGCATTAGCTTTTTATATGAATTCCTTGAGGAATTGGATAGTGAGATGATGCTAGTGATCTCCTTTTGATTTAATTATAGTAGTTACTGATCTTCACGATTATTTGCTTCTTTACTTTTAGCAAATCGAATATAATAATTATTTATATGTAAGTTATATATAATATATTTATTATTTGGTGAGTTAGGCTTTGTTTGAGAGTTTAGAGGAGAAAGGAGGGAAAAGGTTTGAAGGGGAAAAGAGGGAAGGAGAAGGGAGGAGAAGGAGAATCAAACTTCTTTTTTATTTGGATATTTAACATTAAAAGGAGAAGGTGACAACATTAAATAATGTAAATGATATTACTGTCTTTTATATCTTTTATTTAGGTTTTTTGTTATCTTTTTAAAAAAATAAAAAAGTAAATATTTTCTCACTAAAAATTAATAATTTTAAAATTAATGTTTTTATTGTTTATAAATTAAATAGAATCTTAATCGTGAAACGGATGAGAGTGAGAAATTGATGCAATTTAGTTAGCGCGAAAACTAGATATCTAATTTTATTTTTGTTTAAACAAAAATAAAAAAAAACAACAAAAAATATTTCATGAGGAAGGAGGGGGGTAGGATGTGAGGGAAGATAAGGGTTGGGGATGGGTAGAGTTCAGGAGGGCAAGTAGTATAAGAGTGGGAAAAAAAGGGATGAAAGAGTTAGGTATGGAGAGAAAAGGCAAAGTTAGGTATGGGAGTGGAGAGAGGAAGAAGGGATTGGGTATGGAGGAAGAGGGAGTTGTACAAGAGGAAGAGAGTTGGATATAGAGAGAATGAAGAGGCAGTGTTACGCATGGCAGGAAGGAAGAATTGAAAAAATAAAGAAGCAAAATTTGTTTAAACAAATTAAATTTGTTTTAAGCATATTGTGCACAAAAAATTTTTTTATTGTTTTCTTTATTTTTATTTTAGTGCGGCTATTTTTGTTTATAATTAGACATCCAATGCTGGACTGAATGCAGGTCCTAAAAACATTAACCAAGTTTGAATAGTATGCCAAAAGTCTCTAACTTTCTTGCATGGCTTTTGATCCTCAAATAATTGTCCTCTCCGCCCTTCAATAAATATTTATGCTCCCCGTGGTCCCCAAATGTCGTCTATATGCTTTTGTCCGTTTCTTCTGGGTGCAAACTGGCAACTGTTTTATCAGACTTGCTATAAAACCAACTTTAATGGACAAATCCCTCAACAAGTTTAGCTATTTCAAATGACAAAGTATGGAGAGCAAAAGGAGCAGGAAGAACACCTTGGTACTTTCTAATTGTGAAATACTCTTTTGACTCAAAAATTTCCAGAAAGAAAAGTATTATTATTCAATAGTAAAAAAAATTAGATATGGTCTATTATGAATATTTATATATGGACTAATACAATAAAGATAAAATCTCTAAACATAAGACGAAACTAAAGTGATCAAATAAAAAACATAATAGAAATTAACCATCTTAATTTAAAATAAAATCTCAAAATATGACATCCAAATTAAAATTTTAAATGATATATTTAATTAAATCATAATCTGATACATTTTAGGCATATTTGATCCCAATTATGACAATGACATTATGACTTCCCGTCCTCATAAAAAAAAAAGTTTACAGAGTATAACCATATAATTCAAAACTTAAAAAACTGAGCATCTAATAATATAGTTGTTCTATGGATGGAACCAAAGATGGCAGCTCTAGTTGAAAGGGACTAATATCTGATTTCTCATAACCAGGAATGGCCTCAAATTTGTTAGTCTGTAAGTTGGCAGCAAAAACACCATCAGCATAGGAATGCAAGTAAACAATGTCCCCATCATAGGGATGAAACCCCCCTACGCGCTTATAATAATTAGTGCAAAATACAGCAGGTAGATGTGCTGAGAGATTGGTCCTGTGCAACAAATGCCAATTTTGAGAGCCTAACAGTTCCCACACTCTCAAATCATTATGCCCAATATCAGCAATCCTCAAACTCCCACAAGAGCGCCCAAGGTACCCAAAGCTCATTATATCCATAGCATCAGCACCTTCAGGATAACCAATGGTATAATTATAAAGATTAAGAGGATCAAACACAAAAATACTAGTCCTCCCCATGAAATACAAACATTTTTCATAGGCAAAACTTAGCAACCAATGAGGAGCAAAAGCAAAGCCATCTATGCAAGTCACAACCACTTTTCTCCATACTCCTATCTCTGAGGAGAAAACCTCTACTACAAACTGATACTCAGTTCTTATGAAGGATCTCATGATCACCACCCAAAAGCACCGATTAGGATTCAGTGATGGTTTTGTTCCTTCTAGATGATAATAAGGATCGGAAACGAAGCCAACAGCGTATAAAGTTTCCTTACCCCTTTCAAGAGAAGGAGCTACCTGTCTGCATTTCTGGATGAGAGGATCATAGACATAGAAGTCACGACCTGCTGTGTATCTGTTGTTGCAGCACAAAAACAAGCCATTAGAACACCCACATACGTTTCCTTTTATCAGCATGTCTGGAGCTAAAGGGGCCTTCTGGTTTTGGTCATTGAAGCCCAAATGTTCCAAAGATTGGGGTGGAAAAGGAGGTAGGAAAGAAAGCATGAGTTCATGGGGTGAAAGGTATATCAAGTAGGCCTCAAAGAGAGAGTGTTGGCGACATATGAATTCTGTTGGAAATTGAGGATTTGAAATCAAATCTAACCAGCGTTTGCACACTCTCTTGCATCTAGCAGTGGATCTAAATGGCAGTCTTGTGAAGATTTCTATTAAAACATCATCTGTTAATTGGTCTATGTTGGTGAATGAAGACCTCACACATGAGATATCAGACATATGAGTAGACTAACAAAAACAAAACAAAATACTGATTCTAAGGTCTTTTCAGCCAAACCAGAAGGTAGATAGAGACTGTTGAGGCAGAAAGAAAGAAAGAAGAAAGGAGGAGGTGGAGGACAATATGTGGTTTATTGGCTTGTTCTTGTCAAATCCTTAACCCATTTAATATGTTTTAACTTTTGTCTAATTATTTTAATATATTATATGCAAGTGGATTACACTTTCTTTCTAATATTTTAAAGCTGGTTTCCATTGAAGTTATATAAATTCATGGGATAGAATGAGTTATACAAGGAAAAGCAGGGAAGGAGAGATGTTGACATTTATTACATTTTATTTTATTCTATTTTTATATTTTACTAACATTTATTACAACTTATTTTTTTATTTTATTATTATATTTTTAACCACAAATTCTTATTAAATTTTTACAATTATGGTAAGAAAATAAAGATATTTTTAGAAACTTGGAAACAAAAATGGATAAAAAATTTCTCCAATTATCTTAGTTATTAATCAATATTAAAATTTTTATCATAATATCATTTAGTTTAAATATATTATTACCAATAAAATCAATATTTTTTACTTACTTTTGTTTAATCAAATTTATTGAAAATTTTGGTAATCAAAATCATTATATATTTTACCTAGAAAAAAATAACATTTTGGAATTAGTTTTTAAAAAATTTGTTAAGATTTATTTTTTTATATTTTTAAAATATTTAAATTTAGTCTAAGTTGTTATTTATCCTCTACTAAGTGATATGTTGCATAAAAACTAAGAGTGTGTTGTGGTTGGTTTTGGATAAAAAAATTCTAAACCAAATCAAATTGATCATGCCTATTAATTTTTGTTTCTATATGAGATATTTACCGGATTAAGCGGGTCTCGATTAAAATAACCAGCAAATTTGACGGGTGGTTTTATTCAGTTAAGATGTTTCAGATGTTAACTTTTTTTTTTTTTTTTCTGTCTAGCATCATTTTTACACTTACCCTTCTTTGCCCAGTTCATAGAAACTTAGAAATAAAAATGGATAAAAAATTTCTCCAATTATCTTAGTTATTAATTAATATTAAAAAATTTATCATAATATCATTTAGTTTAAATATATTATTACCATTAAAATCAACATTTTTTACTTACTTTTGTTTAATCAAATCTATTGAGAATGTTGGTAATCAAAATCATTATATATTTTACCTATAAAAGAATAACATTTTGGAATTACTTCTTAAAAAAATTATTTAGATTTATTTTTTTTTACATTTTTAAAATTAGTCTGAGTTGTTATTTGTCCTCTACTAAGTGATGTGTTGCATAAAAACTAGGGTGTGCAGCGGTTGGTTTTAGATAAAAAAAAAATTCTAAACCAAATGAAACTGATCATGCATATTAATTTTTGTTTCTATCTAAGATATTTACCGGATTAAGTGGATCTCGATTAAAATAATCAACAGGTTTGACGGGTGATTTTATTTGGTTAAGATGTCCCAGATGTTAATTTTTTTTTTCTGCCTCACATCATTTTTACACTCACCCTTCTTTAACCAGTCCATAGAAACTTAGAAAAAAAAATGGATAAAAAATTTCTCTAATTATCTTAGTTATTAATCAATATTAAATTTTTTATCATAATATCATTTAGTTTAAATATATTATTACCAATAAAATCAACATTTTTTACTTACTTTTGTTTAATTAAATCTATTGAGAATGTTGGTAGTCAAAATCACCATATATTTTACCTATAAAAGAATAACATTTTGGAATTAGTTCTTAAAAAATTGTTTAGATTTAATTTTTTTTTTACATTTTTAAAATTAGTCTAAGTTGTTATTTGTCCTCTACTAAGTGATGTGTTGCATAAAAACTAGGGGTGTGCAGCGATTGGTTTCAGATAAAAAAATTTAAAACCAAATGAAACTGATCATGCATATTAATTTTTGTTTCTATCCAAGATATTTACCGGATTAGGCGGATCTCAATTAAAATAAGCAATGAGTTTGACTGGTGGTTTTATTTGGTTAAGATGTCCTAGATGTTAACTTTTTTTTTTCTACCTCGCATCTTTGTTACACTCACCCTTCTTTACTCAGTCCATAGGTAACTCAAAATTCATATTATGTACTTGCTTTAACTAATCATGCTATGGATGTGGGAGCATTAACTCTATTCGCAATGAAAAGAAAAATGAAGGCAGAGAAAGAAGGAAATATAAAAGTTACGACTCTTCTTCATGGCTGATCTTTGGGAGTCCCATCCTCATGAAAGAGATGGAAACAGATAGTTCGGTCAACCTCTTAGGGTGAGTAGAAGAAGAATAGTGCACCCGACATGATGTTTGTTTACAATAAAGTGCAACATATAGTCATACTAATTGACAACTCTAGAAATCCAGAGAGCAGCCAACGGTCAGAAGATGTTCTAGACTAGTGTGACCAAAACCTCTGAGGATAGAAAGCTCACTGCTTTCCAAATTATGCTAGCAACTTCACAGTGGGCACGATACAATCAATACTACATTTTTTTGAATAAGATCATATAACAAAAAATCTTAAATTTAAAACCAAATTCGATCATATAAATCCATTTCAAATTGAACTTTTTAAAATATTGATCTAAAACTTGTCCCAATCCAACTTTTATAATGTTACGAAATGCCCACCCCTAATAAAAACTCATCGTTATTACATTATCATCATATATTTTATTATTTAAAAACTAATATTTGTAAAAAAAATTCAAAAAAATAATGATTGTGACAATGATGAACTCATCATCTAATAGAGAAAAATCATAGGACTAATTTTAATCATAGACACTAAATTTTAATAATTTTTTTAAGAATTAATTTCAAAAAATATTATTTTGTTAGGAATATATCTGTGTGTGTGTGATGTTATATTGTTAGGAATATATATTTGTGTGTGTGTCTCTCTCTCTCTTTGTTAAGCTTGTATTTTGGTATGCTTTTATAGTCTGTATATTAATTGTGCATATTAATATGAGAATGCTACAATTGAGTTTTTTTTTTTTGTACATTTTGAGCCCAAATTAATTGAAAAATAGGATTTTGCTATCGTCAACACGCATAGACCCTAACAGTCAGAGTTATTTGACCACCTACAGGATTTTGTGATGCTTGACATGAATGAGGATGATGGCATCTCAAACATCTTAAGGCAGACCCTTCTTAGTCACTGCAAGAGTCATCATAGACGTCCAAAAAGAAAAGCTCACCCTGAAGCTAGAGGATAAGGAATGTTTTTTTGAAGTTTTCAACTCTTTAAAGTATCATTCTAGCCAAGAATCGTACAACTTTGTAAATATTGTAGATGTTGTTTCTCCAACTTTAAATTCTGTGAAGCATGAAACGTCAAGAAGAAGGCCAAAAAAGAAGCAACCTATGGAGAAACAAAAGTTTAAACTATCTACTGATAAACTTCCATATTTGAAACTTAAAATTTTTCCTCTTTCTTTTAATTCTCCTATTGTTTCACCTCGTATGATTAATGTAACATATTTGTTTTTATAGTAATTATAATTGCATTGTTATGATAAATATACATGTGAAGGGATGTTAGAAGAATTTTAAAAGTGTTAGGACTGTAAGATTCTCGCTGTAGCGAGATAATTTTTGCTGCAGCGAGGATGTGTCGCTGTAATGAGGTAGGTCTCGTTGTAACGAGAATAAGACAGTGAAATTGGAATATTATGGAGCTTTCGCAATGTAGCGAGAAAAATGGATAAGATTGTCTCACCTACAGTGAGAAGTTCCGCTATAGCGAAAAGGGTCTCGTTGTAGCGAAGATCCCTCGCTATAGCAAAAAATGCAAAAAAAAAAAAGTATAATTTTATTTGATATTTTTGTCGTAGCGAGAAAACCTCTCACTATAACAAGAAACAACTTGTTGTAGCATGGAGTATTACGAGTAATCTCTTGCTATAGCAGAAGTGCTCGCTGTAACGAGAATATCGTGATTCTGTAGGTATTTAAAGATTTTCCTGCATGAAAACTCGTTTCTCATTTTTATTTTACACTTTTCTTCAATTTTTCTCTGAAATCTCTCCTTCTTTACTCAAATTTAACCTCTCCAAATGCTGATTTTTCCTTGAATCAAGGACTGGACATTAGTTTTAAGCAATTTTGAGTAAGTTTCTCTGAGTTAAATCTCATTTTCATCGTTTGTTTTCCTTTGAATCTTATTCTCAAGGAAGGTTTTGTGATTGTTTACAGAAAGTTTTTGTTTTTGAATGATTTTCATCATCAACACTTTTCTAAAACTTCAGTATAAGGTAAGAGGAACTTTATTTTATCAGTATATTACAAGTTGTGTGTTGAGCTCATCTGAGCTTTATCTCATAATACTATATAATGATATGTATGTGTTTGATTAACTATTATGTGTTTGTGAGATAAGAGAAACGTGATATCTTAACTAAATAACTTCATTAATAATTTCTGAACATGTTAAGTGTAATATTATGATTATTAAAGTGAAAATGCTAATGTATTGTTGATATATGTTGAACAAAATGATAATAATATTAGAATGAATATTTTGATTGTTGGAGTCATATATTGATGTAATGAGTAATGTGAAAATTGTCTGAAAGTGCTCATCAGCATGATTTTGCGACTGGATATCTGGGGAAAACGTAAGGTTGTGAGCGACATTCACGTTTGTGTACATATTCTGTCTAAGAGCAAATGCGCCACATGACTTTACACTCGTTTCTTGACTAGACTCTTGGCTATGCCTTTGCTAAGGGGTCCATTATTATATACATTGTATCCGTGTGCATGGGCTAACTGACGACTGTTTACATGATTGAGTAAGACATCGAGAACTGATGGAGGCATCGAACGATTGCGATCACAGTGCACTGAAAGTGCGTGTTTAGAAATGAAAATGATGAAAGTGTGATGAGATTGTGTGAACATGCATGTTAGCATGAGAATGGCTAATATGTGGTATGAATTGATATTTAATTGTACAATTATAATATTGTTATGATATCTCTATATTGTATTTGAAACCCTACAGGTAGTAAAGATAACGACACGTCCCATGCGGATTAGTGTAGTATATGTCCATGATAGTAGTAGATTAAATTATGTTTTTAGAGAATATAGACATGTAATACATTTGGATTTTAGAGTGTATTTTGAGGAGGATCAGGAATGTCCATTAGGAGTAACCTATAATTATGCAGTTCCTTTTGATTTTTTCATAAGTGGTCAAATTCACCTGTCTCTTAGTTTTCATCTATATCAAAAAATAGAAAGGCCTTATCGGATCATGAATAATGTATTTACTTATCATGATCATGATTTGCTAGGAAGGCCTAATAGCTATACATTTGAGAGATTTCTTAGTATAGAAATGGTGGTGGACTTTGGTGACACCTACCTTGATGAGAATGATGAATTAACCGCTGAAGACTTAACGGAAATTAAGAGATGACATGATATAGACGAATATGTGGGATGAATATGAATTGTTGTATATTTTGGAATATGTTAAATGAAACGTTTGTAAATGTAATATTCCATCTTATAACTGAAACTCAGAGTATATTAATATAGATTTATAGTATATTTATGCAATTATTTCAAATTTTTATGATTCTACACGTGACTTTATTAATGTAAATATTTTATTTTAGTAAATTTTAATTATTTGGCTGATGAAAGTTTAGTAATTCCTTATAACTGTTCATAAAATTACATATTTGAAATCAAGAAATATGGGGTGTTACAATTAAACCTTCAATGCGATAGGAGTTATGAAGGAGAAGTTGCTAAGATGACAACTACATATCAAGAAGTGAGTTACATATGAGACTCATATCTTCTTTCCACCATAACCCAACATAATCATCAGGCTCATAACGTTAAACAACCGCTCAAAGGCCTTTATTTTCATTTTATTTCCTTTTATTTATTTTTATTTTATTTTTACCTTTTTTTAGGATAAAGAATAAGTATACTAAAAGCTTGAAGGAGACGAGTTGATCATTACTGTACACATACTGTGAACTTTGATTCATAAGAATGCACATGCATGTAGTCATAGTTGCAAAAAAAGTTCTACTTTATAAGCATGGGCGTCCATATGGCCTTGCATGACCGTGCTGCTCTCCTAGAAGATTGTTGCGCCCAAAGAATCATAATTGTGACTCTCAAATAGGCAATTTTTTCAGACTTATCAAAGAGTCTCTCTCCTTTTGATTTTTTTAATTGGTCTCTTTGCATGCATTCAATTCTTCCAAATATTGAAGATAATATTTTACTTTAAGTATGAAAGAGTTCTCAGTATTATAATTGTTATTGAATATTTTTAAGTAGATGTCTGTACTCTTTATCATGATAATTTAAAACTTTTTCTCCCAAACAATTCAATTTTCTCTTATAGAAGAGCATGTTAAGTGATTATTATTGGAGTAAGATTTTCATTTGGAAACTAATAATTAATTAAGTTTTCTACTTTTTTGCTTTACATTAAAATTGAACTCACAAATGTGAGTTTTGAGCCTTAAAAGGAGATTTTTATCCTAGTGTAATTCATTGTACCTCTTTCTTCGTTGCTTTGTGACATTATTTCCTTAGAATTTGTGCTCTAAAACTTGACTTGTAACCGACTTAAAACTACTCTTTTTTATTGCATGTTTTAATATGATTGATGCATAATAGAATTTTTATTTTTGGCCATCATGATCTAAAATACAACTAGTTGTCCACTTTGAGTTTTATTAATTTTTCTTGGTCCTTTGCATTAAAATTATATAATATTTTATTGACTTTAAGTTTATGAATGGAACAATTGAATTGTGAGTTATTAAATTATTTGATAAATTCTTCTTAACATTCATACGTACAAAAAGAAAAAAATATGTGCAAATAAATAAAATAAAATAAAAAAAGAGAAGAAAATGGGTTACAAATATTAATAATAGTACTTATGTAAAAATATTTAATTTTATTTTTATTATAATATTTTTAGGAAAAAAAATTTATACTTTCACTGGGAAAATGCTTGTTAAACAGAAAATCATATATACTTTCGTTAATAATGGAGATTTTTTTTTGTTACTTAGATAGATTCGTTCTAATCCGTACAGCAGATGTTACATGCTCCTAAAATATTGCATTCGATGACATTTATTATAAGTTCTTGTAAATTAATTAATATAATGACACAAATTCGATTTTTATGGTTGCAAGTTCTTTTTAATTTGACAAGTGAATCATTTTTCAATTCTTTGACGTACTTCTAAGAACAAGATTTTTGTTTTTCAAGAATAAGAATTTATGCTTTTAAGTGAAAGTAGAACACACGTTGCACGAAAATGATTTTTTTTATTTCCTTTAAAAAAATTATAATAGTTTTAATGATTGAATAATAAATAAATAAATAAATTGAGAAAACAATAAAAAAAAAAAGAGGGAAAGAGATGTTTTTATAATTGTTTATATTTAATCTAATATTTTATAAAAATGAAAAGAGAAGAAACTAAAATTCACCCTCACTTAGTCTTAGTTTCCTACAGAAGTAAATAAATTTAGAAAAAAATATTTTTTTTTACATTAAAAATTATTCTGAATTTAATAATTTTATTAAAAAAATATTTATTTTCTCCCATTTCTTATAAAAATAAAATAAAATATCCCTCCACAGTGTTAAAAATCCCCCTCTCCTCTTTTGTGAGTCCATTGATAAGCTATTTTCAAAATTCATCCAACTTGATCAAAATGCCAATCTCCTAACATGTAGCATTAAGCAGTAGTTGAGACTTAAGAATAAAAATTTGGAAACTCTGGCAATGCAAATCAAACATTCATATTCATATCAAATTATGATAAAGTGGAACTATGCCACATTACCCACTTGAGCCATAAATGGTATGGGTAAGCAGCATATATTGCACACAAATCCTGTCTACTTGTTTTTCACTGAAATTTAAGAATAATCTGCTATTATCCACTTCAATGAATACAATATCAAAGTCCTACATTTGGATATTTTCTTTGCTTTGCAACTGAATCGACATTAACACAATCATAGCCTGAATTGAAAAAGGAAACCTCCATACACCACAGAGGAACAGTTAACTTTAATAGATGAGGACGAGCTAGAGGCACAAATTCAGTTGGGAGTGTGAATCCAAAACAAACATGAAGTTTCATAAGACACACACAGTAACAAATTAGAATTTAGAGGAAAGTAGAAAAAGAATGAGCAATTATGCTCTACAGTTGCTAGATCCAAACAAATCCAAACCAAACTAAAACAAAAGAAAGCACTAGAGAGTTGAGTCCCCTCTCCAAGAGCACAGAAGAAGCAGAATTTTTGGTTGAATGTTGAGCAGCAATAGCAGCAGTAGGAGGAGGAGGAAGAGGATGGACAAGGACAGAGACCTTCATCCCATTGAAGCATTGCCCATTCCCACAAATGAAGTAATATCTCTTAGCCTTATTTAGGGGTATGAAATCCTTCCCACTACTCCAATTCCCCACAGCACCTTCTGTAGTGCAGTTATCATACCCAGTTTGGTTCACCTCAAACACATTGTATTGATTCTTTTGGTACCTGAATGCTGTTAAAAACAAGCAAGACAAAAAGAAAGAACAAGTTTTAGTTCTTGGTAACACAAGTGAGAAAAAAGCTCATTTTTTCAAACAATAACCAAGAATGTTCAAGAACAATATTTCAGCATCTGCTGCTATCCCACTCATTCTGTGTGTGTTCTGTTTTATGGAAAAAAGGGTAAGTAACTAAGCATAACAAGAGTAGAAAGTATGTTGCGTTCAGATCTGTAATGATAAAGGAAGGATCTAACATAACTAGCTATAAAGGTAGATTTGAGAAAGAGAGAGACTAACAGATAAGGTCTCCAGCATAGAAAGTGTGGTTGTTGGCCCAAAGAGTGTAGTTCATGCCAGGGTTCCACCCACGATTGGCACCCACAATGTGATCGGTGGCGGTAACAACGGCGGGGATGAGTAGGAAGAGGGCACATATGAGGTGGGATGAAGCCACCATCTTTTTTCCTTTCTTACTATGTGTTGTGTTCAATTTGTGTGGCGCATGTACACTTCGAACTGGACTTGCTAGCTGGTAAGTATGGGAACAGACCACAAATTATTGCAGTAGGGTCCAAGAAAGTTGGACAACGTTGGTGGCTTGTCTAGTTGTCTTGCTGCCCGTACACATTTGCAATTTCAAACTGCTATTCATACTGCATCCTTCATTTTTCTTTAATTTCAATTTCAAACCTACTTATATTCAATTTAGGGACTTGGGGCAGTTTTTTACATTTTTTATACTTTGTTTGGAACAGAGAAATGAGATGATGAAGTTGAATAGAATTAAAGTGGTGTTTGGATGAATTAAAAATGTAATATATTTAGAAGAACTTTTTAATCTGTACAAGCTGGAACCCTCTGAAAAGCTACCCCATAGTGTTGAAGGGTGTTGATGGCAAATATGGAATTCAAAATTTAGACCTTTATCTTTACTCTATTTCATGCCCCTTGGAAAGGATACAAATGGAAAGACCCTAAATAGCAATTTCTATCTGTCGTTTCAGCCCAACCAAATCGATGAAATGGGTTGAAATCTTGAAATTGTTGTCTCTTACTCTTAAATGTTACTGAGTGCACACCATTTCAACCTAATCAGACAAAGTATAACTTCCTAAATTACACTTAAAGGTAGGTTTGAGAGGAAATTTTTAGAGAAAGAGAGAGGAGAACTTATTTTTAATTTTAAATTAAAAAATTATATATTATTTATTATGATAAATATATTATTAATATGTTAAATTTTTGTTAATATATTAATTTATATTTTTATTTTTAAAAAAGATTAATTTTAAATATAGTTATTTAAAATATAAATTTATGCTCTCCTCTCTCCTTCTTTTCAAAACTACCCTTTCCAAACAATCCTTAAAAATCTTTTATATCAACTAATAAAATTAAAAGGTTTATTAATTCAGAAATTTTTTTATTAAAGTAAATTTGTCCCTGATTAACCACCAAATGCATGAATTAATTATTATGTAATTATTTAAGCTTAATTAGTAATTATAAGTTATCTTAAAAATATAACTACATTAAATTCATGCCTATAATAATTTTATCCACTTCAAATAGGATTCTCACACGATTTATCCATAGTTAAAAATAATAATATTTTCAAATCCTATAAAAAAAATGTGTGAAGTATACATAAAAAAGAAAGAGAATGACAAAAAGAAAATAAAAAAAATGAAGACTTTCTATAGGAAGGTATAAAAAGTAAAAGAAATGAATATAAATATAACAAAAAAAGAAAATATTTAAAAAAATCAAAGATGTTAATTTAAATATATTATATTTTTAGCTCATCAAAATTTAAATAAATGCATTCTTATTTAAAAAAACGACTCCTTATTACACTTTGGTATCTTTGATTTAAAAGAAAAAGGGTGTGCTGAAACAGTGATTAGGAAGTAGAAGAGTAAGTATAATTAGTATAAGAAATAAATAAAAGATAAAAAGAAATTGTGAGATCCACGCATGCTATTTTTCTTCAAAATTATTGAGATAGGGAATGAAGAGATAATATATATTTATTCATTTTTAAGTAAATCCCTCACAACTTATTTCTTATTCTCTTCCTTTTAATTTTTTTTATTAGGGACACATTTGTTTGTTTGAAAACAAAAGTCACTTTCTTTTAGATTTTTTTTCATTTCAAATAATTTAAAAAAATCATTTTCTAACCACTTTCTTTTTATTTTTTTCATTTTCATTTCCAAACCAAAGTGTAAACATTGTTTACTTTCTTTCATATCCTGAAGTTTTCTTTCTTTTTATTAGGGCTGGTTTTGGTTAGCAGCGTGGTGAAGTGAAGGAAAGATGAGCAGCGACACAAAAGGGAACAACGGTGGCAACGTTGGAGGAGGATTCAGGTCAAGATTGAATCACTATCTCTATAGCGGTGACAAAAAACACGTTTTCATTGGCTTAACTCTCATCACTGCTGTTTTTACCATCCCATGGTTCCTTATGAATAGGGGTCAGTTTCCTTTTTATTTTTCTCTTTCAAAATTACTTCTAATTTTCTTTTATTATGAATTTCCCTTAAATTTTAATTTTATATTGCTGCCAAAGTTCCCATCTTTGCATTCACATCACCAATGGGTTGTTTCTTTCACTGATGATGGTTTTCTTCAGATTTGAACTTGTAACATAGCATTTTCAATTTGCAAAATTTTCCCTTTGTTGGATGAAGTTTCGAAGTATGATTAGGGATTTGTCTTGGATGGATGGGTCAAAATTGAAAAAGGAAAAGCTAAAATATCTTTAATTCAATTGAACTTGATGAGGCTAGTGGCTCGCATTTTATCTGTTCGTATGTATGCTGATTAGGAGTAGTACTCACATATAAGATGCTTACTTTGAGAGAACGTGTGCTTAGTGTCTCGAATCTCTTGCTTTACCAAAGTGGTTGCATATGTTTGTATTTGTGTTCTAAGAATAGATGTACCCTTTTGTTACATAAATGAGACCTAAAATTCAGTGAAATTAGTTAGACTTTGTTCAGGAATGGACTTTTGCCCAGCACTTAATGGAGGGATATTGTTAGCACCCTGTCTAGGATTCATGAGTGAATGAAGTTCTGTCATACCTGCATGCTTTTACCAATTTTCGAGTTGAGATTTTGATGGGATTGCTCAATTTTTCTCTCTCTCTCTCCCCATGGGTTAGAAAGAAAGTCTAAGACCTCCCTCTGGTCTGGGGAAAGATAATATAAAGTGGAGGCAAAATAAATTTCATGTCATTAGCTCTTCTCTCTTTCTCGCATCCTTTTTTTGTTGCAATGAAAATTTGTCTATTGAACAAGAGTTGGATGCTGCAGTGGCATACAAGCTGCACTCCTTGGGGGGAGAACCAAAGTTCAGATCCTGGGAAAGGCAATTGTTAGAAGGGTCTTCTAATCATAAAATTGTCTGAGGGATGATTAGTCTCACTTCAGTGTTTTCAGGGATACCCTGGTCAAAGCCAAAAAAAGTGTCAAAGACATATACCTTTCATCCACATTCTATGACATGACCATAAAACTGTCCTGATCATAATGCACTTCACCCATGGTGATATTTATTGTATGGTTTTACCGTTTGAAATCGAGAAACAAAATTAGAATTCTAAAATAATCTTTGCTGTACCCTTCAATGATGTTTTCTTTTGGATTGGTTTCTTTTGATTATCACATGTAGATCATTCAGAATGATTTTATATTTAGATAGTTCTTATATATCTCCACTCCAGTGCCTCCATTTAAATACTTAATCAGTTGAGCTTGTTGTTTCCTTTCAGGAACCAAACACCAGTCTCATCAAGATTACTTGGAAAAAGCTGACAAAGCAAGGAGCCAAAGACTCTCATCCAGTTCTGCTTCTGCCAAATGATCTTCACATCATAGTTTTCCAGTAACACTGAATTAAAAGGCATTGAATGAATGTTTATCGGATGTCCTTTTGTCTCTAGTTTTATTCTTTGAGATGGAGGTCTATTATCCTTTTCCCATTGTCCTGTACGTTAAATTGGTCCTTTTCATTTTTTTTAAACTAATGATGTATAATAAATTTTGCCTATATAATAAATTTGGTTAGATATGTTTTGGCCGTTTACAGTACAGTAACTGGATAGGCCAGATGAGTCAGTAATTTTAAAAAGAAAACTAGTTTTTAATCAAATAAATAATTCTCTTATAAATTTAAAATGTTAAACAAATTTAGCAAATATTGTGAATTGAAGTATAGTTACAAAAAAAAATTATCTTCATTCTGTTTCCCATTTTTCTGTTGCCGTGGCCATTGTCATTTATTGACCTTGTCGCTTTTCAACCTGTTACTTGTTCGGTTTACAAGCAAAATCAATTTCATGTGTCATAATACATGTTTTAATGTAAAATTTATGAATTGGATTAATGGTTCAAAACTAATTCAATAAAATTTAAGACGTTTGGAAACTTAATTTTGTTCAGCGTAGTCGTTACTTTTCAACATTTCAACAAAGTAGGATAACCCAGCTTTTCACCTAGATAGAATTTGTCAAATTTGTTCGGCCTTTTAGTTATTAAAAATTAAAAAAAATGGTATAGTTAAGTATGAAGAACAGCCAACTTTACTCCAGCAACGGGTACTCTGATGAGTTCATAATTTGGTGCTCTTCAATGGATGTTTTTTTTGGTCAACAGTGCTCTTTAATGTTTAACAACTGCTGCTTGTGTTACATTTTTGGGCTGTTTTTCAAAGAGCAACTACCGATAGAATTGGGTTAATAAAAAACTTGGTTTATTTTTATCTTGGATGATGATATGATGTTGTTAGTAGAGCATTAGAGCTCAAAAAACAATTCAAAATCTACTTAATTTTAGGAGTTTCCATTGGGCAATTATGTGTAATAATTATTAAAAAAACGCAAACATAAAGCGCCATGTTAAAATAGCTTGTTCAAAATCTAACTAGGTTTTTAATCTTTTTCTTTTTTTTGGGTCATTGGCTTTAGTCTTTAAATTCCAAATAATACAGGCTTAGGCAAGCTCTACGTCAATGGTGGATCATGAAAGAGGCCCAGGTTGGGTTGCAGGTACACCCCAAATTTGGGGTTCTTCCACATGGGAATACGAGCTGCAAAACGACTATCATTTTTGTCGTTTTTGGTGGACATAAACTCTGTAAACGTTATCACGAGCCCCAACCAAAGTAAAATTGGCACCGCTTAGCTCACTGCCATCATGACAGAAGAAAAACACTTCCTTACTGCCATTCATTTACATTGGACTGTAATTTTAAGACATTATGAGTGTAGAAATTTAGCTAATTAGAAATTAGCTTGAACATATTTTAAAAGTAGTTATTATAAAAAATTAGATTATGTGACAGCCCATAATTAAATAACTAAAAAAACTTTGCACTGTAAATATATTCTAATTACATTCTGTATATTGTTTACATTATACAAAAGTATGGAACTCTTTCTAACTATAAATGAACATCACCTCGATACCAACTGAAGATAGATCAGAAAATCTTTAATCTTTCAGTTTCGGTGTATACAAAATAAATAAAAAATTGAATAATGTTTTGGGAAAATAATATTTATTGGCACTTTATTATTTGGAAGAAATGAATGATGGATTTAGGGAGTGACGCGTCACAAGCAATGACCTGATACCCTTTCAATTTGGATAGAGATAAATATGCGGAAATAATGCACACTATCCATGCTATCAACTTCTTGTATTTTTCATTATTATTAATATAAGATAGAAGCTTTACATTTATCCTTAAGGATCATTAACAAGTCATTTCCTCATCCTCAATTATGCAGAGGAGACTTTACATTCACTTGGACTATATACAAAGTAGGTGTAGACCCACTTTAATCATGATTTGAAGACTAATTATTAACAAATTATATTTTAAAATAAAAATCAAATGTAAGGATTAATATGAGATGAGTAGTCACGAATTCCTGCTCCTTCCCAACCCATCCACTCCTCCCACATGTCCCAATCTGGATCGTTCATTCCCCTCAGTGGTTCATCAACGACTTTATCATATGCTGCCTCGTACAATTCTACAGCATCTGATTCTCCTCTCAAATTGGCCATCACAATCTGCACTCCAATCAGAAACATTGAAATCAAAATTAGGTAAGGCTGTGTTTGGAAGCTTAAATAAATATAAAAACTATGGCCTCAACATGGCTCTAAAAAATATTGCTTTTGTTGCTGTTGAACAATCGGAACTGATTAAGCAAAAATTAAGATAAAGGATAACGCACATCATAAGCCTCGTTGATTTGGTGAAACTGCACCCCACAATTGCTCCCTCTGCACACATCTGGATGGTACTGAAGCACAACAGATAACAAATAATTAGTATTTCTATAGAGAATAACCCAATCACCAGACATCAGTTATTAAAGAAAAGTGGTTTTTTTAAGACCATAACTTCGGGATAAATAAACATCTATCCCTAAGTCAGAACAGGTTGGGAATCAAACCTGCAAAGCAAGCTGTCTGAAAGCCTTCCTAACTTCAGATTCAGAGGCACCTGGTTGTATTCTTAAGGTCTTATAAGGATCCATCACAGAAGTAGAAGAGCAACAAATCCGAGCTTTGTCCATCTTGGTTTGCTTCATTTCCCTGCCTTTGAACTTCATCCAAGAGGCTGAACCATTACCACCAACAATCCCAGTAGCAGCAGCAGCCATTGTTCAATAAAGTCGTAATCTCCCAACCCAGAAATATCAAAAACGCGAATTCACAACGACCCAGAAAGCCTTTGGCTATAAATAATGAAAATTTGATCTTTTTTATGAAGGAAGATTTTGTTTAGGATGGATCAATGCGCACGGCAAGTTGATTTGATGGGGAATCTGTCGGAACCCTAAATAGTGGGTTTGTTTTCCTTATTTTTAAAAATGAAGGTCAATTATTGTTCGAATAGAGCAAAGGGTACGCAATTATGCTGGACACTAACAATGGAATGAAAGGAAAGAGATTTATATAGAAAAACAATTAGTGGTGAAAGGGAAGAATCCGAGGTGGAGCATTCACGGTTCTTATCCATTGAATCAAGGAGTGACGTGGATTTACGCATTTAGTGCAAAAGGACACATTGGGACCGGAAAGGAGAAGGAAGAAAAAAAAACCTGCTGAAAAAGAGAGAGATTCTTGGGTTTATCTTATTTGTTTTTTTTTTTTTAGCTTTTACTTGGTCTTAATTGAAGACTATTTTGTTTTGGTTTGTTCCTAACTTGAGGCATATTGTTGTGGGAGTGGAATATCCCTTCCAACTATGATAGAATACGATCCTTCAGCCCTTCAACTTATCTTAAATTCTTTCTTATGACAGCAAATTTTGGTATTTCATGCTGCCTAAACATGGATGACAATTGTTTCCGGTGGAGATTAAGGGGGATCACAGAATCTTCAAAGTGCTGGTAGTTCATTTAATATAATCATTCATAACATAATAAAGAGTGAATAATAGTTCACTTGATTGCTAAAAAGGTCTTTTAGAAATCTCAATTTTAGTCCTTGGTTAATTTTTTTTGGTGTCGGGGTTCTATTAGTATTGCACCCTTCAGTCTCGTTAGTCATCATTACCATAAGAAATAATAATAATAATAAATAAAAAAAAAACATTAGCTTCCATTGCTAATGGAGACAACCAATGTTACCATGTCACTATATAGTTTTTGATCGAAACTAAGTTGTTTCGAGGACCATGCTAAAAAATTTCCCAACATGGACATGCAGGTTACCATTGCATTGAGGGACTGTTGTGCAAATGAAATTTTGCTTAAATTTTAGTTATTAATTTTTTTTAAAAAAATAACCCATAAAATATAATATATAACAATAGATTAATTTTTTATTCAAATTTATGTAATTTAATGTAATATTTCGAATCAGTGTTCTAATAAATATAACATTATTAAATATTCAGACAAAAATTTGAATAAAACTGTCTTAAATAGATGAATTTTAGAAGATTTTGAGATGCTCAATCAACTGTCACAATTCAATGGACCATCAGTGCTGCAAATATTATTTCCACCATAAAACGAAGGAAATTGTTCTATTCAGCGTCTCAATTTTAAAAAGTAAAAACTCAACAAAAATGGAGGTCAAAATGTTTTTTTTAATAATATAGAGGCAGAGAATGAAATCTCATTTTTTTAATTAAAAAATAACATCCTATAATAACTTTTTAATTAATTGACAGAGTAAAAGTATTCATATTAATTGACTAAAACTTTAAACTTTTCTTTCTTAACACGTATGTTTTATTATATTTAATCCGTTTATTTTTAAAATATCTTTCTCTCAATTTTATTTTAATTTATATTTAAAAGTTATTGTTTTAAAAAATACTTCTTCATTTTCATTATTCATTCGCGGCTATTAAAGAAAGGGATATCGTTTCTCATTTTGTGAAAATTATTTCAAAAAATCTTAAACTTAAATATATTTAATATAAAAAATTATTATTGATAGTAAAAATATTTAATTTTTAAATTTGTAAAATTTATAAAATTTTAAAAGAATCATTTAATTTTTTTTAATTTCTTACTTAAAAACTATTTTCACTAAATAACACTTAAATAGTGCATGCATCTTATAATAAAAAAATGCATGCATCTTTTAGAAATGAAAATTGTGATTAATTTTGTAATTGAAATTTTAAGGACAATATTATTTTAGTTAATTTGCGCGAAAAGGGTGTGGAAATGGGGAAAGTATGGGCGAAGAAGTGAAAGAAATAACGAAACTTGGACGTGTCGACTTTGATGCGGCGTATGTATGGAAAAGGTTTATGACAGAGAACCAACAAATAACCAAAACCAGGGGCCCATCCCATCATGTTTTTTAGTTATTATTATTTAAATTTAATAAAAAATACATTAAATATTATTACAAAATATTAAAGTAGAATTTTAACTAAAAATAATCCTTAAAATAATTAAATTATCTGCGCTTATATATTTGATAAAATTTACTGCATCTTTGTAATTAAAAATTTTGATTTTTTTTACACGTTAAGTAATTTTAATTGTTAATTTTATTTTTTAAATAATAAAATTAGTGATTTAATAAAAATATTAATATTTTTTATTTTTAAGATATTAAAAAATTTAAACTATTAATTTAAAAAATATAAAATATCCTCTTAAATTTATAAGTACTACATTAAATATTTATATTTTTTTATCTCACGTTAATTTTTTTATCCTTTTTTAAGTAAATATTAAGTTTTTAATTTTTTTATCTAAATTACAACTAATTTTAATTAAAAATAAATCTATTTAAATTGGGTAGTAGTCAATTTTTTTTTCTTACCTTGAATTGAATGAAACGTTGTCTTCTTCGCTAAATATTTTTAATAGAAAAATGTAAAAAAAAAACAATGATAGAACCGTAAAAGGGCAGGATTGTATATGAACAATAGCCTCAGAAAGTGGATAAGGGGCCCTAGTGATCAGACACGTGGCGCACATGCGACCATGATAGCATCAAAATCGATGCTCTGTTCCAAAGATCGGATGGTCCACGTTGCTTATGTGTCTACTCGTTGTTCTTATCTGTTATTAATATATTGTACAGTGAGTGTTTAGAACATTTACATTCATAATTTGTTTTATTTATTTTTAAATGATCAAAGTGTTACAATTCTTGGATCAGATATATTTTATCCAATTGTTTATTAAACTACATATATATATATATATATATATATATGATTTAATTAATTATTTTATATTTTAGTTTTCAAAAAATAACAGTTCTTTAAAAAAAGTTTAATTGTACTTTTTCAATTTTGAATATATTTTATTTTTATTTGAAAATTATAATGATTTTTTAAAAGCACACAATTTTTAATATGTGAGTAGTATATAAATTATATTTTTCAGTGTATTTTCTTTGTATTTAGCTAAATATTTTCTCTAACCTACATATCTATCTTTAAAAAAGTAAAACAAAAGGCTGTATTACATTTATAATCAATATTTTACTCTATTTTTATCTCAAACAATCTCAGAATTTAATTTTTATATGTAATATGAAATTGCTTATAACACGAGACGAATATATGTATATAAACATTTTTGTCGAATACTTTTCTTTTAATCATCTTTAACTTATCAAATAAGAGCAATTATATCCCTGAATGTTTATCATCAGAGAGTACAGAAAAAGGCTAAAAATCATAAAATGGAGATAAGCTGCATTGTTTTTTATATGTGATCATGTTCATTTGATAAAATATAGTAAGAATATACTTCTGTAGATGTTAAAGTCATGTAGATTTGTCACTTTTCTTTCTGAAATCTATTTGACTAATAAGGTATTGGCCAATGAAACGTCCTTCGCTGTCATTGTAACACGGCATTTAGTATTGGAATAAAGTACGATTAGCTTTCGTTTATATTTATTTAAGCAATCACTACATGTACTAAAATTAATTAAATCTTACTGATTATCTTTAACTAGTGTATTTGCAATATTTAAGTTTAAAAATAATTATACTTCTTAAAAGGCACAATTTTGTGAAATCTTATATTTATACGGGTTATGATTTTAAAAAGAATCAAAATATACTTCAATTTTATAAACATAATCTTTATTTTAGTAATAATAATTATTCAGTAAAAAAAATTAAAACTAAATATTTTCCCTAGTTAAAATGTTAAATTTGTAATAAATATTTTAAAAGTTATGAATAGAAAAGAATAAATCAAGAGTTTTGTTGAGTTTCTGTATATGAAATTGAAATTACAAAATATTTTATTTAGTTTGATATTATTGTTTTATTTTGATTATTGTAATATAAAAGTATAATATATACAGGTAAACAACCACCTTAACTTTTTGTTAGGTTCACTTTTTAATTTGATCCTTCAAAATTAACTTAACACTAACTTGTATATAAATTGATAAAATAAATATTAATTATATAATCTCAAAATACTACTATGAACATTTAATAGACTATCATTATTTACTCAAATAAGTTCGACTATCAAATTTAAAAGACTTACTAAATGACTGAGAGTCAAATATTTTAAATTTTACAAGCTTTAAAAAAAACTAGTCTGTTTGATTTAATATACTTGACGTGAGTTTAATAGCACGCCCTAAACAGGTTGTTTAACCTATTTCTATTCTTAGTTATAAAGATAAAGACAATAAAAAAAATTAAAAAACAAAAACAAACTTATGATATAGATATACATTATCGTTAAATTGTGGTATATAACCTTTAATTTAATGTTTAATTTTAATGATTTTTTTTGTATTTTAAATAAGTTTTTATAAGACTCGTGTTTGAAAATTGTAATTTTATTTCTAGAAGTTTGATGTTTTCCGCACTGAAAATTACCGTAGGGAAACAAATTTGCTGATATAATAGCTTGTTAAAGTGTTGATAAAGGTAATCGGGAGTATTCCGTGCAATATACATAGTCCGCTAAATATAGATAAAACATTAAAACATGTACAAAATTGATTTAATTAACTTTTTGGCGATAATAAAGATAAATAAAAATATTAAATTATTTTTTCTATGTTATAAAAATTAATTTGATCGATAGAAGATAATTTTTACTGATTGCTTGTAAAAGTTTCGTTATGCTTATTTTAATTGGAGAAAGTTAAGCATTTATCAAGAGAGTAATTGAACATTTATAACACCGTCAAGAGAATCACGGGTGCATCAACTGTAAAGGGGACCAGTCTTTGGAGTACAGAAACCAAAAAGATCACATTTTTTAAACTTTCGTACACACAACTAAATCCTTAAGGAACTTCTACTGATCATAGGTAATGAATATAGCTCCAGAAACCAGACACGTTCTTTTACGCATTATTTAGGTCAGTGAAAATATTGCATTGGTAAGTTTCCCAAAGGTGATTTTAGCCGTCCAGGTAACTGTCTATCAGCATGCTTGCTGAACCATTTTTTTTTCCTTCATATTTTAGACATCCACACTTTATGTACAAAGCCAATGATAGCCCCACGAAACAGCAGTTTCGTCACAAATTTACAATCCCCTATTGAGAATTAACATCCTGAAATCTGGATATAAAATAGTACCCAAGAACCTCTGCTCACCAATGCTTCAACATGCAGTAAGAAATTGAAGGCTATCAAGTCAGGACTGAAAATCTCTCACTTTGATCCTATTTTCTCTGAAACTCTATCAGCTTCAGCTGGTTGGGCAGATGACTGGGGCTGGGTCGTGACAGAAGCATCTGGGCTGGAAGGTTTCTTGAACTGAATCAAGATCATGGTCATGTTATCACATCCCTCACCCCCAGCTGTTGGTGCCAAGCACCTATCAAATACTTTCTCGCAAACCGCAGAAAGTTTATCCTCCTGCATAACAATGGTTTTATATAAACGATACAACGAGATTTTGCAATTACAACAATGTGAATGCCGTAGCCAAATTATTTTTCATCCGCAAGGTAAACATAGATAACTTACTGTCTTTAACTGTTGATGTATAAAGTCCACAAGCTGCTGGCTAGACATGCAATCCCTACACGCATAAGATGTTATATAAGAGTAGATTAATTATAAAGAGAATTGTAAAATTAAATAGGAATGTTTGTCATCTATATGAATTTGATAATAGCAATGGAGTTTCTAGAGAAAAATAAAGTAACCAAGTAACCTACCATATTCCATCACAAGCTATTACAAGAAATTCATCATCATCACAAAGCTCAACCTGTTGCAAAGAACATACATAAGTTAATTTAAATTGGAGCAAAAAGAAAACAACACCACAAAGGAACGTTTCACTTAAAAGTAAAGCCAGACAACATATAAGAAATTCGTATTAGACTTTTTCTAAACATTTTTTAAGTTCATCGAAAAATGAAAGAGGCCAAAAATACTCTTTCCACAAATATTAACTTCTCTATAAAATAAAATAATGCATAGACAATACTTACTGAATTTATGTCCGGATCAGCAGTCACAATCTGCTTTTCGGCAGGCAAAGTCTTGTTCTGCTTGAATTCCATATCTCCTGTAATAGAAAATAAATTATATTACGAATACTGGGGACTGGTGAAGGAAATAAAAAGCCTCGTTAACAACAAAAAATTCAGGAGAAAAATAAACCCTCTATAACATCTAAGAATTTCTATTACCAATTGCTCTAGCCAAGTTTAAACTTCCATTGACCCGTCCAACTTGGATGAAACCACCAGCTTTTAGAATCCTGTCTTTCTCAGCCTCGAGTTCAGGCTTGTGATCTTTAGACAAATTGTGTGCCTGCAAATAAAAATTCATTAAATAACTCTGAATACGAAAATAATCAAACAGTTCCTGTCCCATCAATTCATAGACATTAAATGCATGTTTAATTTAGCTTATTTTGAAAAATAAACACTTATTTTTTAACAGCCTTGTAAGAGAGTTTTTGAAAAATAAGTGGTTATTTTCCTAACAAAGAGCTAATTCAAACTGGAAGTAAAACTATATCTGCAGGTTTGGTTTAGCTTATTTTGAAAAAATAATCACTTATTTTTAACAGCCTTGTAAGAGAGTTTTTGAAAAATAAGTGGTTATTTTCCTAGAAAAGAGCTAATCAAAACAGGCACTAAAACTATACCTGCACCCTATAAGCTTATATTGCTTGTCACTAAAATTGGAGAAGATTAGAGAACTGCAAGAGAATGTAGGAATACCTGGCCCTTCCTTGATAACACACATCTAGAATCTCCAGCATTAGCAACAACAAGTTTGTTTCCTCGCATGACAGCCACACATGCTGTGCTTCCAGAGGTTGGTCCACTAAAATCAGAATGGGGTCCCTAATGTACAGCATAACACATTCTCAGTTCAAAACAAACCTTTCTACTGTAGAAGGATTGGAAGGGTATATGCCCCATGTCCAATCTTATAATCCGTGAGTCAGTGTATTTGGACAAAGATTTTATTGAGAAACAAAGATACATAGCTAGAGGATAAGGTTTTCTCAAAACGTCAAAAACTAAACATTATAATTTATAGTTGTAATTACTTAATCAGGAATCACCTTCTGTCACTGTCAAATATTCACATAGATCATATCATATTCCAAGAGTGGACTTTTAAGGGCTACATTTATTCATACATCACGCTATCACAGTGAACAAGAACCCCATGTATGATGTAGACAATTCACAAAACGTGAAACAAACTTGAAATAATGAAATTCAAACATACACAGGCAAAGTATCACCAGACGGTTTAAGAAAATGGTAATTGATAAGTGCTGTTTAGTTGGTCAGCAGTTCAAGCAAAGAAAGTTGTGCAAATAACTCATCAACACCAACACATGCCAGTGCAGTCAAATTATGTCGAAGTGCTATTTTTAATATTAAACTTGTATTTGACAAAAAAAAAGTAAATGCTAAAATACATCAATAAACATGCTTCACAGCTTGAGTCATTATGAACACAGCTTAGGAAAGCAAACTATAAGAGCTTCCAATATATTGACTATAAGCTTAAGTTTGATACATTGAAACCTTTCCCACATGCATGCATGTAAAATAATAAAATAAGTTAGAAAAACAAGCAGTGGTGGCACAAGAAAAACAAAATGTGCTTCTTATTTGTTACCTCCTCAAAAGCCCAATCATCAAAACGGTCATTGGCTTCACTACTCCTGGGAGACCATATAAAACCCTCTAGCATACCAGAAATCTTTTCTATTTTATCTCCCAAGACTGCTAATTCCCTCCACCCTCTTTGTCCACGCATCATCTCATCCATTCTGCCTCAATACAAAGGAAAATATTAAAAAAATAGGACAGAAACATCTTCACACATTGAAATGCATGTCACCTAAACACTTCTTTACTTGACAAATATTTTTGTTAAATCTTATTTTAAGATGATGTATTTGAGTAAATCTGGGCTACAAAAAAAATGAAGAGATAAAAAGAGAAGTTTTAAAATTTCTAATAACTCACAGGAAAAGAGGAAAATAGAGAGGAGAAGAAAGTGTTTTATAATTATTTGTAAGCGCCCATAACTTGGTTTCCAGCTTTATTTGTATCTTGAAGAGTGTATGATGCCAAATCTCCCCTGGGGCATATAAAATGGATAGATAAGGTAAAGAGGTTTGGAGCAACAGTTGAACATGTCATACCACAGGCTTGAGCCTAGGCCTAATTAACTTTTACAGATGAAGGACAACTACTCTATTATCCAATTCCCTGATTTTTATTGGCAACCAGTAAGATTGATGAAAATTCTAAACAAAATTACCTGAGGAAAGATTTCTGTAAAGATGTGCCCAAATCTCCAGCCAAATAAGCTTCACTCTTAAGCACCTGCTGGTGTAGATACTTGGCACAGAATTTTGAAACTGCTTTGCCTGCAGTTTTGAAATAGTTTCAAGGTTTATAAACGTCTCAAATCGCTCAAGTGTGCTATAATGAATACTAATTGAGTCTGGAATGGGCTAATAGTCTAACACAGATAAATGCACACCCAATCACCCACACATGCCCCCAAAAGGAGGATATTCCCCCTGTCCTTTAACATGGCTAGCAGAACAAAGTCCAACATAACCAAAAATAAAATCTAAGGGTGGAAAAAAGCAATCTAGACGTGAAGGACATTGGAAAGCATTTCTGTACATGCTCATATCTGACTTCAGGTGAATCTAATAAGATATAATATGCCAAAAAAGCTAAAGCTACAGGGATTATGTTTGTCAATAGGGTAAAGATATTGGACTTTTGAACCATATATAACATAACGGAAGCAATACGATTACAATGCAATTATTTGAAAAGAAAAAGAAAAAAAAATGCAGTATTTTATGTCCTATGACGTTTGAAAGAATTATAATTCATGTAATGCAGTTATTCACATTTTAAGTGACATTAAGTCAAGGGAAAAAACAAAGCAGATAAGATCTAAAAGAAAAACGAAAACCTGATCAGTAACACAATAAAGACGACAGTATGTTTAGTGATAAAAGCCACCCATGTAAAGGTGGGTTCCAAAGGAAACTTCAAAATGAAAGCATCAAGCTTCAAACAATGTCAAACATTTGCGATCCCATCTTCACTGCACTCAATTTCCAAAGCAATGAAATAAATTCCCCTTATTAAACAGTTTACAGGGATAACTCCAATGGCAGGAAACAGGTCAAAATTAATTTAAATAATGAACAAATCAGTAAAACTATTTCCTCACTGTCTTTGAAAATATATGGACACATTAAATAAATATTATTGAAAACCTAAAGATCTAATACTGACCTCCATGGCCATCATAAACACCAAAGTAAGACGTAGATTCGTCCAAATATGGATGAGCTGCATGCTGGCAAATAATGCAAAAGAATTAAAACTTGTATACACCATTGAATAATAGAATGTAATATAACAAAAGGCTACTGAAGTACAAAAGCATCAAGGTAGATCAAGCATCTGCATCATATGTATGTAGTTCACTTCCAAAGAGAAGTAATTTCTCATGTGTGTAAGAATGCTAGAGGAGGGAAATTTATCCCACCGAAAACATGAAAAACTAAGAGTTATATTTGCTCATTCAAATCAATAGCTGACAGAAATAATTTAAATTGAAGTGCCACAAATAAGCGATACCTATGCTATCTTCAATATAGCAGATTAACAATGAAAAAAAGTAATCTATAAGTGTCTTTGAACATAAGATTGTGCTCCTTCTACAACTTTCTCAGTCAATTGCACAGATACCAAAATTCCCAATCGACTACTCACTGTTATGTCAATATGTATGTCATACAGTCAATTTAGCTTAGGATTTTCCTCACACTTCGTTATAATGTAGAACTGGCAATAAACAATAACTTCCCTTGAGTACAACCAGAGCATTACACACCATATGACAAATAAACAGTAAGCAAGACACCTGTTGATAGCCACATACAAAACAAGTGGCAACACATGAAATAAGATGAATCAAAAGAAAAGAGTAGTTACAGCATCTTCCATTGAAGCACGCCAGCCCTGCATGGAAGACAAACCGTAGCGAAGCCTGTCGTTCTCACCATCGTCAGACGCCTTATCTGTTTTCGGGCTGCTGAGGTATATCCCCATCTCAAACTACAATCACACAAAACCAAAAAACCAGCATTGAATCACAAGAACACTACTCAGCACCATCACATCTGTGAAAGAAACGCCCGCTTCAATTTCGAATAACGCATTGAAAACAGATCAAATCTAACCATATTTATTAGCACGCGATGCAACTCTAAAGGAAACAATATATTCTCAAAAATAAATAAAACAATTGAACACAGAAAAAGTAATGCAATGTAATTATAAAAAAAAAAAGAAAAAAAAAAGAGCACGCATCAAAATCCAATGCATCACGATTAGTTACTAGTTAGAATGAAAAGTGCGAAAGTAACGAGTCAAACATGAAATCAATGTCCTAGTGCATCTAAACAATGAGGATCAAGCACAAGATAGAATTCAAAATGGAACAAATCCAACAATTGAAATAATAATAACAACCATAATCACAATCAGCAGAAGCAATAAGAAGCGCAGTGGATGAAAGAGGAAAGACGAAATTGATGAATAAGGGTTTGATGGAGTACTCACTCGTGTCCGTACAATGAAATCGGAAAGGGAGGGAGAGAGTGTGTGTTGTGTGTGCGTGCGAAGAGAGAGAGAGAGAGAGAGAGAGAGAGAGAGCGCAATGATCTATTTGTGTGGAAGGGAAGAAATAGAAACGATCCTTTCTTTCAGTTGCCTCTGATGGAGGAAAGTTGCTTTTCGTTAAACCAGCGGCTGCCACGCGCCTTTCATGTTACCACCTCTCTTTTTTATTTATTTATTTATTATATGTAACTTTGCTCGCCAAAAAACAAATTATTAGCTATTATTATAATGTAACTTTGAGAGGTGTGTTTTGTTTATCTTTAGAGAAAAGTGTTTGGTTTATCCTTGGAGTTTAAGAGTGCTATTAATAAAAATATTTTGTATATTAGGATGGGATGGGAATGAATAAACTACTCAAAGATCTAATTTCTTACATGCCGTGGGCAGTTTTAAAAAGTGAGATTAGTGCAAGTTGCCTTAAAACGTTATTGACGTTATGAGTTCAATCATTTTTAAATTTTGTTTGGTTCGCCGAATTTATTCCATTACCATGTTGATTTGTGCAAAGGAGAGATGTGAACCTAATAACCATATTTCAATGATTACAAATGTCCAAGGCATATCAAAATCTGTGGTTCAATAATAACAAACTAGAGAGGAAATTCGATCCATAAAATCAGATCACTTCAATAAGGAATTGACTATAAATGATGAAAATATGTTTTTAGTTTTGAGTAAAAAGACCACCTAAATTTAAAACACTCTTTTTTTAGGAACTAAAAACTAAAACACTTTTCTAGAATTAACATATCTTGCAATTTTTATTGCGTGAACTGCGCTTTATAATTATAATTAGTGTATTTTTTACACTTATTTAAGCAAAAAAATACTAATTTTTGTTTAAGTAAAAATTTAAAAAATACACTAACTATAAACCCTAATTATTGCACAGAATTTCACTCCACTTTTTAGGATATTACTTTTTTCTTGTATGGATCAAATTCGAGGGTATTCACATTCATGCTTAGAACGAGCTTCTTCTTCTTTTGCACAGAATGTGCTTTTTTTTTTTCCCTAAAGGATGAGCTTCTTCAAGGAAGTAATTTATTTCTATATTTGGGCCGTGCCATTGAGTCCATATCCCTTTACATTATTGTCGACCCAAGTAGTGGACAGTAGTGAAGGCCTTAATAGTACAAGGCCTATACTTGAGGTCCTTGGACAGTAAATCACTATTGCAAGCACTTATATATATAAAATGTGGTGTGATATTTGGTTTAATAAAAAGCCTTTTTTTCTGACATTTGTATTCTCATTCTGTTTCACAGTGAAACTGAGGAAAGATCCATCGACCTCTATGAAGTTGTAATTACGTCTTGAAACTCATGCAACCCTCGTTTACCCATACGTAACCACTACTCTGGTCATTAAACATTTTATGAGGTATATTTTATCGACAAAATTCAGATGGAGTACTGTGGGGATGTTAGTGTTACTTGTTTTACTAGAATTAGAAGGTTTCATTCAAGTAACATGCAAAATAAATATCTACATGAAACGGAAGCTCATAAATATTAAAAATTGATATGCTTATCAAGATAAAACTCTAATTTTAATTAGGGAACAATATTAATAATATCTATAATATTATATTTACATTTTGTGCTAATTTTATTTGTTCCTAGCAAATTTATATTATCATTTTTTTCTTCAATTGTAAATTGTGTCACCACCTTAATTTATATGTCATGACTATTAATAGAATCATTACCAGTAAAGTCTAACGTAACCAGATAAGTACTGATAAAATGAGAGGACAAAATCTCGATCATAGAGAGTCTACTACACTAATGGTAACAACTTTCCATGGAAGCAGAAGTAGATGTAATGGGTAGGCAAGCCATTGCCACTCAATCACTCATATCCCTCTCAGGATTTCTGTCTTCGATAACTTATGTGTTTGTGTTTGAACATTGACGTTGAACTTTTAAATATATCCAAGCAAAATATATGTACTTTCTTTTTATTTTATTACAAATAATCATTTAAATAATTTTTTATGATAAATTATATAATAAACATAAAATTATTATATTAAAAATATAAAAGTATAATTAATAATAATAATAATTTAATAATATTATTATTTATTTATTTATTTATCTTATAAAATGAGGCATCGGATTCATCCTGATGCGTCATTGGGCGCGACTTGCTGACGGGAGAATTCAATGCAACGAGGCAGCATCCCTTCGATCTGCTTTGTCTATCCAAAGTGACTTTTTTGTACGCGCAGTCATCATTTATATTTCTATAGTCATTTTTTTTTAGATAACTTTGGTTGCTTTCATAATACTATTAAGTAAAACAATTTTATTATATTAAAATTATTCATAAATATTAATTAATGTTTTTAAGATATTATCTTTTATGTTAGATATTAAACCTTTTTAGGATTATTTCATAGAAATTAAATATTATAATTAATTTTATTAGTAACGTTATATTTATTAATATTTTTTATTTTATTCTTTTTCAGTCAAATTAATTATTTTATAAAAAATCATATCAAATTCTCTGCAAAAAGAATTATATTAAGAATAGAAATAATGTTAATTAAAAGTTTTAAAAATATATTGAGAATATTTTTAATACATTTTAAAAGAGTGTAATATATTTTTTATTTTCTTAACTAATATATATTACTAAAATCATAAAATTCATATCTAAAGTGATCGTAGCGCATTGCTCTTGCTCTGGACCCACCACACCGACCGAGTGGTATTGGTTTCTAGAAGATAAGAGTTGGTGAGTGAATAGCACCCGGCAACCATCCAGAGGAGCATATAACTTTTTTTTTTTTTTTCTTTTTAGGAAGAACAATTACTTTCTTACGTAATCTATTAATATAAACAACAACTTTCATGTATCTATGCTGTCACACTATTCATATGTTTAGCAGATCATATTTTATTTTAAATCAAACTTATTAAGTAAGTAAAATGTTATTATAAAATTAAATACATACATGGATAAATATAGTTTGTGGGTCTCTCTTGCTATATGACTCTTCAATTAGTTAATTACATTCTCATTAGGGGCATCGATGTTAAATATCGATAAATAGGCATCAATGTACAATAACAATAATTATGTACTTAAAACAAAGGTTTGAATTTCAAAATGATTATGCATGAAATCTCTTTTGGAATATTGTAATTTGAATGAACATGGGTAAAAGATGATGTTAAAGAGCTAGTCAATTACGAAAGAGTCTCAAATCTAATAGGTTTTCGATTCGAATTTTTACTCATCTTCAACAAATTATTTTCTTTGAACGACACACTGTCCTTTCTAGCTCCTAAAAAAGTTTATAATAACTGTCTTGAAAATGCAGTTTGAATCGTCAAATGTATGTGAAAATGGTGGGGGAGAAAGAATGTGGTTAAATTGTGCATGCTTCATTGCTAGTATTTGATTAAAAGAAATTATGATTTAGAATTGAAAAGAAAGGGCAGGTCCCTTTCTTACCAAACTTAGGAGATATGAAAGAAAAGGTCGTGTCCACATATGATTAATTGATTACCCTGTGTATCTGTAGCTATGAAGAAAGTGGTCAATGATTCCACTGGATGACGTGGATGCTAACCATTGGTGGACGTAGTTGGCGGGGTTGGTGAGTAACCCAACCCAACCCCTTCTTACTTTGCTTAAAAACTTCGAGTTCTACAAACCATCGCACTCTCCTCTCACTCGCAAGTCACACCCAATCCCAACCAACATTTCAAACCACTGTCTTAATTCCTCTCTACTCTCATCTCTTCCATCACGTAATGTTTCTTTCCCCATTCTCATCGTCCTATTTCTATAGCTCATGCAATTTTTGTTCCATGCACATGAAAACTTAATCATAAGTTTCTCAAGTCTTTATTTAACTCATACTATATGTAACGTGGTGTACTTGTTCAATTTGTCTTGTGGTGATGTGAGTAAATGACAGTGTGACATATATCATTGTAATTATTATTATTATATGTTCTGGTTGATAGTGGGACCGGTGGAACAGCGAGATGATCATCAACGTGAAAGAGTCGACGATGGTTCGGCCGGCGGAGGAGGTGGCGCGGCGAGTGGTGTGGAACTCGAACGTGGACCTGGTGGTGCCAAATTTTCACACGCCGAGCGTGTACTTCTACAGGGCCACGGGCGCGTCCAACTTCTTCGACGCAAAGGTTCTGAAGGAGGCTTTGAGCAAGGTACTTGTTCCCTTCTACCCAATGGCTGGGCGGCTCCGCCGCGACGAAGACGGTCGCGTGGAGATTGAGTGCGACGGCCAAGGAGTGCTCTTCGTGGAGGCGGAGACCGGTGGCGTGATCGACGATTTTGGCGACTTCGCACCCACTCTTGAGCTCCGCCAGCTTATCCCTGCCATTGATTATTCACAAGGGATTGAAACCTATCCTCTGCTGGTGTTACAGGTGATTTTCAATTTTATTCACCTTTTTTTTATGCTGCACACGTGTCCTTTATTGATTCTGATTATAATTTTAAATTGAACTTGAATTATTATTATTGATTATTTTTTATTTTATAAAGATTTCAATTTATTATAAAAATTTAAATTAACATACCAGACATTGACAGTAGCATTTTAGCATTTTGTTACTCATGTACGAGGAAACGTGCCAGGAGTTACGAGAGGAGATACTTCCGCTTATTTTACAATAATAAAATAAATGGTTTACTTTTGTTTTGTGGTATTTATTTTATGAGTTTTATATATTAAGTTAAATTTTTTAATTATTTATTTAAAAAATCATTTTAATCAAATTTATTAATTAAATTTTGTTTTATATTTTAATCATATGTAATTCTTTTACTGAATAAACTATTGTTTAATTGTTTTTAATTCATATTTTAATATTTTATATATACTCATGAATTTTTTAATAATCCATTATATGTTTATCAAACATAAAAAATGATCATTGCGCACATTTTAATATACAGGGATAGCAAAATAAAAAAAAATACAAAAAATAGAGAAACATTAAATGAGTATAAAAAATTAAACATGAAAAAAAATATATATCAAATATAATTGATGCACTTCTTCCTATGGTAAAAAATCCACAGCGAAAAGGAAAACTGGAAGAGTTGAGAATTATATAAATTAAATTATATATATGTAACCAACGCGGTTTATGCTTTAATTATATACATATATCAATTAGTTGACCTTAGTAGAACAATATCATGTTAATTTGCCCTTTTGTTGGAGTTGTTGGGTGGTGTAATGCTAAGTGTCATCAAATAAAGTATTTTTTTTTTAAAAATAATTTATATTTTCTTTTATTTTATCTATTTTTTATTCCCCCGCCCATTTGATATTCTAAAATAGAATGATAATTGGTAAAGAATCATTTTCTCCTAACAAAAAATAAAAGTACTGGGTTTTCAACCAGCGTGATAATTAACGCACGATAAAGTGTACGATTGAATTTAATTTTAAAATAATATTTTTTAAAGATGTATAGTTATATTGTTTAATAAATATAATAATTTATACTATAAACGTCCCAGGAATAAAAATGAAAAAAACCTTTTAAAACTTGAAACATTAGGTCATAATTCGTAGAAAACATATAAAGCTTAATGCATGTTGCTTGAGAGTAAACTTTAGGAATTTAATTAAACTTTTTACATTGTCATTTAATTATATATATTTTTATCAATAAAATAGTTAATTTTGAAGATAATTAGTAGAAAAATTATATTTACCATGCCTTGTTAAATATCTTTACGAAGGTAATCAGTGTATTAGAGCATTTTAAAGACAAGGGTCCACCTCGCTAATTGTATAATAATTAACACGGGTGGGTTGTTGGCACTATCTTTTCTATTCAAAGTTGTCTTCCAAAATGTTAAGTATTAAATATCTGTTCTCAGAATTATAACATTAGTAATAAGCTCTTTCGAACATTTTTTATGATTGGTGTATGCTTAATTAATTAATCGATAAAGCTACAAAGGGATTGCATTACCTACCGAATTTTTGGACTTTACTATTTACAGGTAACACATTTCAAATGTGGAGGGGTCTCACTAGGAGTTGGTATGCAACACCATGTAGCAGATGGAGCTTCGGGTCTTCACTTCATCAATACATGGTCAGATGTTGCCCGTGGATTAGATGTTTCGATTCCACCATTCGTTGACCGAACAATTCTTCATGCTAGAGATCCACCTCGACCCGTTTTTGATCACATAGAATACAAGCCTCCGCCAGCTATGAAAACCCACCCACAACCCACAAAACCAGGCTCAGAAAATGCAGCAGTGTCTATTTTCAAGCTCACACGGGACCAAATCAACACACTAAAAGCAAAGTCAAAAGAAGATGGCAACACAATCAGCTATAGCTCTTATGAGATGTTGGCTGGTCACGTTTGGCGAAGTGTATGCAAGGCAAGAGCACTTCCTGATGATCAAGAGAGCAAGTTGTACATTGCAACTGATGGACGGGCAAGATTGCAACCTCCTCCTCCACCAGGTTACTTTGGTAATGTGATATTCACAACCACACCAATAGCTGTTGCTGGTGATCTCATGTCAAAACCCATTTGGTATGCTGCAAGTAGAATCCACAATGCATTGTTACGAATGGACAATGAATATTTGAGATCAGCTCTTGACTATCTTGAGTTGCAACCTGATCTAAAAGCTCTTGTTCGTGGAGCCCATACTTTTAAGTGTCCAAATCTTGGCATCACTAGTTGGACTAGGCTTCCAATCCATGATGCTGACTTTGGTTGGGGAAGGCCCATATTCATGGGGCCTGGTGGAATTGCTTATGAGGGGTTATCTTTTATACTTCCAAGCTCAACAAATGATGGGACCTTATCCGTGGCAATAGCTCTTCAGCCCGAGCATATGAAGGTGTTTAAGGATTTCTTGTATGACATTTGAGGAATCAAAATGATGGAGATGCTTGCATGTTTTGAATCATTTGAATGCTACCTAAGTGGCATATATTTTATTTATCAACAAAACTTAGTTGTCATTTGGTAGGTACTATTGTTGCTGCTGATCAATTAAAATTAAGGTTTTGTTCTAGTCAAATATAATATGATCGTAAATTATCATAGTAAAATTCTAAAACTTAAGGTACTGCCCTTATAAGTTTGTCCTTTATTATTTTATAGTTTTTGTTTTGGACTATATGCAATAGTTAATTGGACTCTCTTTAGTTTACAATAGACTACTTCCCGTGGCTAAGTGTTATAATCTGTGAACATATAAATGAACCTTAACAAACATAAATCAGTTACATAAATAGCCTATTGTATTGTTGTATACATGATTGCGTAGAAGAGAAAGCATAGTGCAAATTTGGAGCTTCTACCTTGCTCTGCATCAGATGCCTTTCCAGCTTACGTCTACATAATCTCAGTCGTAGTGCACACTTGCGAATATATTTCATTTGATGTTTTTTCAGCAACCCATTTCTAAAAGTCAGTAATTTCCCTGAAAAGTCAAAACAAACAGCAAATAGCAAGCTTGAAATCTGGGTTTTTATACCTCCTGTTTATCCGTTGAGAGAGAGAAAATATATTCTTGTTTATCTGTCTGAAACAAAAATTATTCATATTTACGTGTATATGTAAAGGATCAAGATAATATTAATTTTTTTCTTTTTATTAATACTATTTTATTCAATATAATAGATAAAGTATTTATACTAACTGAGTAGCTCAAAGTGAAAAAAAATAAATTAAAAAATATCATATATCTTTTTATAAAATAATTAGATTCTTTACTTTGAATAATTTTATCCGTTTGAATCATATTGCTTTTTACAATTTCGAAGGTGACGTGTGAATCTAATTTAACCGCAAAGATTTGAAGACACTTAAAAGTGACACAAATCCATAGTGGTTGCAAGAACATGGAATAAAGTAATGTTCTTCCTAAGCATGCTTGGTTTTGTTTATTTATTTATTTATCTGGCTGAACATCATTTTCAATTTAATTAAAAAAAATATGATAATCAAAGCAGCTTTTGTTTTTGGTTTTAATTATAAAACTATTTTATTGCCTTCTGAATCTAGACTTTTAATTCAGCTTCTAGAATCGATAGTAAAATAATTTATCATTGATGAATCCACTAAATAGCTTATAATTTCGGTAACAACCAAATATTCAATCATCCATTCATTGATAAATTAGATAACGATATGCATATTGAGTATTCAGAAGGAGGACACAAACTGATGTACAAACAAAGACGTATATTTTAAATAATAAAGGACCCCAATCGCCATTATTTAGTGGCATTAAAAAAGAGAAACATAAGGTAACCAATTTTTTTGGGCATGGATTAATCAGACATAGTGGAAAGGAAACATGATTAAAGCAAAACTCACGTATATATTAAATATTGTGACCCAAAAATGGGGCCCTGATAATAGTAATAATGTTGGTGCGGAACTTTGACGTGGCCGGCGATTCACATTTGCACTGCCACCAGTTCCTGCTCTTCCTTTCTTTCCTCCGCCTCCGGAACTTCCACCACCTTGTGATTTTCTTGTAGTATTAAATAGTTCTTGTTTGTGCCAATTCTTTGTTTCCTCAACTTTGTCTGTCAACCTTACTGAGTCTTCTATGCTTCCATATAATTTTCCTATCATTGAATAACGTTGACTGTAAAATTGAAAGTGAAAATAAATATATGCCTACAAATTTGGGAAACATGTAGTGTGTGCTTGATTGGAAAACTAAAGAAGTCATGTACCAAGAAGTTCTTGTGCGTGTCCATTGATTAGGCCTTTACCTTCCGAAGTGAGATTCATATTGAACTCTGAGGCTTGAATCCATGAAATGAGTAGGAAGAAAGCAAAAAATCTTGCGTTCATCTTAGGGGTTGGGAAAGCGTGGGGTGATTATGATTCTTTGTAGGGTGTCCTTGACTTTCGTTGAACAATGTCCAAAGCCTAGCAAAGGAAATAGGTTTTGAATTATATGGTCTTGGGTAGGGTTAGGGTGTTATATAGGTCATTAATTTATTCAATGAAGGAAAAAGGATTGTGAGAAGTGATAACTAAGAGGTATGGGAAAAAGTATTTCCTGGAGATAGAATATGAAAAAGTGGCCTGTCCATGCCATTTAAGAAACAGGGAAGAAGTGAGCATGGGTTAAAGTAAATAAATACAACAGGTCCCTTATAATATATACATTTTTTTTACATTTAACCGAGTATGTTCCTGTTATTTTAGGGGGTGATATTTTGTACAGTTCATGTTATAATATACCCTTTGTTTCTCACAAGTTTATCCTAGAACTAAAAAAGGAAATGTTTTGGGTACCACTAAAGTATTCTACCTATTGTTGAGATGTGTATATCTATAATACAATATCACATTCAGTGTTAAATTTTAGTTTATCAAATAACGCAATTCAACTTAGAAAGGTGGTAAATTCTTAAGTTCGTGATGTAGGCATTAGGAATAATCTTAACAACAAAGTTAACAGAACGTACGATTTGACAAGAGAATAAGTATAATGATCTGTGATCAAGTGAAAAGGAATCTCAATGAGACATAAAGTGTAAATGGGCTAATGAGGGAATGCTAAAACGAGGGTAAATGTGAACAATAAATAGTTGAGGATGCTGATGAAGCCATTGTCATTAGAAGCAAGCGAAAAGATACCTCTGGAAACCAAATAGAAGTACTACATAGGAAGGAGTCCAAAATAGCATCCTTAGGCTTGCCAAATGGAGAAGACTGAGGTGTAAGAGGAAAACCACCAAATGAAATTTGAATCTACACAAGGGTTATTAAACAGCCTTTTCTTGTATGATATACAGTTTATGTTGAAGAGATGCGCTACGTACATGGGACATCTCATGTTATGGGGAATAAAGCAAATGACAACATGTTTAGACCTACTGTTATTTCAGCTTTCACGACATGCATGGCTGTTTTTTTGACATGATCGTCACTTTTCGTGACTGTTTCTTTGTAACGACAAGAAAATAAAATAAAATTTGATCCACATGAATAGCCATACGTTAATCCAATGCAAATATTCTGTAAAATAAAGTTCTTTGTAAAGCAAATGCTCTCTCACTATTTAATTTAAGGTCTTTTGTAGATTTCTGTTGCCGCTTACTTCTTAGACTTCTCATTAATCATTTAAGAATTCTAACAATACACCTTTTTTGCATATTTTGAGATATTTTTATAATTGGTTAATTTTCAAAAACAATAAATTAATTTTAAAACGTTATAAATTAACGAAGCAATTGTTTTGTTTTTGTTTTTAATTAACTAATTACGTACAAAAAATATATTTAAAAGTTTTTGCTATTTGTATTTCTATTTTTTTAATGTACACAAAATGTTTCTCTCATGTTAATCAACCAAATTCCATATGTTATTGTATAGTTAATTACTTTTTCTTATACAACCTTTTTATCTTTTTATTTATTAATTTTTAAATTAATATCTTTAGGGCAATAGTTCACAAGATTTTTGAAAAATAAACTGGCTTCCTTTGGTCTCTGTTTTTTCTAGCATTGGAGAAGATGAGCCTCCAAGAAACGATAGTTTATTTGTTTCTTTTTGTTTGTTTTCATTGGATTGCAAATTGGAGCTTGACTCTGGAGTTGGGCCTTTTCACTTTTAGTCAGATGGAGTTGGGCCTATGTGATATCCTCCTATTGAATGGGCTTACGTCTTGATTTCTCCAGGCCCCTTTACACTAACTAGTATCTTCATACCCTTTTAGGGAGCATAGTCTATATAGATCCTGTACACAAACACACACATATTCAAGATTTATAAAATTTCTTGACCAAATATAAATATATAATATTTATCGACAAAATTAAAAAAAGATGTAAAAAATTTAAATGTGTTACATTAATGAAAAAGTGCATTAGATAAATTTGTTACTAGTACAAAATAGTAAATATAAAATATATAAAAGAATATTTAAATGAAAAAGCGTATGAAAATATGATAGCTTTAATGCTTGATGATGACATTTTAAAGAAAAATTATTTTTAAGTCTTGAAACATTTTTTCTTTTTATGTTCATCATCCACTTTTAGAAGTTCCAAATAACATTTCTTCTTTCCGAATTCCGATCATAAACATAGACCATAAATACAATTAAAAAAAATACATAAATAGGAATATATAATGTAAAAAACATAAATAATGATATTTATTTAAATGAGGAAAGGAAGGAACTCGAAAAACCTGGGAGGCTCCACTCTGGATTCTCCAGAACTCTCTGGTTGGTATTGTCTCATTGGGTGAAGTTTCACGTAACACTGTCTCGAATTTTCTTCACCTTCCCTCTTCCCTTTATATCTCAACATTCCCCTGCATTGTCATCACAGTCAATCATCAAAGCAGCTACACATTCACGTTCATCACTACCTGTTCCATTCATTTTCTCACAGTTACACACACTTTTTTTCATTCATTCATTCTTTCATGGCTTCGAAGACAGAAGGAAAGGCCATTGGCATTGACCTCGGCACCACCTATAGCTGCGTTGGAGTGTGGCAAAGCGACCGAGTTGAGATCATAGCCAATGACCAAGGCAACAGAACCACTCCTTCCTACGTCGCTTTCACCGATACAGAGCGTCTCATAGGAGACGCTGCGAAGAACCAAGTTGCCATGAACCCACAGAATACTGTTTTCGACGCAAAACGACTAATTGGTCGCAGATTCTCAGACCCTTCTGTGCAAAGCGACATGAAACACTGGCCATTCAAGGTCGTTCCGGGTCCCGCCGACAAACCCATGATTGTCGTTCAGTACAAAGGAGAAGAGAAACAGTTTTCAGCAGAAGAGATATCTTCGATGGTGTTGACGAAGATGAAGGAGATCGCGGAGGCTTTTCTGGGTCAGAGCATAAAGAACGCGGTTATCACTGTGCCTGCTTATTTCAACGATTCTCAGAGACAAGCCACGAAGGATGCTGGCGCCATTGCAGGCCTTAACGTAACGAGAATCATCAATGAACCAACCGCTGCTGCTATTGCCTATGGATTGGACAAGAAGGCTTCGAGGTCTGGTGAGAAGAACGTGCTCATCTTTGACCTCGGTGGTGGAACCTTCGATGTTTCACTCCTCACTATTGAGGAGGGTATTTTTGAAGTTAAAGCCACTGCCGGAGATACCCATTTGGGAGGTGAAGATTTTGATAACAGACTCGTAAACCATTTTGTCGCTGAGTTCAAGAGGAAGCACAAGAAGGATATTAGCACAAGTGCAAGAGCTCTTAGGAGACTCAGAACTGCATGTGAGAGGGCTAAGAGGACTCTCTCTTCCACCAGCCAGACAACTATTGAGATTGATTCACTCTATGAAGGCATTGATTTCTATTCCACCATCACCAGAGCCAGGTTTGAGGAGCTCAACATGGACTTGTTCCGCAGGTGCATGGAGCCTGTGGAGAAGTGTTTGAGGGACTCTAAGATCGATAAGAGTCAAGTTCATGATGTTGTACTTGTTGGTGGATCCACCAGAATTCCCAAAGTTCAGCAACTTTTGCAGGATTTCTTCAATGGGAAAGAGCTGTGCAAGAGCATTAACCCAGATGAGGCTGTGGCATATGGAGCTGCAGTGCAAGCTGCTATTTTGAGTGGTGAAGGGAATGAGAAGGTTCAAGACTTGCTTCTGCTTGATGTCACTCCTCTTAGCCTTGGTATTGAAACTGCAGGAGGAGTTATGACTGTGTTGATTCCAAGGAACACAACTATTCCCACTAAGAAGGAGCAGATTTTCTCTACTTATGCTGATAATCAACCTGGGGTGTTGATTCAGGTTTATGAAGGTGAGAGAGCCAGAACCAAAGATAACAACTTGTTGGGGAAGTTTGAGCTCACTGGGATCCCGCCAGCACCAAGAGGAGTTCCTCAAATCAATGTCTGCTTTGACATTGATGCAAATGGTATTTTGAATGTTTCTGCTGAGGATAAAACTGCAGGGGTGAAGAACAAGATCACAATCACCAATGATAAAGGAAGGTTGAGCAAAGAGGAGATTGAGAGAATGGTGCAGGAGGCAGAGAAATACAAGGCAGAGGATGAGGAGGTGAAGAAGAAGGTGGAGGCTAAAAACTCTTTGGAGAACTATGCTTACAACATGAGGAATACTGTGAAGGATGAGAAATTTGCAGGGAAATTGGACCCTGCAGATAAGCAGAAGATAGAGAAGGCTGTGGATGAGACCATCGAGTGGCTTGATAGAAACCAACTTGCAGAGGTGGAGGAATTCCAGGACAGATTGAAGGATTTGGAGGGATTGTGCAACCCAATTATCTCCAATATGTACCAAGGTGCTGGTGGTGGAGATGTTCCAATGGGTGCTGCAGATGACATGCCTAGTGGTGGCAGCGGAAAATCATCCACTGGTGGCAGTGGGGCTGGCCCAAAGATTGAAGAAGTTGACTAAAATGTGAAACTTGTTTCTGTTCTCTAAAGTTTATTTAATGCTTTTCTACAGTTATCCTTGAGTGGTTTTGCATTGATGCCCATTAGTAATGTTTTTAGGTGAGTTTGTGTGATTTCACAAGAGTCATGTAAAATAAATTTCCTACATGTTGACCAAGTAAACAACACAGCATTTTGTTTTTCTTTACATCTTTTGTTTTATTTTCTTGAGATAGTAATCTAAAACGACCATCTTTTTTTTTTTATTTCCAAGTGCCTTGTGAAACAATTGCTTAAATGCTACAAGCATTGGTATAATAATAATAACAATAATAATATTAATTCCTCATTCTTAGCAAAGCAGTGGCTATATTGCTTCTTTGAGCCCTGTCTGCTGCCAACAGAACACAAAGGCAGAACATACTTGCAACTAAAACTAACAGAACACCAATTGTGTATGCAAACTTATGAATTCTTCTACGTTGGCAATCTGAGATGACATACGATCAATACCTGATAATACTGAAAAGTGCTTTAAGCCATTGGTGTTGCTTTGTTTTATCATTTTATCATCAAGTTGATCATTTTGAATCCCCTCCATCAGCATCTCGCATAACTCGTATTTCTCTCTCCCGTTACATAATGTAGCACTTGAAGAGAGTCTTGAGGGATCAATGTTTTTCTGGTATAGCCATAAGTAATGTTATTTGACTAAACACCCAAAAGTATAGCATAATTCTCTTTCGTGCATAGAATATCAGTTGCTTTTTTCTTCTACTAATTCAAGTATGGTTGATTTTCAAACCTAATTACATTACAAAAAATAAAGAAAAACTGACAGAAAAAGTCTGCTAGTATGGTCATTTCTATCAATATAAACTTTATTTAATAGAAAATTGTATTGACATATCAATTTCTTATATATAAGTTTATTAATTTGTTAGTAGCACCAGACAGACAACATATTGTTAGTATGTATAATTTCTGTGACAAAACATACTCAAAAACACTTTTTTAGTGTTCTTTACCTCCTTGGATGGATCTCTTGTAGCTATCACCAAAGTGGGGTCATTTTTTTTCAATGCTTCCAAGATAATGACTCCACCCATTTGTGTAGATTTCCGCCAACAAACATGTCACCTATTGATCTTTTTCTAGCATCTGAAGAACTAGAATGACAAAGTAGTCATCTCCTTTCGTAGATGTATGTGAAAGTACAGAAGAATGTTGATGAAATTTTGTTTGAAATAAAATTAATATTTTCCGAAGTCACGGAAGCTACTTAATATTTAGTAACTAATCTTGAAAAATAGTAGGAGAATTAATGTATATTGTAATGCTGGTTTTATCTAAGAAGTGATTAATAAATTCTAAGCAACTTACTCAGCAAGATGGGTCCTTGGAAGAAATTTGCAATAAAGTTCCTCATGTCAGCAACAACCACAACTTGGTTAATAAAAAAAAAAAAAAAAAAAAAAGACGCTTAGCACCTTCAAAATAACAAAACTCAAAGCAACGTCAATTTTTTATTACTATACAGAGAGCCAAATCAAATACTGAAAGACCAAGGATAATAAATCATATATAATTATTTTTCATTTTCCTTATAAAATTAGTTGCATACAGCTATTAGTTATCATTCATCAAACTCTTGGGACAAAGAGTGAATACTGAACACGTTTGGGGGCCCAAGAGTAAGTATCAAAATCTCTATCAAGTTGAAGACTAATCTATACAACATGGGCCTATGTTCATATCATGTGCAAAGGATCCTAAACTGTAGCAGTCCTTGCCCGGCTCTTTTTTTTTTATTATTATTCTGATTACACCATTAATAAAATAAACAATTCATAGTTTTAATCCACACGAAACTTGGGATCTTCCGAAACCACCCAACACGTGGAATTTAAAAAAAATAATCTTTTTTTTATCATAACTCCATTATTTAATCGCTCTGTGCAAGGTTTTTTTTTTTCTTTAATATATTGATACTAGACTTATTTCTAAACACACATTAAAAAAAAGGCAAGGAATGGAAGGAGGTAGAGAGGGGTCCACAGGAGCATTTATTTTAAGGGACAAGTCTCTTTGACATAAAAATTTTCACCGGAACAAGAAATCTAGACCGTTGAAAAGGTTATAATCTAATGGTGATGGTCCCATACAATTATCAGCATCTGCGTGTAAGTTGTTAGAGACAGAGAAAGCAAGACCTTTAGATGGTCGGAGGATCAAGAAGAAAGCCAAACAACACTTCCAAAACGACAATAAATCTTTCTCTCTCTCTCTCTTATTATGTGTTCCTTTGAGAGCTGATGCATGTGTTCAAATTAGTTCTGAACTTGAAGCTTCTTCTTCTTCTATGGAAACACGTGATAGTGATAGCAAAATGGTCATAGATGATGCTTTGAATGCCTTCTCTCCTGTCTCTACTCCTAGAATTTTCTGGAAATCCAGAAGAAGATCAGGTTCTTTCTTCTGAACTTCAAAAACTTTTTTTTTTCTCCTTCTACTCTTTCTTCCTACCAATTTCTCAATTGTACTTACTTTCTCTCATAAATCAAAGTCATGTCATTTTTTTAAGATTTGTGTGTGGAATTCAATGTTTTGGTCATTTTTTCAGCTCTCTACCAATAATCTGTGAATTTTTTTGTACGATTTCTAACTGGGTCTTCCTTTTTCCATTTAGCTTTGGGATTGCTTTCTGGGATTCCTGCAAAATTATTCACTCTTTTAGAGAGAAGCGTAAAACAGGGTTTATGTTTAACAGTTGGTGTGACTTTTATGTTAAGTTGCTTTATTTGTTATCATTGGCTTACCCAACTCCGCTTTTATGTAGTTATCAGTATCCTATAATAATTCAGATCCAAATCTGTTAGAATATGATAAAAAAAAATTAATTTTAATGAAATTATGAAGCAATTTGTTAGCTGATTAGTGCCTCATTATTATGAGCTGACACTCCGATTTTGATCTAATAGTAATAAAAGCAACACGACAAATATTTTTTTTGGTGAATACAACACGACAATTTTAGACATCTTGTTCAAAGTTTTATTTGTGATAATTGTAGATATGATGATTTATTGTATTTCATGAAGGACACAAATAGGGGAAAAGAAAAAGAGAAAAACGCATATCTTGGTTTGCATTGTTGGACAGCCCACCCTCCCTCCCTCCAACCAACCCTCTTCAGTGTAACCTTCATTTTGGTTTCCTTGATTTTGATGTTGCTCTTGTTATCGATGGTTCATCTAAACGTGTCAACATTACCTTTTTTCTATTCCTTTTCTTTTTTTCAATGGGTGTATCTTAGTATTTGTTGAATAGGCTTTCGGTATCCATACTCAACCATATTCAAGGCAATCCATTAGCATGGATTGCTTCACCTTGACTGAAGTTGAAGTCAATTTGTTCATCCAAAAGAATAGGTTTATATAGTATGACATTAGTATAGTTTCGTGTAAAATGGAAGCTGCGAAGTTAGGCTTAAAGCAGGCAAATAAGTCAACTAACACTACACGTAGCCCATTGCTTCTAATATGTGAAACGCTATTTGCCTTGGCCGTTGATAAATTCAACTTTAAGACTAATCTCTCGTGGAAACTTCGCTTCATGAGGACATAAAATACTAGGCAGGGGACAATATAATTATAGGTTTGATCACTTATGTGCTATTTAAGTTATAGATTTCATTTTTAAGTTACCTTGTTACTATTGGCTTATATATTATATAAGAATCATCTAACCGAAATCCATATTTCATCTCAATAACCACTATTTTTTCATCTTGGTAATTAAAATCGATAGCCATTATCAAAAAGAGGAAATTTAATTGCAGTTCTTTAAATATTGTTGTTTTTGTTTATCAGTTAAAATTATAATTTTATCTCAGTAATCTGTAATAACATTAAATATAAATATTTTATTAAAATAAAACTCTAATTTTAATTAATAAACGGTACTTAAAAAACAACATATAATTTGTCTTTATTAGAAAATAGTACCAACATAGCTATAATTTTGTTCTTATGGTAATCATTTGTTGAGTGCAATGGATATGACTACATTGGTGAACATCTTATAGCAAATATAGCTTGTTTTTGTTGTGAAAATTTTCTCAGCTGCAAAAGAGAAATGGTAACTTGTTCCCCACAGGTAGCGGGAGGAATTTAGAGGTATCAGAAGAAACAGGTAATAAACCACCCATGAAGCAAGAAGAAGATCCTCTAACACCTACTCCTGCTAGTGAGGAGTTGAACAATTCCACTGCAGTTTCTGAGCTTTCAGAGCGTCGAAAGGCCTTGTTTGAACCCTTAGAACCTATAAAGAACATCAATGGCCGACGACCCTCGGCTGAGTCTTTACTTCCTCCGCCGGACTTTGAATCTGCAAACTATCCAAAGGGCTGGTTGATTGGAAAGAAGCGAAAGCTTGTCAATGTTGATGTTGTTGAAAGCATGAGAAGGATTGCCATCCAAGAAATGAACAGAAAGGTTCCATGTTTCCTAAGCACCTTGACTTGCTAGCTAAGCACAATTATTATACGCCTGAAACTGAGGCTGAGGCATTTGCTTCTCTTGCAGGATAGGGAAATAGATGGGCTAAATGAACAACTAGAGGAGGATTCACGATGTCTGGAGCACTTGCAACTCCAGCTTGTAGAAGAAAGGAGTAAACGGGCTCGAGTGGAAAGAGACAATGCAATGCTTCAAGAACAAGTGAACATGCTTATGAACATGTTACAAGAAACTGAACATATGGGAGATGAAGGCCAGGATGAACCTTAAAGTGCATTATACCTCCTTAAAGTGTATTATACCTTTTGTGTGTGCGCGCGCGCGTATTAAATTCTTTTTGTAGGTTTTGTCCGGGTTGTTTAGTTGGCTGCGCATATTGGATGTTTCTCTGGTTACTTTATTAGAGTGCATAGTGTAGTAATATATGGGGTGAGATCAAACCCAATGAACATATTATTCATTTATCTCGAAAAGAAAAAAAAAACTGTAAATCTTCTAGTGACTGTATTGGTATTAATTTATATGTTGTTTCTCTTTAAGCAATAAAAGAGTATTGTTCTAAATATTTTTGCTTGTTGATTCAGTTACTCGGTAAACATAAATCACACTCTTAAGATCATTTTCCATTTTCAGGTCTATGATCATTTCATTCTTCATCTTGTCAAGAGGCTATATAGAAAGATTTTCTCACTCGTTCCACATTTTTATATTCTCTTATTTTGTTGAGCTGAAAATATAAAATGTCCCATTATGTCTGTCGGGATTCATCATCAATGTGAATTTCTGAATCCCACTAACAAACAGCAGATACAATATTCACACTGTTGGAAGATCACAATGGATTTAGTGTTGCTTGCAAGCTTTGATAGGTCATTATTATCTAACTTTATTAACAGAATCCTCCGACACTGGAAATAAAAACTGCGGCATAGATGCAATCCTTGGAAGATTAAGAAGTAAATCGCCAGCTGATTCCTTCCTAGTCATGCCAGTTCCCTGCTTGCAGCCAGAAGTATCATCTGGTTGAACTTCCAAATCAGCCACCTTAGTTTTGCATGATGATAACTGTGTGTGTGTGGAGTTGCTCACACCAACTTTTGCACCCTCATCTGCATCCAAACCTTTACCATTTCTGGTCATTGTGTCTTGTGTTGTAGAAGGGTCTTTCTGCAGAAGGCAGTATAGTGAGTTCACCCTTGACATTACATATTGTTCATCAGAGGCTGTTGTATGTTGAGAGTCATTGAACAAGTATTGGGTAAATTCCTCCAGAATGGATCTACTATACTGGCTGTCCCCGCCGAAGATGGGATTGTCAGATGCTATCTGTTCTGAAATGCAATGTCCAATGTGGCTTACCAAATCATCCATTGACATAGAAGGGTGAAGTCCAGGCAATTTTATCTGATCCAAATTACTGAGAAACTTCAAAGTTTCCGCTCCTCTACACCTGAAATCTTTGATTGTTTGGGCGTTCATCACTGCACACCATAAATATTATATATAAGCTTTGGATGATGATAACATAAATGATTATAATATGATCCGTATTTTACACATATGTATGTTATTCTTCACATCATTATATTATATTTATATAATTAGGTAGCGACTAAAATCTAACTTGGGCGGAAGAAATGCATAATAAAAAATAGAAACGCGTATAACCTTTAAAAACTATTCTTCAAAAATTCTAGATTGCTGTAATCGCTTGACACTACACACGTCATATATACACACGAACACAAGAATACCGGATCATATATCATAAACAGGTGCATTTACTATCATATTGAATTCAAATGATGTAAAAAAAAATCCGCAGCAATTACCTGAGCTAGGTGAGGTAATTTCTTGGGAAACATTTTCAACAGCTTTACCCACGAGATTATGTTCACTTTTGGAGGAAGATGATTGAACTGCAGATCCTGATTCCACATCCTGCAATCCAAATATGCTAGCTTGCTCTTCGCTTTTTCTATCAAAACCATCACTAGATTCAATGTGGTCATGGATTGCAGTTCCAGGTTCAAAATATGGAGTCTCCAACACCAAATCTGGCTGTTGGCTTAGAAAGTTGAGACGGGGATCACACTGAACGAGCTTCTCAAAATGCTTGCCTAACAATCCTTGCGGGCACTGCAGAAAATGTCGCCTACGACAACACACAGAATCACATCAGCAAGGAATCAATGTAAAAAACTACCTAAATGCCAAAAGAAGACCACTAATGTAATTGTACTTGTGTATGCTGGCTTGTCCACCAGTGAAGTCTGATGTTGCCTGCCACAAGGTATGCTTCCTTGGCTGTGGATTGATCTCCCTAAAAAACAAGGGTCTTCTTGCCAGCTACAACAAACACGAACATCAACTTAGCATGCCACATAAGAATCATGCTAAATCTACTACTAATTAAATAAATAATAATTTTTTTAAAAAAAAACCACGATGCTTACCACTACTTCCAAAGTTCCTGGTTCATCCTCAGGGTAGTTTGCCTTGAGAGCCATGATATCAGACCATGGAATTTCAATCTTATTCTTAAGACAACCATCAAGAACTTCCCATACCAGCTTATGCTTTGCAAAGTAACACTTTGCCACCAAGTCTCCTTCGTATCTAGACTTATACTGCAGGATCATAACAAGCAAAATTACCATATGCACATCGCATCATTTTTTTTTTTGTAATACTATTCCACAAACTATGAACATACCTCCCAAGTCCCAATTTTCAAAACGGTACCAGGAAAATTGGAAGCCTTGAGTTTAGAATCCGCAGTAGAAGCAGAACCCTTTTGGTCTTTCTTTTTGGGGTCATCTTGTTGGGAGAGCCTCATCTGAATCAAATCCAAAAGGGAAGGACTCTTCCTGAGACGCAAACCTAACGGGCTTGGCTCATCCAAGGGATTATACGAAGCTGGAGGAATTGGAAGACAATCATCACTCGAAACACACTGTTTCAAAACAAAACAAAAAAAACATGTAAAATGAGTCTCAAGAGAGAACTAACTACAAACAAAAAAAGGAAGAAATCGATGATGGGTTTCATCTAAATATCATCGAAATTCAATTTTTAGCAGGAAAAAAAAACCTTCGGGGGAGATTCCAATTTGGGTCGCTTGTGGGAGTGAAGAGGGGGAATTTCATCTTGAATCTCCAACTTCACCTTTTTCACACAGTGGCTATCCGTATCGGACCTCATTAGCTGAACCATGATGCTGACTCAGAATAACGTTTAACTCCGATTTCAGAGCAAAAAACCTCCTTCTTAAGCACTCTTCGGCAATGGCGGGCGCTTCGGAAAACCAATCTTTCTTCTCTCTCTCTTCAGTGGCCGACTTGTCACGTGCCGAATAAAAACGACGCCGTATTTAATATTGAACAGCCAGGTCAAGCGGGGACCCAAATGACAAATATACCCTTGACTCTTCCTCGGACATATGGAGATTTTTTGTCGCCTTTCGTGGGCATATTGAATATTTTGTCTTGCAGTGTGAAACGGCGTTGTTGGGTGCCGTCTGGAGGCACGTGGCATCACGTGATGTTAATGGATAAAATGTGGGTCCCGGTTCATGAACCTTCTTCGTTGGAGTTGCGTGGTGGAATGGAATGGACAGGTGTAAGGATCTGGTGGGATGATTGAACACGTAAGCTAATAAGGTGGGTCCCACCATATATGCCTTTCTGGATAATGTAAATTGCTCTTTAATTATTATTATTATTATTATTATTATTATTATTATTATTATTATTATTATTTATTTATTATGCGTTTCCTTTATCCTAATGGATAAACTTCAGCCTCCAAACCATGCTGTCTAGTTGTCTTTCTGCTTTCGCAAAACATTGCAATTTGTTTCATTTTAAATGACTTTAAGTTGGGCATCAAAGTGGGAAAAAAGTGACATGGGAATACCCACAATTTTTGAAGGGAATTGTTGCCTACCACTTTTTTCTAACATTTTTCTTATTTTGAATAAATAAATAAATAAATGGTTTAGTAGAAAACGTATTTTGCTCATTTTGTTATCTACAAAAATTGTATAATAGAAAGATGGTCCTTATTTTGACCTTTTCCAACCCCAATTCCTAAACAAATGGTAAACATACTGCAAATTTTGAACACTAAAATATATATTATAATGGAAGTAGAGGGGTCTACTTTTGTTAGGATGACCAGGACAGCCCTAAAGAAAAATCACAACTTCAAAAGGAAAATGGTCAATATTTCAAGTCAATTTATCTTGAGGGTCATAAATTAAAGATGGGTAAATTTATTTTTTCGTAATGGGTTTTTATTCTTTTCTTTTTCTCTTTTTTTCCCTATTTATTATAATACTTAAAGCCTCTCTTTATTATTATTATTATTATTATTATTATTATTCTTTTTTAAATAACATACAAACTCGACCTCCATAAACTTAAGTCAACAATTCCAAGTGGTGCAAGTTGTTGAAAGAGGTGAGCTAACTTTTGAGAATTCTTAGCAGACTTCATATGAGGCTATTCAGACTACTGTTAGATTGAATCTTCTAGTTCTAATGCATAATATGAAAAACTATATTGTTTAAAACTTCACTTCAGTATTCATATAAAATTATATTGTTAGATTGAATCTGTTCCTTTTTCTTATATTTCTCCTTTATAAAAATGAAAAATCTCTTTATATCTTTCTAATAATTTTTTTACTATTTTACAAAATGAGTATTAAATTAAAATGTTTATTTATTATTATGTTAAAAATGTAAAATCTATTAAATATTTTCTTTATCTAATAATTAAGAAAAGTTGTAGAATAAAAGGTAGGATGATTTTGAAAAAAAATTAAAATGAACTTAACCTTGCCTTTTTCTAATATTAATCCACTTGGGAGCGTGTTTATGTATATTACAATTGAGCATTACTTTTCATGCTTTGAAAGGTACTCCATTTCAACGTTTCATTTACGGCATGCGACAACATTTACATTTCTTTTTGTCAATCAATCATTACATATTACTCCTTTTTTTTTTTAATACAAATGGTTAGCCATAAGCACCTTTCCTAACCAAGTCTGCAAATTATCTTAATTATAAAGCAAAGCAAGAAAATTAAGCAAAATCCAAGCGATAACATCAGAAGCTAAATTTATAAAATTCAAAATTCTCAAGGAAAATGAAACATTTCCTACGAATGAAAGATCATTACTTTATAAATCAGAACAATGATTTTGACAATGATTGATGTTGTAAACCATATATTCATTCATCCCTTCAAAAATATCTTAGTTTATTTTAATCTACGCTAAACTGTTAAAGCAAAGTGGGTTAGTTATGAGGATCAGAATTTTTTACCAGACTACTAGGAAACTAATTTTTTATATTCTTAAACTAGTGAGCTGTGTAGTGTCGGAGACACTTCTTGAAGTAATTGAATATGTACTTGTTACATTTAGTTTATGGATCTCACGCTCATCAATTTTCTCCACTTTCACACATACTCGATGGTAAGTTGGAGTGATTGTGTTTGACACTTCGATGAAATTCCATCTTCAAACCCATTCTGTAATGATCACACACAATTTTGTGCCTTCAAAATGACGTGAGAGCCATATCATTCATAATGTGTGATGTTTAGTGTACAGGAACATCATCTTTATTTTCACCAAATGATTCAGAACCAAGAGTAACCTGCGCCATCCAAATGTTGTCTGCTGATAACTCTAGGTCAGCATTTACTCTCTGCAGAGTTCGATGATTAAATAACAACCATAAAATATTGACACAAACATTCGAATATCTGTTATTATTTTTTATTTCCACCATGTCAAAATATCTAATATTTTATCTAATAAATTCACACCGTATATTTCAAGCACAGACAATTGACCATTTGGATTTGGTTTATGTAAGCTAGTAGATACTTAAATAAATTAGAAAATAAAGTACTTTAACAGCTTTGGCTTTTGATGAAAATAACTATACAGTATGTGTTTGACGAAAATAACTAGAGCTAATTTAGTGGTCTATTCCGGGGCTTGAGAATATGGCCCACCAAGTTGGCGAATTTCTGACCATAGCTGGGCAAGTAGTTGTTAAGAAATGCCAAATAAACACAGTCTACAGAGAGATGTTCTTATCAGACTGTGATCAATATATATCGTATAGAATATGTACGAATAATGCCATGCTTGGCTGTGTCTAGTCCCAGTTGTACATAATAACTACACATGATTACATTGGATTTGAATAAAACATAATAATACTAAAGGAGAAAGGCCATCTAACTTCGAATGAACCACGTTTTTAGTTTTATAATTGTGTAATTAGTATATTAGTACTAGCATTAGCATACAAAAAAGATTAAAAAATGCAAAGATATTAATTGATTTATGTGCTTTCGATAGGCCATATCTCTTCCAAGTCCAAAATACGGTACTTTTTATCTTCAGTAGACGGTGATGGAAGACCAAACTTAAAGTACTGCCTCATAGGAATATAGTTGCATACTCGCATATACTTTAATCACCCCCCAAAAAAAGAAGTGCGTTGATAACTTTAATTAGAGAAAGGGATTAGTCCAACTGGGCTAATTTCATTTCTATTTTAGAAAAGATAAAACACTTGGCCAGAGATAGAGAAAAATGGATAGGATTAAGTTTTCTAAGAGTAGTAATTAAAGAATTAACAATTTTTTTTTATTAAAAATTATATTGAAGATGCATTAATATTATAAAAAGGAATAACATTATATTTTAAATAAAAAATAATTTTTCTTTATACATGCTTTCACAATTAAAGAAAATATTAGTGAAGAAATATAAGAGATGGGTATAAAAGTTTAGAGAATCATTTATCCAAGTGTAACACAACGCTAGTTATTGTGTACCGATGCGTAATGTATTATTTAGTCCTTTATAGTTGTATTATATGGAGTCGGTCCTTAGGGTTACATATCATATCATTAAATTTCAGCTAATTACTGAAAAGAATGCTAAATTTGCATCTAATAATTCATTTTTAATATTATATATATGGTTGATAACCGTCCATAAACATTAATGGGTATTAGCATCACCCTCTAAAAGACTTTGTTGAAACGCAATTCCCATGCAAACAACAACCTTTTAGAGGCTACACTGCAAGTTTCTGTAAGCACCATGAACTCAAGTAATGGTAATACAAGCTTTTATTCCTTTCATTCCCCAATCACCAAAGCAATTTTCGATTGGATTTATTTCATATATGGAATTATATAAGTTGTGTCCATTTACAAAATTGGATTAGACAAGCATGAATAAATCAAAAGATATTAACGAAATTACATATACCTATAAGAGAATAACTTTGATGCCCATCACTTTGGATTTAAAGGAATTCAAGAGTCTTATCCCCTTATTTTATACCAACTTTACATTTGATTTTTTTTTTTGTTGCTATGCTCTAGGTATGAAACCATTAGCAGAACTGAGCTAGACAAGCGTGAGCAAAGCAAATAATATTACTATGCTATGATTACAAAAAAAATCAAAACTGAAGAGGTGATAATAATATCAATAGGAAAGTGAAGCAAAGTGCCAATCATGTCTAACAACTAGCCAGTGGTGCAATACTTTGAAAAAACGTTTCAATTAGAAATCCTAGGTGTGCTACAATTCTAACACTCCAACCCTGAATTTCCATTTCTTTTCAAAGGCATGTTTGTTGATTCTCAAAGGCATGGACTGCTCCAACAGCCTACCGATATGTCCTGTATATAAGTGTGTGTGTCTGTGTTTCTGAATTTGATACAAAAAGTTCCACAGATATTTTATTAAAAAATAAGGCCATCATACTAAAGAAACGTAAAGCTACTAATATTAAATTGTTTTTGTTGGAATGCAAAAATCTAGAAAAATAATTTTCGTGTTCAGTTGCAAGTGCCAATGTCTTGGAGAAACAAATATAACGGATCAATCTTTTTACAAAAATCCAGAAGAAATGCCACTAATTAGATTGGTTTGGAGTGAAAGTGTTTCATGTATCATTTCTCAAAATTGAACTCCGTTGGTTTTCAGTTTTCTAAACATATAAAAAAGAATACACCAGGCTAGTAGAGACACCCTAATACATTAAAAAAATTGGAAACATGAAAAGACATTGCCAGAACACACTAAATTCCATTTATTGAGTGAATCTGTCTCAATGTTTTCTCGCTCTCTCATGTTGTGTGGGAAAGTAGGAGCTTGAAGGGGAGTGGGTCTTATCTAAGAGGGCTTAAGAGGCCAATAAGATGATTGAAAGTCCAAAGTTCCACGACCCACTTCAACACCACCAAACAGAACACTTCTTTTCTTTTCTCAATACGTGCACGTGAAACCCCAATAATTCCTCATGCACAAGTGGGGTCTAAAAGCCACCACTTCCTCTTTTGTTCTCATGCCAAAATACATCACTCACAAATCAGAATCTCCTCCATTAGCCCTTCAACTTCAACACTCTTCTAATCTCTCTCTCTTTTTCTCAATGTTTCTTCTCCCTTAAAATCTTCCAACCCTCTTTCCAAAATCATATTTTTTATAATTTCTTAGCTTCCACCATTCATGGCTACGGCTATGGCAATGTTGCCATTCTTTCTGTCCCTAGTTTCTCTGTGCCTCATCAATACAAAAGGGGTCCTCACTTTTGAAGAGAAGAAAATGTTCAACGTGCAAATGTTGCAGAAGAAAAAGCAACTTGATACCCAGAGTTGCCTCCTCCCGGAATCAAGTGAGTTTAGCGGGAAAGGGAAGTTCATAGACTATGTTTTTCTGAGCTTTATGTCATATTTCACTTTGGATCTAATAATGCTTAATCAAAACTACTTTTCTTTTTACTTTTAGAATCTAAGAATAATTTTTTCCTTAAAAGAAAACACTCATCATTTGTCTATCTCTTTGTTTGTCAAAGTCTTAAAGAAGAGACTTACTGGCTTTGACAAAGCATGTCTTGACATTTATATTACTTTGGATTACATTATGCTTTATATTAATAATTTGTTCTTCCAATTAAAATTTTAAATCTATATTGTTTTTTCAGTTCAGAAGTAAAATTCCTATAGAGAACTTGTATCTACACGACTCTTCGTACAATAAAAAGAAAGTTAGGAAGAGAAGATAGAAATTTGTTATATGACACATTCCTTTTAATCTGAATTCTCAGAACGGGTGAAAGGTGCTATTATACTGGAAATGAAGGACAGAGGACACTGCTCAGAGAAGAAAATTGATTGGAACAGAAGGTTTCAGAAGCAGTTAATATTAGATGATCTTCGCGTTCGTTCAATTCAAAGCATGATACGAAAAATGGTATCTAGCCATACTGTAGAAGCTTCACAAACCCAAATTCCATTATCTTCTGGTATAAATTTGCAAACTTTAAATTACATTGTGACTATGGGATTGGGTAGCCAGAATATGACAGTGATAATTGACACTGGAAGCGACTTGACATGGGTCCAATGTGAGCCTTGCATGTCATGTTATAATCAACAAGGACCTGTATTCAAGCCTTCTACCTCCTCTTCCTATCAATCAGTTGCATGCAACTCATCAACATGCCAATCTCTTCCATTGGCTACTGGAAATACAGGAGCATGTGGAAGTAATCCATCAACATGTAACTATGTGGTTAACTATGGTGATGGGTCCTATACTAATGGTGATCTCGGTGTTGAACACCTTAATTTTGGAGGTATTTCACTGAGTAATTTTGTGTTTGGCTGTGGTAGGAACAACAAGGGTCTATTTGGAGGAGTTTCCGGTCTCATGGGCTTGGGAAGAAGTTACCTCTCACTGATATCTCAAACTAGTGCTACATTTGAAGGAGTTTTCTCTTATTGTTTACCAACCACAGAAGCTGGTGCTTCTGGTTCATTAGTTATGGGTAATGAGTCTTCCATTTTCAAAAATGTTACTCCCATTAGTTACACAAGGATGGTTCCAAATCCACAGCTATCCAACTTCTATGTTCTCAATCTCACTGGCATAGATGTTGGTGGTGTGGCTCTTCAAGCTTCAAACTTTGGCAATGGTGGGATTTTAATTGATTCTGGCACAGTGATCACAAGACTGGCTCCATCTGTCTACAAGGCTTTGAAGGCAGAGTTCTTGAAACAGTTTTCTGGATTCCCTCCAGCACCAGGTTTTTCAATTTTGGATACCTGTTTTAATCTCACTGGGTATCAAGAAGTCAACATACCTACCATAAGGATGAATTTTGAGGACAATGCTGAACTGAATGTGGATGTTGCTGGCGTATTCTACATGGTAAAAGAGGATGCTTCACAAGTTTGTTTGCCGTTTGCAAGCCTTTCTGATGCATATGACACCCCAATTATTGGGAATTATCAGCAAAGGAACCAAAGGATAATATATGATACCAAACAGTCCCAAGTAGGATTTGCTGGGGAACCATGCAGTTTCGCTTGAATAGGGAACTTTCCTATAATAGATGTCTTATGGAAGATGCAAATCTTATAAGCAGACTTAAGCAATAGTATCGGCAAAACCTTCCAGTGTTATCCAACCACATACATAACTATATTTACCATATAAGAAGGTATTAGCATAAGAGTGTCATTTGACATTTCGAGGTTTTTCCTGGATTGTATTTTAAAGGAAGGTTTGAATTGTAAATGGATTCATTCCATTAAATATAAGATGTTATAATGCTGGATTTTATAAGGAATTTACAGATGGATTCATCAACATGGTAGATTACTATGCTCTATCCGACCGCTGCATTGAGAAGAACTGCCTCTTGGTTGATCGATACAATTTCCAAAAGAATCTATGTTGTTGTGCCATGCACTTCAAACCAACTAGAATCAAACTTAGACTTTGTATAAGGTTTTTATCTATCAATGACGTTAAGGTAGCATTTAATAAAGTGAAATTTTCATTCTTAACTACATCTCTAGAATTTCTAAGAAATTTTATAAAATGTTTAATTATCATGTAACTTTCTAAAAAATAATATATTTAATTTCAACGAAATTTTATTCTCATATAAATTAAATAACATATTATCAATAATGCAATTGACTTTTAAAAATTATTTTAATTAAAATAAAAATATAATAAAAATTATAATTATTGTGATCCGCAACAATACATCACCATCGATGTTAAGAATAATAATAATCATGATATCAAAGCAATGTTAACAACAATGATAATTTATCCCAAAGTATTTATAAAATTTAAAATAAATAAAAGTAATTTAATAATTTCACAGCTTATTCTAATAATTTTTTTTTATCAAAATTCATAATTTTCATTAACAAAATATCATTTCCAAAATTTCATTTTAAAAAATAGTTTTTACTCCTCTATCAACTCTCATGTTACTTTTTAAACAATGTTAAAACATTCTAATATCAAACGCTACTTAAGTTCAAACTTACGTGATTACCTGCAATAATATATTTATAAATATAAGTGAGGATATAAATAATATAGTATCAATCTTATTCCATTCCATGCGTTATTTATATTAACAATATTAAACTAGGAAAGATAAATTGTATAAAAAAATTATTTACCTAAATTTAGGCATGCCTAGTTATAACTCTAAATATAATACCAATCGTATCTACCCTTGATTTGAGAAAGTATATTATATATATATATATATATATACTTTACTTTTTCAGTTCCACATCATTTTAGAGAAACAAAATTCCATACAGCATCGCATCTCACTACTGATGCTTGAAAGTTGAAATTGCAAACCAATCACTCAGTTCGTCAAGTACCCAACAATCAACATGGACGAGTAAGGATTAACAATGACATTTGAAAAGAGGGCAAATGGTCCACAAAACATTGGTGTTGATGTTTACTGCCTAGCCTTAAATTTTCGCTTTCCTGGTGGAATGCGGCAACTCTCCTTTGGTGGGACACTATCAAATTGCACATACATAAGATCAAATGGTAATATGGAGACCACAAACCCGCCTACTAAATTGATACTGTTGACGACCAAACCCAAAACACTAAAGTACGCAGCAAACATAGGTAATGGCATAATCATAGACTATCACTCTCAATTTCAACAGAAATTACAACTTTCGACGAGCATTAAGTTCTTCAAGGTCCTAAAAAGACCATGGCAATCATGAAACTGCCACCTAGAGTTAACTGCTCATATCACCAAGATGATGAAGAAAATAATGCACTAGACCAATTTGATACATCATCAAACTGTAAACCACGAATTAATTTCCATTTAGTTCTATATAATGCTGCTTAACAGACACCTCTGCACAAAACCTTTTGACTGTGAATCTGATATCATCAATATTGTGACTTGTCAAGACTGTCAAAGTAGGGATGATCAAGTGCTGCCTTGGCAGATATTCTCTCAGAAGGATTATACTTGAGCATTTTCTGCAGGTGCATAATTGCATACAATTACTCCCGGTGTTTGGTGAAGAAGATTATAACAGATTACATTGTTGAACATGGTGAAAGTGAAGGTAGCATCTAGTCCAGTTACTTGAGTTGCTATAGTATATATATACATACATAACCCAATCACATTCCCAAAATTTTGTTAGAAAGTGTTCCTCTACCCAAAATTTTGTATCATAATTTTCAGATCAATTCATCAAAGCCACTTCGCTCAGTTAACTTAACAGTCTACGATACACTACAACACATCATTGAACGATTATGATCCTGTTTACTGATGAAGTACTCATTCGTTTTATCTTTGAAAAACAATTCTCATATTTTCTAATGAAAAATCTATGATTGAGATAAATCTGAACACAATCTAATTATGTTTAACGGTTCAAAATTAATTATAATCAATTTTAAGGGTTACGAATTGTATTTAGAAGCAAGAGAGAGGGAAAGTAACAAACCGAGAGAAGGTCAACTCCTTCTGGTCCCAATAAGGGCACAGAGCGTGCCAAGTTCTGCGGTTCCCAGTGCGGGTAGACATGCCAATCACGCAGAGAAGTAACCCCTGGCCATTGCTCCTCCGTTGGAGTCCCCATAATCCTTAAAACATAAAATCACAAAAACCAGCGGTTACAAATGCGAGTGAGTAATAAAAAAACGAAAAACAGAAAGATTAATGTGATTCTCATACTTGAAAATGTTGATGAGTTGCTGAAACTCAGAATCCCCCGCAAACAGAGCTTGCCTTCTCACCATTTCAGCGAAGATGCAACCAACGGACCACATGTCAACGCTGGTGGAGTAGTGAGTGGATCCAAGGAGAACCTCAGGGGCTCTATACCAGAGCGTGACAATCTCGTGAGTGTAGCTCTTGAGAGGGACAGTGAATGCACGACCGAGACCAAGATCGGCGATCTTGAGAATCCCCTTCTGCTGGTCAAGAAGAAGATTTTGAGGCTTAAGGTCGCGGTGGAGAACGCCGTGGCTGTGGCAGTGAGCAACGCCCTTGCAGAGCTGAAAGAGGAAGCTCTGAACGAGGGAAGAAGGAAGAGGACGAGGATTGGTACCTTTGCGGTGTGAATCGATGAATTTCTTGAGATCGGTGTGAAGGTATTCGAAGACGAGATAGAGTATTGGCTTTGATTGGGGATTGGAGGATGCGGCTTGTGATTTGGGGATTTTGTCGACGTGTTCGACAGTGAGAAGACGAACGATGTAGAGAGATTGAGAAAGCAGCTGAAGCAGAGAAACCTCTCTGAGTGCGGTTGGAGGAACACCTTCTTCGTCCATCTCAAGACGCGTCTTCTTGAGAGCAACGAGTTGACCAGTGGACTTCTCCCTCGCCTTGTACACCTTCCCATACGTTCCTTCTCCAACCTTCTCAAGCTTCTCGTACTTCTCCATTCTTCAGATTAGGGCTGAGGATTCGATTGAAGAGAGAATATGTAGAGAAGAAGAAGAACAACAACAGTGAAGAGATGCAAGCAACGTAACGGGTAGTTCCAGATCTACGCACCCAACGCGCCCTTTTCTTTTTCAAATTCTCTTCTCTATTTTACTTCTTATTAAATTCATTCAAATTCAAATACTCTCTCTCTTTCTCTCTCATTCAATTCCAAGTATTTATTTTATTTTTTTATTCTATCCTATATCATGTCCGGGTTCAAAAATATTTATTTAACAAAAATTTTTGGTCACAGAATAAATTATTTTGTCAATGATATACATTCTTTTCTTTTTTTTTAAACTTATATATTATTTATTTTATTTCATTTTTTAATGATATAAACATGTGTCATTAACTATCCATGCATGAGGAATTATTTTTTAGGACATATAGGATTATTTTTTTATTTGATAAATTATGTATATTTAATTTTATATAAAATTAAATATAATATTAACTAAAGTTAAAATGAATTAACAATTAAGTAGTGTATCAGTGAGTTAGTATATTTACATTGTTAAATATATCATCTCAATTTTTATATTGATAGAATATTTAATATTATTTTAATTTTTTAATACTTTCTTTGCACATAATAAATATAATATATATATATATATATATATATATATATATAATATGATACAGCAAAGTTTTTAACAACAATATAACTTTTATATATATATAATGATAAATAATGAATATATAAATTATTCCAACTTTTTATCTTAGTAATTTTTAAAATAGTGAAAATTTTATATTATTTTAATTATTAATTAAAATTCATGTGCAAGACTAGATTTTACACCACAGAACGTATAGTAAATTATCTGAAAATAAAAATAAATTTGGCTAAAAAAATTTATTCTAAGATAGATTAATACTATAAACAGTTTTTTACAGAAAATTTAATTTCATTTTACCTCACTCAGATAAGGTTACCATTGACCTCGGATTATTATTATAATTATTGTTCCCTACATGATTAACTCTATAGACTGAAACATAAGTATATTATAGCTAATATAATAAAAGCCTTTCCAATTCTCTTTTCATTAATACTAGCTTTATTTCACAATGCTTCAGAACATCTCTGACTCAATATGTATATCCAATAAACATATATTCAACAAATTAGCAATTACTTAATCATATCTAATGATGATTTCTTGGCTTGATTTTGACTTGCAGGGGATGGAGCCTGTGGGTGGTAAGTCCCACTGTATCCACATCCTCTTCTTCTGCTCCACTATTGAGCTCCCACTCAAATTCTTGCACCAACCTTCCAATTGCTGTGCAAGCTAACAACATTGCTTGAAGAGACCCTGCACACACCCTCTTTCCTGCTCCAAAGGCCATGGTCTTGTACAAATCCATGGGATCATATTTCTCATCCAGAAATCTCTCAGGTATCCATTGGTGAGGATTTTCCCATTGATTCTTGTCCATGTTGCATCCATATATGTTTATTGCTACCTGTTAATTTACATGGGCTTGTTAATACTGGTAGGTAAGGTAAGCATATAAACTATAGAAGAATATTACATAAAAGAGGAACGATAGCAACATGTAACATACTCTCAGTTAAAATTTATTAAAACCTATAAAAATTATGTAAATTTAATTATTTTTCACTTTTAAATTAAGGTTTCTTTTTGTACTTTTTTCAGTTTTCAATAAATTTGAGTTACATAGAAAGATGCATGACTTAGTGAATTTATAAGATCAATTAATCAACCTGGCTTCCTGCAGGAATGTGATATCCTCCCAGTTGTGTATCTTCTTGAACGCTTCTTAGGGGAACAATTGGAGCTGGACTGTGTTTCCTTAAAGTTTCATGGAAAATAGCCCCCAGATATGGTAGCTTAGATATTTTGTCTTCACTGAACTTTTTATTCCCACACACATTTTGGATCTCCTCATATAGACGGTTCTGTCAGACACAACAAAACAATGACATGCGATGCCAACAAAAATTGGAGGAAAGAAACAACATGTGCATGTTTGGATTCAATAGATTAAGTGTGTGTTTCAATGTAAACATATGCAAAACCAAACATGCACTGAATGAATAGATCAATAGACTATTAGCTAAACACAAGGAGAAAATAAATAACCTGACGATTTTTGTCTTTAGCAAGTTCATACATAGCCCATTCTGTTGTGACTAATGTAGTATCTGATGTCTCAATAATAGTCTCCCAAAGCAGCATGGAAACTTGTTCTTCTCTCAACTCTTTTGCTTCAGATAACAGATAGTCAATGTAACAATTTACTTCCTGTGACATCCCAATCCCAAACAACCAAATTAGGATGCAATGCATAAATCTATCTTAGACTTGCACAAAAAAGGCCATACCTTTCCTGAAGCAATTCGCTTCTTCTGCTCTTCAATCAAAGCCTCCATCACAGCTTTTCTGCGAAGGTGCATTTTCTCAATTTTCATCTCTAGTCTCTTGTTTGGAATCCATTTCAAATATGGGAAGAAATCTCGCCAATCCACCTCAAGTGCACCTTCCATCATGTCAAGCACTAGAATCTTATATATGTCATCTCTTGACAACGTGCTTCCAAGCTTCTCCACATCAATGGATTCTACATCAGTTCCTAGACCCTACAAATTTCCACATGCTTAGTACAATTTTTATTATATGATAAAAAATACATATATTAATTAATTCCTATTTAAGGAGGGACTCACTTGCTTCAGTGCTAGTCCAAAAAGTTCTGATGCAAATATTTTTCTGAAATTCACAGGTGCAATAGAAGAGGTCTTCACATGTTTATTAAGCCACCTTAAAATATTTTCAATCATGGTTTCTCTGTGAATACGGTGTCGTTTCTGAATATTTGGAAGGAAAAAAAGAACTCAAACCAGTAAGCCAAGAGTGAGAGAAGGAGTCTTATATCACTCAAACAATCACAAAGTAGATAAAAAAAAAATGGTTATTATAAACAACCTGTGCATTGGCTCCCAAAACGTTTGTAAGAATATGCCTTTTGATCATTTTATGGAATTCATTGTAATTACTTATAGCAACCATGCATTTATCAAAAGTCAAAATTTTTAGTGCATTTGATAGCATCCTGTTTGACATGGACGAAAATCTTGTCACCATTGCCTGAAATATCAAAAAACAAGTTCAAAATCTATGCAATGATAAATAAAAGGGATTACTTGATGGCCTAATGATAAAGAATCGAAGGCATTGCTCCTCTATAATAGTTCAAAAAATTAAAGATGCAATTTCAAAATATAAAATAATATGATTATGGTTAAAAAAAACATTGTTGTATAAAACTCAAATAGCATGCTAATCAAAATCAATTGCTAGCGAATGCCTTACCATTTTTTTTGTGACAGTGGACTTGCAAAAAATTAATCTTAAATTGAAGTATCAAATTATGCCACCTTCACATTTGAAACAACAATGACAAAACCTTAATTTTGTCACATACCTACTTAGTTGTCAAGAAGATGATTTTTAATATCCTTTTAGTATAATACGATTTAGAAGCAATCGTGATTTGTCAAGAAATATTGTGAAGATAATATCTTTTTGCCAACTGTGGTTGTTTCAACGAAAGAAAGGAGAAGACCCATTAAGGGTCTTGGTTTTTCACTTGTATAAAGTTTTCTATTTTGGTCGTGTTTATAAGAATTAAATATTTAACTTATCAATATAAAAAATACTCTTTTTTTTTTGCTATTAATATAAAAAATACTTATATATTATAAATTTATACTCTATTATAAAAATATTTATTAAATTAAATGATCAAATTAGTGTGTCAAACATTAAATGAATGAATGTATTCACTTTATATTCAGTAATCACAATAACAACTCCAACAACAACCTTTATTTACCAAGAAGAAGAAAACAATATTGTATGTGGATGAGATGTGGGTTTTAGGCAGACTCACCTCCTTAGAAACATGGACAGAGTTGAGAACAATAACAGTGAAAGCACCAGTTTTGATGGAATAAATAGGCCCATATTTCTCAGCTAACTCTGTGAAGGTCTTGTAAGGTTTCTTTTCCTTCAATTGCAACAGATTCCCTATCACTGGTAGCCCCGGAACCACTGCAACAACCATCAAACTCAACTTCACTATTTTTCCATTTTATTCTCATATCATATCATTGTACAAAAAGTGTGAACAAAGTGGCTAATATAAAATAAAAACATTCAAGTGAATCTTAATTGATTCAAACAAAAATAAAATAAAATTCGACGATTTAATTTGCATCATAACTAGAGAAAATCTGAATCTTACTGCTACCTATCTGATATCAAAGAAAGTTTAGTTTGTATCATAACAAGAGAGAATCTGAATCACCTGGTGGAGGGAGTCTAGAACGGTTGTCATTCAATTTTCCTCTGAGCTTGAGAATGAGAAAGAACAGCAAAGGCAAAACACCCAACACCACAGAGGCTGCAAAAGGCTGTGCTTGGATCGCTTGAAGACTAGCTTTGAGTTTGTCCATTGTTATTCTACACTCTAACACAAGCAAGGTGCATTCTCTGAAGTATGCATGTGGTATATATAGTTAATAGAGATGATACATAAAGTATTAATTTTTTTAAGCAATAATCTTTTATTTTTGTCATAATTAATATAAAAGCCATACCTATTATGTCTTGTAATTGATTGATAGTGTAAAAGTTTTTATACATGTTGATCAAAATAAAACTTTTTTTTTAATCTTTTACTTACATTGTGTCATTTATTATATATGCAAGATTGGAAAATTATATGAGATGAATATATTAAAAATTGAACTTTTAAAACATTATACCTGTTTAAAAATTTTCAACACAAGAAAGTTCAGAAAATGCACCATAACTTTTCTCTTATCCTAAATATTAAATGAATCTGTTTCCATTCACTCCAATATTATCTGTATTAAATGCTTATAATTTTTATACTTTGCATTTAATTTAATATTTTTAAAAATTATTAAATTTAAAAATATTTATGTAATATATCTTTAATCTTGTATTTAAACTTTTTATTTTAATTCAAAATAACATTGTATTACATGCAAAATTAACTAGTATAATTTCAAAAAGAATTAATGAATGTAAAAACAACAAGTTTAAGTTTCTCTTTCCATTAAACAATGAATCAAAATTTGTTTACAACTTTATTTTTAATATTAAATGCTCAGAGCAAGTTTCTCCTAAATTGTATGGGTATTTTCAAATACAAATTATAAATAGAATAAATTAATGGGAAATTTGTACAACTTAAATAAAATAATAAATATATATTTTTAATTATATTATTATTAAAACCAAAACAAATAAATAACATACGGATTTAAGTAGTAAAAATAAAAAATAATCAACGGGTATATATAATTGATGAGTACACTCATAAATCTTGAACTAGAACATTTTTTATAATATTCTCAAAGAGAAGTGATTTTAATTATTTTTTTCTCATATATAGATTTTTTAATTTATTATCAATTTATATTTGAAATTTTCATTATTCATTTTTAATTTTATTTAATATAATAAAATATTTATTATTAATAAATATAAATTTATCCGTGCAGAATTATTTTAATTTGTTGAATGCATTAATTAAAATAATAAACATATATAATATATGAAAAATGAATGGGATATATATATATATATATATATATATAAGGAATGCATTAATTTAATGCATATATACACATAAAAGTTTTGTCATTTATTACTTTTCTTCCATTTTTTATTATAATAATGAAAAAAGTATTTTATTTAATTATATATAAATATGATTTATTTAAAAAATTAAATGCAATTTTTTAAAAGAAAATCACAAACATTTAATAAAATTAATATTTTAGTAAATGGAGACGTATTGTAATTAAATATTTGAAGTAATAGAAAGTAAATATGTATATATATATATATATATATATATATATATATATAAAATTTATTATGCATATTATTTTTCCAGTTGTTACTTGGCTTCCGTTTTTGTTTTCAACTAATAATAATAATTTAATAAAAACTTAAAGTTGTTATTGATTTCTATTTAAAATTATACTTAGTAAATTTCTCATTGCACTAGACTGTTATTATTAAATTAAAACAAAATATAAATACATAAAAATATATATTATATAATTATATATAAAATTTTAAAAAATAAACATTATAATAATTTTTTTATATATTATCTGTAAGTTCTACTTATTGAATGAAAATTATTTTAAAAGTATTCTTAAATAAAAAAAAAATATAGGGATTAGATAGTTTTTTCTTTTATATATGATGTGTTTGTTTTTAATTCAATATTAAATTAAATTAAAATTTTTATAATTTTATAATATAATATAATATTTATAATTAATTAATCAAATTTAATGTATAAATTGTAAATATTAATTCTTGAATAAGAACATTTTAGAAGTAAGAACTATTTTAAAGAATTCTTTCCTTTTTTTTTTATCGTATATCAATTAAATTTTTTACACTGTGTGATTGTCTTTTAATTTAATAATAATTTAAATTTTGAAAATTTTAAATAATTTAATTTTTTAAAATGTAATAATTTATTATTAATAATTATTATTATATTTGTTTTTTAAAATTTATAAAATTTGTTAAATTAAAAATATTCAAATAATATTTTTGAATTATTTATTTTAAATAATTTAATTTAATTTAATGATACTTGTGTAATGTATATTAATAATAACCATTCGGTTATATTAAAAAAATAAAGAGATATATTTTTATATTTAAAATAAGTGGTGAAAATTTAAATTTCAAAATTAAATTCACATTGAATTAAATTCACACACACAGAGGATCTATTATATATTATTTTTTCAATTATATTTTTCTTTTTTCACTATAATTTCATTTTTCATGTAATCAATCACGATGCTGGACTTTTTTTAAAAATAATTAAGTATTACATTGAACTTTCAAACATTTTCATAATACTTTTTTAGAAAAATAAAATGCAAAGTATAAAATAAATTTATGAGCATTTAAAAAGGACAAATTGGAGTGAATGGAAACAGATTCATTGGATATTTAGAACAGGGAAAAAGTTATAATGTACTTATAGACTAATCTTGCTTGTGTTGAATAGTTTTAAACATATACAGTATTCTAAAATTTCAATTTTTAACACATATTCACCTCATATAGTTTTTGGATCTTGTAAAGATACGTATACATAATAAATGATAAGAAGTAAATAAAAGATTAAATAATCATATATAATATTATACAATACTTAATATTTCATCTCTATTAACTATACACACCACATGTATACTACAGAATGTACCTTAGAGGTTGGAATAACAATGGACAAACTGGAAGCGATTCTGGAAGCAATGCAAACACAGCCTTTTGTTGCCTTTGTCATGTTGGGTATTTTGTTTTAGCTCTTCCTCAAGGTCAGAAGATTCAGTGACATAGTACCAGGTATTATGATTATAGTTGATGCATTCCAGGGGTTGAGGCGGTCAAAGTTGGTAATACTGGGTGATGTGATGTGATAGTAACGATAGTTCATAGTGCTGAGATGATCTTCAAAGAGATGTGTTCTTGCGAAAAGCATAACACCCAAATCAGTGAAAGTTTAATGAGAGTAAAAATAAAAGATTGTGAAAAGGAATTCTTTACACATGTACAGGCAGCTAAGGTATAGAGAGATGTTTGTGTAATCAAAGTTATAACCGAATCTAAGATGTGAACCTTGTAAAGTGAATAAGCGAGTTATGACCAAAGTAGGATTTAATGACCACGATCAATGATCAGTGGCTGTTCTTTCTCATAGAAAATTTAGATGAAATGAAGGTAGCAGTATACTTTGACCGGGTTGAGATATTTAACTTTGGATCAATAGTGGGATTCTAAACAACTCATTGAATTTTCTTACTTTATGTTAGGCAACTTGTTCACACTTCTATATTGATATGATATGAGCATAAAATGGAAAAATTATTAAATTGAGTGTGATGATTGTTGCAGTGGTTGTAGGGCTATCCCTGGTAGTGATTCTACTGCAATTGTAGGAAAGGAAACCATATAAGACTTTCACTGTTACTGTTCTCAACTCTGTCCATGTTAGCATGCCTAAACCCACATCCACATACAATATTATTTTGTTCTTGTTTCATGAATAAAGGTACAGTTGTGGTTGCATCTGTAATTACTGATTATAAAAAATATTTTTGTTTTACAGCTAACTATTGGGCTTTACTCTAAGTACATATTTTTTTTATAAAAAATTAGAAATATAATAAAAATAGGGTAACAATTTTGTAATAAAAAAATGATTTTTGAAATCAAACTGCTCCTATAAAGTTTTAGAGTAAACATATATGATCAACTATTTAAAAAGTATTTTTGAATGATTTTTTTTCATTTTTATTTTAGGGTTGATAGTAATAAATAAAAGAAAAAAATGATGGAAAGTAATATATTGAGGAGAGAAACGGAAGACATAAATATATTCAAGTGTGTTTATGAATAAATTCAATCTAAATATAAATAATAAAAATCAATCAGAATGATCAAAAATTACTTTTTTATTATATTAATTTTAGAGTAAATCATCATCATTTAAGACTTGAGAAATTTTCAAAGGACTTGTTTAATTGGCAGGCCAAATGAGTACGAATTTCTAAACCAAAATATTTTTACTGATGGGCTTCAAAAATATTAGCTAACATAATGTGTTAAACAAAGCCCAATTGTTTTAATTATGAATTTGAAAATCAGACTGAATAGTTGAAATGGGAATTGGTTAGGTCAATAATTTGAAATAGTTAAAAATTAGTAGAGTAAATAATCGATAAAGAATTGGTATATTAAAAAAAAATACTCCAAACTTTTTTTTAATGTTTTTGGTTTTATTTTTTAAAGACATTAATGTTAAAATATTTTTAAAATAAGTAAAAATTATATATGATATATATGAATTGCTGTAATTTAATTATTTATTATAAGCTTTTTATCTAATAAAACATGCATGTATTATGATTGTTTTATAATAACTTAAAAAAATTATATACTCTAATTTTTTATTAGTTTACATTAGTTTGTTATTTAATTTATTATATATTTTTAAAAATTGTTTAATTATCACTTATTAAATTTTAATTTAATCGAATCTTTAAATCTTGAACTAATATCTTTATTAGTTCGACAGTCCAATTTTAAAAATATTAATTTTAAAGCATTGTAACCTAAGGTAATTTTAGTTCATTTGGCATATTAATTTTTTGAGAAAGAAAAATTATACTAAAAAAGAATAAAAGTATGAAAAGGAACACAATTATAAAATAAATTATTTTAGTTCTTCAAATTATAAATATATATATTAATTTAATCTTAAATTTATTATTCAGAATTTTTAGTCTATAAAATAATAATAAAATATTTATTTTATTCCATAAAATCAAAAAAATATATCTCAATTTAATTAGTCAAAATTATGAATAGAACTTTTAGTGAATAAGAAACCAATAATTTAGATCACCAATAAGTTTTAGAATGAAGTTGAAGTTATCAACACATAACTCATTATTTAAAAAATTTATAAAATAAATGTATTATATTTAATAACAAGGATAATCATGTTAGTATTAAATAACATTTAATTTATTCATCTAATATGTTATTAGATATATGGATTTTACATAAATTAGTCAAAGGGAATGATTTTTTAAATAATTTTATAAACAATAAATTATTTATCATAATTTCGATAACTAAATTAATACATGACAATCAATGTTGAAATGCCAAGATAAATCTCAAGGAATGTTTACTATTTTTATTTTGACAGAGTTTTTCCCTTCTTATTTAGTTTAGACTCCTTAAGTATGTGGACTATTAAATCCTTTATGTAAATTCCTTTAATTTTGTTGGACTTTTTTAACCTCTTTAATTAACCAAAAAAATTAATATATGACAATAATTTCAATTTTTGAGGAACTAAAATTTTTATTTTTAAATTTTAAAGAATAAATTAAATTAGGCTTATAACTTTATAGACTTAAATGACATATTTCATTAATTTTTAACTTTAGAAATTGAATTGATAAATACTTATAACTTTATAAACCAAAATAATGTATTTCTTTAAGAATTAAAATGAACAAAATTGAGTTAGAAATTGTAAAAGACAAAATCATCATGGGTTATACAAACCGCTTGGAGACGGCCACAATAAAAACCATCTTTTCGTGCCGTCCATGACAACATTTTCCCATCTTCAAGTCTCGCTATACTCAACTACCAACTGCTACAACATGAACAGGGAAAATAAGGAAATAAAATATTATTATTAAACTATAATATATATATATATATATATATATATATATAGAGAGAGAGAGAGAGAGAGAGAGAGAGAGAGAGAGAAATAAAGAAATAGACCTACTTTTTCATTCTCCTCCACTATTTCTATTAATTAATGCCCTTCTTATTGGATGACTTAGTCATATTTATATAACTCTAAGTGCCTTCACTCTTCAACTGTATGCGTGTGCAGTGCAGTGGTCCTCTCCTCTTCTGAGCTTTCATGGCGAAGAAATCGCAGAAAAGCCTCAAGAACACTACCACCACCAACAACACTACCAAACGGACACGCAAAACTGTCCCAAGAGACTCACCTCCACAACGAAGCTCAATCTACCGTGGTGTCACAAGGTTAATCATTTTCATCATTAAATCTACCTATATCTTTTTTTTTTCTTTTTTCTGCCCCATATATATAATATTCTCAAATGGGTGTTTATGCATATGGTTCTAGGCATCGATGGACTGGTCGGTACGAGGCTCATTTGTGGGATAAGAATTGTTGGAACGAATCACAAAGCAAAAAAGGAAGACAAGGTTTTTTATTAATTATTTTGCTCTTAGTATATATTTTTACTTTTATTTCATGATTTCCTTGGCTCATACGATTATTTGATTATGTTGTGTTGATTGACGATCGCAATGGAAAACAACTTGATGCAGTATATCTAGGTATGATTTGAGTCTTAGCTTAAATAACAAAAAGCTTCATATACACATGTATATTTACATTTTTCATAATTTCTTCACTTTAATTTGGCGTTGAGAATTGAAAATACTTAGTGGGATGAGATGGGGTACGATTTAATGAGTGGAAACTTGGGTTTGTTAGGAGCATATGATGATGAAGAAGCCGCAGCACGTGCCTATGACTTGGCAGCATTGAAGTACTGGGGCCAAGATACCATTCTCAATTTTCCAGTAATTTTTCTCATCTTCAATTCAATTGATATTCTGGTAAATCATGTTTATTCAGAAATCAGATTCGATCAGTTCATTGTACATGTTTTGTTCATAGTTATCGAATTATGAGGAGAAGCTCAAGGAGATGGAGGGCCAGTCAAAAGAAGAATATATTGGATCCTTAAGAAGGTTTATTTTTCGTTATGAAAACCTATATTTTGTGTCTCTTTTTTGGGGAGTGATTGGAGCTGTTTCTTCTGATACACGATTTTCATGAATAAATCTTGAATATGCAGAAAAAGCAGTGGGTTCTCTCGAGGAGTTTCAAAATACAGAGGCGTAGCAAGGTACTTGAACCTTGTTTTATTCATTGCAAAATTGTTTTTAATATGCATAGGTTTTGTAACATTTGAATCTCTTATATGTGGTAGATCATGGTCAACAAAATAAATCAATGATATCTTTGTTGAATTCAGAAAGTGGGGCACACACGAACATAAGCATGAAAATTTTTTGAAAACTAGAAAATAATTGAGTTAGTTAAGTAGAAAGTAAAGTAGCTAGTAGCTGGTTTAATTTAATAGCAAGTCAATTTAATAAGAGAGGAGAAAAGAGAAATTGTGTAAATAATATACAATGTTTGCTTTTATTTTTTGATGTGTTCTTTTTTTGTATTGAGTTTTATAAAATCATTAACAACTTTATTTTTGGGTTAGGTGGGAGGGGGGACTTTTCTCTTTCGAATCAATATGACAGACACATCAAGTTTTTGTGGGTCACATTGACACACAATAAATGCAATTTTAGGTGTAGTTTGTGAGCAATATCCAATATTCTGCAATGCAATATCTGTAGGCACTAAGGCAAAAACTTTAGTCAGCGTTTACTTGTTTAGGTTCTTTCATGACCATGAAATCCACAAGTTCGGTTATTAATGATGAACATTGATTGAGGTTGCATAATTTAAAAATTCTGATGAAATTTGAGACAACTATTACCAATCAAACTAAAAGTAATGCTTGACAAATCACAATCAAATAATCATATATACTCATAGTAATTGGATTCATTTTATAGCATTATTTATTAAGTTTGAAACCAAACCTTGGCACTTCTCTACTACGTATTGAATAGTTAGATTGGTGGAAAATGCTCTGAATTTTACTTTTAAATGTTTAGACACCACCACAACGGAAGATGGGAAGCTCGAATTGGCAGGGTCTTTGGCAACAAATATCTATATCTTGGAACTTATGGTAATTTCATTGACTATGATCTAATGATATATAATGGCTATTGTTCCTTCTTTTTTCTTGAACTTTTTATTTTGGGTGAGAGGAGAAAGAAGAGTAAGATTATGGGTAAAGAAATAAAGTTAGTAATATTTTATTTATTTATTAGAATTTTATTAAATGAAAAAAATTGAAAATTGAGTGTGATTCATGTAAAATTCATACAATAATAATAAATGTGTACAAAAAAAAATTATTTTTCCTTATTTAACTATTCCTGTTTAGATGTGAAGATGTTTTGAAACAAATATTAACACTTATATATATAAGACATGTATGGATTTTTAATATGAAAAATAAATTAAATTTATATGAACAATTTAAAAAATAACATAAATTTTTAAAATGTCATCCAACTTTAAAATTTTAATTTTAAACATTCATAATAAAACTTAATAATTTAGATTTATCCTTCTTACTTTTACATAAAAAAATATTTTCATTTAATATACTTTGCACACAAATACTTCAAAATGAATATATATTTGATCAGAAGAAAAATGCATTATTTTGAATTCATGAATTTTTGTTGTTGATTAATACATAATTTTACTGTAAATTTATATCGTTAAGGGTTTGTAATTAACCTCAATTAATATAAATAAGCTTTTATCATCTTAAAATTTTCTTATAAAATTAGTAAAAATTTATAAATAAAAATATTGTTCATGAATCGTTTTTATTTTTAAATTGAATATGTGATTTTAAGGAATATATATTGTCAATTATATATGGTTCATGGGACCAAAAGTGTTTGGAAAAACCTAACAAAAAGGTCATTTTCAATGCCCTGGATGTGCAATTTTCTTCCCTTTTTCTTTGACAGAAGTATATGGCCTTAGCATTTGGATGCATTTATAGGCTTCATATATAGCATTTCACAATTATTTTTACTTTTTGTAATTAAAATAATGAACAAATTAAATAATATATTTATATAAAGCTGAAATTTTGGAAATCCATTTGACCATGCTTCACAGCTCCAACAAGAAAGTACCTACTTCATTTCAACATGGTCCCACAGATCAAAATAGTAGGACAAATATAAAGGTCAACATATGCAATCAAATCTTGTTGGTTGTGATATAGATCACCAAACTTCAACTGCTTAGTGAAGCTATTTAATAGGGATATCATTCTTTTCTACTCTCTTAATTTAATCCAAAACTAAAGAAGAAAAAGAACATTGACCGACATATTATGCAATTCAACTACAAATTAAATTATCTTCTAAAGTTTGATTTTAAATAAACATATTTGTGTTAATTATTTAGAGAGAAAGTTTTGCTAATAAAACAAAATTGCTGAAGAAAAATATACATAAAAATGCAAATTAAATTATCCTCTAATTATATCCTTAGTTTGCATTTGCTTACGTGTCATGTGTTTTCAACAGCTACACAAGAAGAAGCTGCCACAGCATATGACATGGCAGCCATAGAATACAGAGGACTTAACGCCGTTACTAACTTTGACCTTAGCCGTTATATCAATTGGCTCCGTCCAAAAACCCAAGAAAACCATGAAAATCCAAGCAATGAAGATCTACACTCAAATCCTGAACTTGAATTAGGGTTTGTTTCCCATAAACTTGATTCAACCAGTGGTGAGAATGAGATAACCCAAGAGGGTGAAATACGATCTGGTGGTGGCGCATCAACAACATCTTCTGCACTTGGCCTTCTCTTACAATCATCCAAATTCAAAGAAATGATAGAAAAAACTTCTTCAGCTTCAGATTACCCTCCACCACCTCCAGAGTCAAACCCTCCTCGTCGAACGTTCCCCGAAGATATTCAAACAATTTTCGAAAGTCAAGGTTCTGGTATCTACACTGAAAATGATGACATCATATTTGGTGACTTGAGTTCGTTTGCTGCACCAATTTTTCATTATGAGCTTGATGCTTAGAAGAATAAGAAGAAAAGAAAATGAAGATATAGCATGTTTATCAATACGTGATTTTTCAAAACAAAAATTGGAGAAAAAGGGGGTACGCGTAAACATTAATTTAGAGATTGAGTGGAAGATTCTTTAAAGTGTAACGTTTATTTCTTTCGTTCAATAAACATACAAGGAAAAAAAAAAAAGGAATTTGATAATTTCATTGGTTAATTATCGTATACCAATCATTTCTTACAATTGTGATAGAACAAGATGGCATGTAATTATTACTATGACAGTCTTCATATATGTATACTTTTTTTTTTTCAGATTCTTACCCACTCTCCTTAATTTTTCTTTTCATTCAAATTAGAAACAGGTAATGTTATAACAAGCTATTTATCGTGCTTAAGGGGACAAACCCAAAGCAAAAATTAACACTTATATATATATATATATTTGAAATTAGGAACCCTTCATATAATTGAACTAATTTAATACAATTTATTTTACATTAATATCAATAACACTATCAAAATGGAAAGACGTAATTATTTTAATAGAAATTGTCTTAAAGATACACTCATACATAATAGAAAAAGGTCTCAGACAAAGTTAAATTATAATTCAAATATTTTGAACCTTTATATGATAGCTGTGATATGAGAAATTAATAGAACCATTATTTTCTACTATCTATGAAAGAGCTCCATACCCCACAGCAACCTACCAGAGACAATTTGCAGGGAGTTAAGCGTTAGGGGTTGGAAAAAGGAGGTGCTAGGTAAGTAACTAAACTATGTTGAAGCAGTGATGAATCAAACCTGTAATTAAGACACTGTTTGGCTAGGAACAATGAATTCTTGGAAGGTATTGTCATGTGGCACCCTAAAGGAAGGTGCCCCACATCTACAGTAAGCTAGTGGGTGGGAATTTTTCTTCAGAGACAAATTAATTATAGTAAAATATAAAGCCCAATTGTTCAAAAGAAGTCATGCTCATTATGTTCTATAAGTTGCATGCAAAGTAGGGTTTCAAAGTAAAGCAAGCAATATTTAGCAAACTTCCAATTTAATTCTCAACGCTTAGAATTTACAATGAATATATATCAAGTATCTCATAACTTTCTCTCTAATTTTCTTCCTTTCATGACATCATCACCGATCCCTGTTATCAAATATATATTAAGGTAATAGAAAGCAAAATTATGATTTAAGACAATATAATCCTTAACTATTCATGTAGAGATATATATGTATTTTTTTTTATATATTAAGTATAAAATTTTGAAACATATCACAGTATAAGTAGTTATGTTATATATATATTCACCAATCTGCCTAACATGCATTTTTAGGCCGGTTAGTGGTCGGTGATTTGATCCCTTAAGTCATTTTTTCTTAATTAAAAATTCCTAAAGAGCAATTTACTTTTATTATTTTTCATTTTTTTAGAACTTAGACTAGTTAATATATTATTCGGGCACAAAAGAAGATATGGATTAGCATTCCAATTTATTTTTTAAAACGAACCAATTTATCCCCTCTATGTTTTAATTAGCTTCCATTCTACAGTGTCTATTCTAACCTTGCACCAGTTAAGGCACTCTGAACTGAAGATTAAAAACGTGTACAAGGTGCTAAATGAAATAATGACTTTAACATTGTGCTTTATTGTGCCATTACTAATCAAATTCGTAGTTCCCAATAATGTGCTGTCATGTGTAATTAGGTAATGAGCATGATATAATTGTGGTTGCTTACATTCACATCAATATCAATAATTTTTTTATTAATTTTAAAGTTAATTATATTTATAAATAGTTCAATTCAAAAGTTGATAAAGTTTTCCTTCTCATTTTACATGTGAGAGTTCAATCCATGATTTTAGATCCATAGTCTTTGTCACCGAAAGCTTTTTGGGTTTGACACTTTTTTCCCCCTTTCTTGTAGATTTCTAATTCACCATGTTTTGATTTTGAGTCGATAGTCTCCTTAAATCATTTTAAATATGAACTCTTTATAATATAAACATTTTATAAATACGATTTAAAGTATGTGAGAATTTTAGTTGATAATGATCTAAAATATTTGGCAAGTATAATTTGTTAGAATGAAAGGAAAAAGAATAAGTAAATTAATCAAAACCACACTCACACATATCAAAATGTAATAAAATATGAAGAAATTAATAGCCAAAAATAAAAAGAAAAAATATAGTGAGAGAATGGAGACAATTGAGAACGATGAGAAGAGATAAGATAAAGTCATGAAGGGATATGAAAAAAAGTTAAAAAGAAAATAATTAGTGAGATTTTTTTTGTTTTAAATCTCATCAAATATCACTGCTAAAAATAAATCACAATGAATACAAACTAGCTCTATATAATGGAAAACAAAACCCTCCACTCCCTCGGCAACTTAAATCCCAATAAATGACCACTTGAAATAATTCTAGAATACTACACTTTAATTCATTAAATTTATAGCACACATATAGCAATATAAAAAAAGGTAAATTCGGTGGTACCTTGAAAAATTATCAAAATACCGTACATAAAAATTTCTAATCAATAATATTTAGATATTTATTTAAATAATTAATTATTATATTTATTATATTTAAATATATTAAAAAGCGGTTAAATCTTAAATAAATTAAAATATAATTAAAATTAAATAAATTAAAATTTAAAAACAATATAATATTATTATTAATATTTAATTATTATATTAATATATTATATTATAATTATTTTTATTTATAATAAATAGAAATTATATTTATTTAAAAATAAAACTAAACAAACTAAAATTGAAAATAAAATAATAATATTATGTTAATATTTTTTTTATATTTTTAATTTTATTATTATTAATATTTAATTATTATATTAATGTAATATTATAATTATTTTTATTTATAATAAATATAAATTACTTAAATATGAATTATATTTTATTCAAAACTAAAATTTATAAAAAAATGATAGAAAAATAAATAAAAATTATATATATATATATATATATATATATAATAGAATCATATAACAAATAATATAAATAATATAATTTTAAATAAATTTTATATAATAATATTTTTTTAATTTATCACATGTTTTATTTTTATTGGTTTAAATTTTTTGTATTCGATACCCATAAATTTTTTTTAGGATACTACAACATATACTTAAAAATAAATGTAATGGTTAACTAAGTTTATAAACATTAATTGATTATGCTTTAAATCAAGTCTACTTCATTAAATATGATTTTTAAGAATTGATTTTTATTGGAGAAAATAATTAATATTTATATTTTTGAATTTAAAAGTTGTATAATATTTATAAAAATAAATACATAACATATTAAATTTATGTTAATCTATTATTTTTAAAATTTTTATTGAATTAAAAATTAATTATTATGAATACAAATTAAAAATATTAATTTTAATTCTTAAAGTTAAATTTAAACATTAATAAGAGCAAGAGTTTACTAAAAAAAATATGTATTTATTATATTTTATAATTTTAATATAATAAATATATTATTTAGAATAAAAAATAATATTTTTAAATATCTAAATTTAATTTTAAAGACTAAAATTAACAAATACTCATAAAAATTGTGTCCTACCCTTTTTCTTCTTCTCTAAAACTTGTATAAAATTTGGTTTTAGATTAAATTAAATAATATACTTTTTATATCTATTCTAATCTTTTATAAGGTGGAAAATATAATACTCCATAATTATTTTTACATTATTTTCAATTAAAACATATATTTTATGTAGAGGATAAAATATAATAAAAATGAAATAATTTAAAGTTGGTAACTTATAAATACGTTAAAATAATAAAGGTATCTATAAAAGAAATAGTATGATATATTAAAAGTAAAACCATTAAATATTTTAATTTAATAATTGTATAAATTCATAAAAATATACACAAAAGTTCAGTTTAAGTTATATTATATTGTTTTTCAAATTAAAATATAAAATTTGATATAATTTAATAAAAGTACTGGTTTTGCTATCTTTTTAATTTTGTTGATTAGTTTATTTTTTATTTTTCAATTTAAATTTTGTAATTTATATTAGTTTATTTTATTTTAATTTCTCAGGCCTATACGATCTACAAGTGGCATAGGCAAGAAAGTTGTGGTGGATAGAAATTTCACACAAGAAACCAGAACGAGTGGCGTAACCTGTCACTCAGAATATTGACAACACAAAACGCAGCAAAAAGAATCATGTTGATGTTGGTGTTGTGGTTGATGTTGTTGCCCACTATCTGCTGAATACAATGGCCACTTCACTACCCTTCTCCTCCCTCTCTCTTGCCTCCAGATTCAAAGTCTCCGCCATGACCCCCACCGTCACCACCCCTTCTAAGGTGGTTCCCGCCGTCATTGTCGGCGGCGGAAGAGTGGGCAGGGCCTTACAAGACATGGGTACTGGCCAAGACCTCCTTGTTCGCCGAGGAGAGTCCGTTCCTCTTAACTTCGAGGGTCCCATCTTTGTGTGCACTAGGAACGATGATCTTGATTCTGTGCTTCAATCTACTCCTCCTTCTAGATGGACTGGTACCTCTTTTCACTTTTCATTTCGTTGGGTTGGAGAAGGACAGTGTTGATTCAATTCATGATTTGTGTTTTATTGATGGGTTCACTCACTTTTAACGAGTCATTGATCGTGTAACAGATTTGGTGTTTTTCCAGAATGGAATGCTTGAGCCATGGTTTGAGAGCAAAGGTTTGAGTGATGCAAATCAAGTGTTGGCGTATTTTGCTGTGTCAAAACTTGGAGAACCCCCTGTTGATGGTAAGACTGATACCAATCCTGAAGGACTCACCGCTGCATATGGCAAATGGGCTTCTGTTGTAGCTGCAAGATTAAATGCTGGAGGCCTCTCTTGCAAGGTATTCATATTATTAATATCTATTTTCAAAAGTTTATTTTATTTTTGTAAAATATTTGTGGGACTTATTTTTCTTTTGAAGTGTCACTTTGTTTTGATTACGTTTCCTGATTTCTAAGATTTGTAATACGTATTAGTAAAAGCAGAAAAAAGTTATTTTCAGTGTCTTTTGCAAATCTTTGAAATCAGGAAGGGAATGAAAACAAAAACATTTTTTGAAACTAAATAGTTCCCTTAGTGCTTTGATTCTTATGTATTCTGTTTTTGAGTTGCTTAGCCTAAAGATTGAAATTATGGAAATATAGGATTTCCTAGTATAATGTCAAAAGCTAATGTTTACACATTTGATAATACTATTATCAGAAGCTGATGTATGTCTCAAAAGCCAGGTTCTTGACAAGGAGGCGTTTCAAAAACAGATGTTAGAGAAGCTTATATGGATTTGTTCGGTCATGCTTGTTGGAGCTCGTCATGGAGGGGTTTCTGTTGGTGTTGTGGAAAAGGAATTCCGCTCTGAAGTAAGCTTTGCAATTGATATTCTCTCAAAGTTCAGTCTATTTATATGTTGAATGTGGTTTGTTTGAAAGGTTGATCCATGACTTAAAGAGCTGATTTTGAGCCTTGTATGAGTTCAAGAGCTACAAATTTGCTGATGAACTATGCTTCTCCTGTGAAAAAGAGGAGAAAAATGTATAAATTTTGGACCAAACTTGTTGAGATAATAATATTAATGATGTGTTGAATACTGAAAAAAAGGCAATGAGAAGTGACTGATGTTTTATACTTTCAGTTAAATAGCCTTATAACGGAACTTGCATCAGCGGCAGCAAGTGAAAAGGGGTTAACATTTGAAGAAGCCATGGAAGATCGCTTATGTGCATATTCCCGAGCTGTCGCACACTTTCCCACAGCAGTTAAGGAGGTAATTGATACAATTAACACAATGAATATTGGATTCACAAAAGCAAAAAACTATGTGTTCTTTGGGTAGTGTTGTTTATCAGTTAAAATTAGAGTGTTATTTTAATAATTATACTTAATGTTATTACTGAGATAAAATTCTAATTTTGATAAGCAAACATTTCCCTCAACACTTAATTGCACTAAAGTTTAATTGTGTCCTTCACAAAATAACACTGATACATAAGTTTTTATGTTGGGTATGCTTGCAGTTCAAATGGAGGAATGGTTGGTTTTATTCTCTTTCTGAGAAGGCTACAGGCCAAGGCAAGCCTGACCCATGTCCTTTGCATTCCCAATGGCTAAAAGAGTTGAAAATTGTATAAAGCTTGACCTCTCAATACTCATGTGTGATGTGTCCTGTACCAATTGGTTACCAGCTTTTAAGAGTAATTTAGTCAATAATAAAGTCCGAATTTTAGTTGTGCACTTTTGCTCCCTCTCTTTGATTGGTAAATTAAAAGAGATTTGTAAACATGAGGTTTTGTAATTAAAAAAAGGATAACAGAAAAGGGACCCAGTAAAAATTAACTCTCCGACAAATGTGTTACCTAGCAAGTGCACAATACTGTTCTTTATTGAAAAGTAAGCATTTATCACGCTATATGTAAAAAAAATGTATTTTTTAATATAAAAAATTATTTCTAGGTGCTTAAATTTAAGTGTTGAATTTACCAAAAATTATTTATTATATATGTGTGTATTTGTGTTTACTTTTATAAAATGGGATTAATTTAGAAATCAATGATAAAAGCATTTTATCTCTTGGTTTTCATTTTTATTGCATAGTCACATATATAATAAATTTATCTAGTTTCTCGACATGCCCCAATCATTGAACCAACAATTTCCTTGCCACCCGAATCTTTTTTTTTAATCAAATACCTAGGTTTCTTGATAAATTTAATTGAAATTTTATAACTTATATATAATAAATTAGTTAAACATTTATAGCTTATAATTTAAAGTTTAAAACTTATAATTAGTTGATTGAATTAAAGTTGTTTGATATGATTAGTTGTACAATTAGTTAGAATGTATTTAGTGACTAAAAAGTAAAACTTAAAATTATCTTTGCATGATTGTGAATTGTATAAAATGTTACGAGTGACACTGAAAGAAAGAAATATTGATCGTTAACTTTTAATAATTTCAATATTATTTGGAGTAGCTTTTCTTAAAATTAATTTTTTTAATTTATATTTTTTATTTATTAAATAGTTTTAGTAGCTTATTAACTTAAAAAGATTTATAAATGATTAAATAAAAAACAAACTCATGTTATTAGTTACATTAATTATTAATTTATATTTAATAATCTTTTACAATTTTTTTGTCGTGAAATAGCACGAGCACTATTTATAATATATGAAATAATTACAAAAATGATAAATATATATTATAAATTAAAAAAAGTTATTATTAAAGTTTATTTAAAGAATCAAATCTAAAAGATTCAAGTATTAAATACGAGCTCAAGAACACATTAAATGTAAATTTTAAGACATGTGAATATATAAATAATGATTACTAATAAGGTTTGGTATAAATGTGAATCTAATGTTATTTTAACATAATTTGAAACACATAATAAGTGAGAGTTTAAAATTTAAATAAAAAATTAATTAATTTTTATTTGTTGAAATGGGAAATACAATCAAGAGTAGAGGAAGAAACACAGAATTCTTTTACAAAATATTATATAGTATTATGATCACATGAAATACTAACATTAGACACTGAAAAATAGAACAATCGGGTAACAAATTGTAAGAGTTGAGAAAAGCAATAGAAAATATTTAGGGTTAAGTTCAAATAACTATGAATTGTGGGTTTATAATTAACCAATGGAAATTGGTGTAGTGTAATGAGATAGAAATCCGTGAAGAGGGGGTTGTTTGGGTGTTGGAAAGGGTAGGGGCCACACCCGTGCTCGTTGAAGGCCAAACAGAACTTAAGGGACTTTCCAATTTTTTGTTGTTTTGCATTTTGCATCCAATACAAACCACCACACCTTCCTTGTTCAGCTACATCTTATTATAATCTATAAATCATTTTTTAATATACTTCTTAAAACGCGCATAAAAATTATTAGATTTAATATATTGAAACTTCTAATATTAATTGTTATATATAAATTTTCACTCTCCGTATTAGAAAAATAATTTATAAATTAACTAAACATTCATTTCATCATTTTTTAAAATTTTAATTAATCAGCAAATTTTCTACACTTTGCTAAACCAGACCACAGACAAAATTGTTGCGGCTCTCTTCACAACCTCACACTGAGAATACAACCTTAGATTCTCCGAGCGAGAAACCTATTTTTTCTCTATAATACAACAACACACAGAGACTGAGACTGTCGTGGATTTGTATTATTGTTGGTTGTACCCATCATGGCTATGCCTCCAGATTTCATTTCAGGTAGGTATGCCTTCACTCTCTCGCTTTTTAGATCCCTTCTTTTTCTCCTTAATGGGAATTTTGGCACTATCTCTTTCCATGTTTTTTTACTGTTCCCTCTAACTTCTGAAATCTTTCCATGTGTACATGCTACAAAGGACTATATTTTGGATTCTGATTTTGTTTGTTGAGAAAATGCCCCGGAATTTCAGAATATAGTTCAACTCTGAACATTAGACGCATTGCTTTGTACCCAGTGTTGAGATCACTACTTCATTCTCTAGATCGTCTTCGTTTGCTTGTTTCTCGCTCAAATGACGATGTGGGTCTGCTTTTTCTCCTCACTCTCTGCTGTAATGTTTGACTTTTTGAGCGCAATGTGTGTGCCATCGGTGCTGTTTGTGATCTTTTTGCCCCCCCCAAAATCACAAGGTTCCTGAAGTTCTCTTTTTCTGTGTTCTTTTTTAATTTTATTGGATGCTAGTTTTCTGCTTGATTGGTGCCCGAAATAGTCGTGGAAGCTTCTTCTTCTTCTTCTTCTTTTACCAATAATGTATTTGATTTTTCAATGTTGGACATTCTTTAATCTACCCAAATTGAATGCCAACTTGTTATTATGTATGACCTCAGGCCATTTCCGTTTACTTCTTAGTTTTTAATTCGGAATAATGGATCCAGGGTCTCTTGTTTCCTGGATTACAGATTGGCACAAGTTTGAATAAAAGTGAGGCTTGACTCTGGTGGATGTTGACGTAGTGTTGGTCTTTTCTCATAGTGTATGATTTTTTTGAGAAAATAAAAGGCCAACAATTCAGAGACCAGACTTTAGCTCTCTTGCCTGCCTTGTGCACCAAAAATTGTTCCACTTCAGGAATTTTATGTGTGTACCGAAGTTTAGTATTAGCGTTGCTTCATTTATTTATTTAAAATCAGCGTACTTTTGGTCTGAGGATGCATAGAATTTACTGGAGGACAGGTGGTGAGGAGATAAAAACTATGATTGAATGCTGCGTGTAAAGACTTGTCGACATGCGTTCTTGTATAGGTCAGCAATTATTTAATTACTTTGGATGTTTCTTCATTCTGTAGATTCATCAATCTTCTGCTAATGGCGTTAAGGAGTTGATATGCTCAGTTTCTTCATTTGGGTTCTTTGCATACATTGAAGTGTGCTTGGAAGTTGATTATTGTATATATTGGTTTTTCCTAGTTATTCAAGTAGCAATATACACTAGATTTGCTTGTGCCATGATTGAAAACGGTTACTTTCATAAGACTGTTGCCCCATATGACGTTTGGGATGTTGCGGGTTCCCTTGAGTGTGTTAATTTTAAACATTACTCATTTTGTACTCAAGGCCTTGAACGGCAATTCACATAAGATTTATGTCGACTAAGAATAAAGGTGCTAAACTTTGTTTTAAAGCTTAATTTTACTCTCGTCACCATGTGTGCATTTTGGTTTATCACTGGTTATCGACCTTTCTGTTACCTTCCATAGTTTCCATTAGGCAACATAGTAACTTACTGCGAACAACTAATTTTGGTTGAACTATAATTCTAATCCCACTGGGGATTTCAATTTTGAAACTTTCAGGATCACTTTGACAGTTTGACTTGTCCAGCACCAACTTCTGGTACTACCGTTGTGTGAATTCTCAAGAATTCTTCCACAGAGGGTAGATGGGCTCTAGAATCCCATCTCATCAGCTAAGCAATGGCCTCTATGTATCAGGGCGGCCAGAGCAGCCCAAAGAAAGGACTCCAACAATGACCTCAACAGCCATGCCATATACTGGCGGAGACATAAAAAAATCAGGAGAATTGGGAAAAATGTTCGATATTCCTGTTGATGGCTCTAAATCTAGGAAATCTGGACCAATAACAGGTGCTCCTTCAAGGACAGGATCGTTTGGAGGAGCTGGTTCACATTCTGGACCAATCCAGCCTAATGCTGCTGCTCGAGCTGGCTATACTACTTCAGGTCCAATGTCTTCTGGTGGCATGGCTGGTTCAACTTCACTAAAGAAATCAAATTCAGGGCCACTGAATAAGCATGGGGAACCTGTTAAAAAGTCTTCTGGTCCTCAGTCTGGTGGAGTAACACCAGTTGGGCGTCAAAATTCTGGACCTCTTGCTTCTGTTCTTCCCACAACAGGTCTCATTACATCTGGGCCCATATCATCTGGCCCACTAAATTCTTCTGGGGCCCCTCGGAAAGTGTCGGGTCCTTTGGAAGCAACTGGTTCAATGAAGCTGCATGGTTCTGCTGCTGTTCACAGCCAAGCTGTGACTGTTCTCAATCAAGATGACGAATATTCCTTCAGAAGGAATTTCCCAAAGGCGATGTTATGGTTATTAATTCTGCTTTTTGTGATGGGTTTCATTGCTGGCGGTTTTATTCTCGGAGCAGTGCACAATGCCATTCTCCTTATTGTGGTTGTGGTTCTCTTTGGCTTAGTTGCTGCCTCTTTCACTTGGAATACTTATTGGGGAAGAAGAGCTATTATGGGCTTTGTTACCCATTATCCGGACTCTGAGCTTAGAACTGCAAAAAATGGGCAATTCGTGAAGGTCTCTGGGGTATGTTTTGCTTCTTTTGCCTAACTTATTGGCTATTATTGGAAAGTTCTTCTTCAATTCTTGGGCTTATAATTATATTTTCTACTTCACTTCTTGATCTTTATAGCTTTTTGAGTTAATTTTAGTTTCATTGAATGAGCTCCAGATGATACGTAGATGAGAGCATCTTCCTTGTTTCCATGCTATAAAGTATAAACACTTGCTGTACTACTATACTTTACCCATGTCTTGCTTTGATATCAATGTCTTCCTAGAGCAATACCTTCCCCATAAACATCTAATTATGTGAATGAGATGCTTGCACTTGATTGGTTTTCATTATCCTCATCCTTTTTATAACAATAATACAAGGGTAAATGACTGTAATCAAATGTGATTTTCTATGATATATGAAGGTTGTTACCTGCGGTAATGTTCCTCTTGAGTCGTCTTTCCAGAAAGTCCCCAGATGTGTATATACGTCAACAAGTTTATATGAGTATCGAGGATGGGACTCAAAAGCTGCCAATCCTACACACCGGCGATTTTCTTGGGGCCTTAGATTGCTGGAAGTGAGTTACTAAGTTTTTTACTGGGTCAGTTATTATGGAATTTAATACTCTACTCTGCATTTATGTGCAATTTTACTTCTATTCACCCCCAAGGAGCATGACAGTGAAAAACATGTTTCTTCTGATAAAATTTCAAATGTAATTTACTGTTTTGTTTGAATTAATTATACTATCATGCTTGGGCAAAGGAAGTGAAGGCATTTTTTTCAAACGTGATGGTGTTTTCCCTCTCAGTGAATTATTCCAATAGCTTTAGGATTTACCTTGGACAAGATTTTGTTTTTGGAGCTAAGGCTGGATTCAGATGGGTGCTCTACACTTAAGCCTGTCACTGCATAGATCTTGGATGTTTCCTGTCAGATCCTTTCATGGCATTCTAAGTTAAATTGACTAATTTATGTTACTTTACGGTTACCTAACATTTGTATTCCCTTGACTGGTTATTTGTACCATTTTTTATTATATATTGCTCGCTGAACTTGTTATGTCTACACGAGTCAACTTGTTACTATTGGAAACTTTTTTTTTTTTCACTCGATTGACTGGAATATATGTAATTTGACAGAGGCGTGTGGTTGACTTTTACATCTCGGATTTCCAGTCTGGTTTAAGGGCATTGGTTAAGACTGGGCATGGAGCAAGAGTGACCCCTTATGTTGATGACTCAGTTCTCATAAATGTAAATCCAACCAAAGAAGAGCTGTCACCAGAGTTTCTCCGCTGGTTGGGAGAAAGAAACCTTTCAAGTGATGATCGCATCATGCGGCTGGAAGAAGGGTAATGGTTATCTCATACTTTTTCCTGCTTTTCGATCATTTTAAATGTACTATCCTGATTTGTCTCTGGATGGCTGCTCAGCGTTGATTTGGGGGTTATCCCAAATTGGGAAATTTTGTCAATGCTTCTGGAGTATGTACTCCCTTCCCTTTAAAGAAAAATACCTAACATGTATGGTTATTTTTCTCAAATTTAAATGTTTTTCTCAAATGAAAATAAGGAAAGACTACTAAATAAAGAAAGATAATTTTAAGGACGTAGGTACTACAAGAATACCAAAAAATTATGCACCAACTACACAAGTTTGAATTCAATTTTTATACATGAGAGGTTCAAATTTTTTAACTTATTGATTTTATTTAGCAATATAGTTATGGGTTTTCAGGTTAAATGTTGCATCAGGGACATTCTGAGATTCTACATTTATATCTCATGCCAAATCTTGATTTGAGATAGATAAAATAACTTGGTGAAACTTGGTATTTCTGTTCAGGTACATCAAAGAAGGAAGCACAGTTAGTGTAATGGGAGTTGTCCAGAGGAATGAGAATGTGCTTATGATTGTTCCTCCACCCGAACCAATCACTACAGGTTGCCAATGGACCAAATGTATATTTCCAGCTAGCCTCGACGGTATAGTTTTAAGATGTGAAGACACATCCAAGAATGATGTGATTCCGGTTTAACATTATGTGCAACAAGAATGTTTGTAGCATCTTCTAATTGGCGTTCTTAGATAGTATTCTTTTCCCCTCTATTATTAGTGGCGGTGGAATATCATATTGACAGATTAATATAGATTAAGATGGAAAAGTTGTGCGCGTGTGCGTGTTCTTTTTCTCCTATAAATTGTTGTATAGTTCTGGTTGGTTTGATGTTCTTGTAGGGTGTGTAAACTTTGGTAATGTTTGATGCAGTGAAAATTCTTACATGTATGAGCATATTGTGATTATGCTAACATGCTAAATAGAATACAAGTTTTCATGTGTTATGCAAATAATTTCTTCATGCACAGAACTTTCTCTATTTTGTCGAAACAAATATATACGAATCTGTTGTTAATAATAATCCATTTGGAAAGACTAAAAATCATGCTACCGGCAAGAGCTTGTCTTTTACAATCCATTGCACAGAACTTTCTCTCATTCCAACCTCATTCTGTGCAATCCAATCCTAATTACTCATGAAATCACCCTGCCAAATTTTATGCACGCATGATCCTTTTCTAATGTCTTATGCTCTAATAATGAATTAGGATGTTGAGAAAATGTGTAGTAAAAGAAGCTTGTAAGTCGCAGGATTGAGGATTTTGATAATGTTACCCGAATTTTGATGCGAGGTGGAGGGTCCTTAACCTTGATCTTTCTCGATGTGTGAGAGGAACTTCGAATGATCCTAAATGGGGTTGGCCACTGTCATATACTGTGGAATTCTTGGAGATACTCTTTGATGAGATAAAGAAAGCGATGTTAATATTGTTGTAGTATATAAGGTCAAGTGAAATAAGTTTAAAAAAGATAATTTTTTTAGTGTGTACAAAAATAAACATTAAGAAGTTAAAAAAAAGTTATTATCATAAAACGAAAATATTTTTTTAAATTATAAATTATTTAATATTTCTTAACATATCATAAATTCATTGTTTATGATAATGAGTAAAATAAATATTAATATTATTCATTAATTAAAATGAGATTTTCATCTCAATAATTAAAATTTCATTGTGCATGAAATTATTTATGGATTAAGAAAAAAGTAACGGTGAAGAAAGAAAGACGCGTAAGTAGCGAAGAGAAATCTCACAGCAGAGCAAAGCAGAGTGATGAGTTGATTCCCCAAATCTGAAATGGTTCGAGCGTCGGTGAAGGTTGGTTCGGCCAAGTTTGTCGTCATTTGCGTTGGCCTCTTAGGTTTCGCTCTTGTTGCTGATTTTCTCTGGGCTTCTTCCTCTTCTTCTTCTTCTTCTTCCGTTTGGACCTCTAAACCCTCAAAGATTGTTCTTCCCAACGTGAAGAAAGACGATGCTGTTTCTGGAAGATTCCTTTCAGCAGCATATGCCGATTTGCCCGCTCCGCACCTCCACTGGCAGAAGATGTCACCCGCACCTGTTCCTCGTCTCGATGGAGCTGCCATTCAGATTCGGAATCTTCTCTTTGTCTTCGCTGGATACGGCACCATTGATTATGTAACCACGCTTCCTTCATTTTCTTTTTTCGCTTTTGAATCTCAATTATAGCAAAGATTGCAATCTGAAATGTCTGCAGGTTCATTCACACGTTGATGTGTATAATTTCACTGATAATAGTTGGGGAGGAAGATTTGACATGCCTAAAGAGATGGCACATTCGCATTTGGGAATGGTAACCGATGGAAGATACATTTACGTAGTCACTGGACAGTATGGCCCACAATGCAGAGGTCCAACTGCTCATACATTTGTTCTTGACACTCAGACAAAGCAATGGAAGGATCTCCCTCCTTTGCCTGTTCCTAGGTTCGCTTCTTTCTCAGATATTTGTTCTATATGTTGCTTCATGGAATGGTGAAGGTATTCTGTTCCCCACTTTGTATGTCTAAGAAAATATTGATGCTATGGATCTTGATCTCCTTTGAATATTGTATTCGTGAAGGAGGTATACTATTATTGTTGATATTGTTTTACATAGTGTTATTGGAAATTATACTGGGTCTGGATTACAACTTCCCTGGATCCTGCTCATAGTGGGGGCTTTATAGTTCTAGGCTGCCTTGTTTAGTTAGTTTCTAGGCATTGAATGTTTTCTGCTAGTCACTTCCTTTTAATCTGACCCCGTTGAAAAAATTGCCATACATAGAAGATACTGGTGAATGCAGCAATTTTTAATATGAAATACAAACAACAGATTTAATGGGAAGGGGAAAGATCTGGTCCGAGTTTAGACTCACTTATTCCCTCCTTTTTTGGTTGTCAGCTGCACTCTTCATCCGTATTGCTTTTAGATGGTGCAGAAATTTTCATCACGGACAGGAGGTGCCAGAGAACCTGGATGTTTACAGGTGTTTGAAAGGTTCATTTCATCCCTGTTCATCAAAATAATCTTTGACTAGTTGAAGTTTGGAAAATTGGAAGTAACAGACTTGTAAACTGTAGGGTGAAGCATGGAAGATTAGGAAATAATATGGAGAGCTGGGATTTGTACATTTATAAAGTGCATAGTTAAGTGAAAATCCAGGCTCTTGTGTTATTTTTTATTTACTATAATATATTTATACTTATATTAGTAAATTTGTTTTGCAGAAAAACGATAGCAATTTATTGATTGCGTTGGAAACTAAATAGAAACAATTTTGACTATATTATCCTATCTGATTTTATCATCTGGGTTTCACCAGTCTGACTATTTTTTTGGCTCTAAGAAAATCATGTATGTAATTTTTCTTCTTTGTATCATGGTTTTGGGTGGAAGATCCTGACAATATTATATTCAGATATGCACCAGCAACTCAACTTTGGAGGGGTAGGCTGCATGTGATGGGTGGCAGTAAGGAGAATCGACATACACCTGGATTAGAACACTGGAGTCTTGCCGTTAAGGATGGAAAAGCATTAGAAAAGGAGTGGAGGACTGAGATACCCATTCCCCGTGGAGGACCTCACAGGTTTGTGGATTGATTGATTCACAAATTATTAGTGCCACTAGTGCACTGCTATATTATAGGTGTAACGTATTAGTAGCGCTATTTTGCTTTGTTATGGCAATAATTTTTTTTATTGGACTTTATATATAATTGTATTTTATTCTCAAACCAATGTGTTTTACTGCTATTGTTATCTATATTTTTTTATATGTAAATTATTTGTTTATTTTAAATTCTAGGAAAGCCTCATCTTGATAATTTTGAACCATGTTGATCTCTTAGGTAACTTTTGATATTAGAAAAACTTCATTGCTTCCTTTTTTGTCCTCCATTCATTTTAACTTCTTAATTGGATTTTATACTCCTAATTTTGTATCCTTTATGATTGGAGTGTGGCAACATGGAAATTTATTTTATTTATTTTGTTTTCTAATCTTTACTGTCATTAACATTTTTCAACATGTTCACAGTGCTGTTATCCCCTACGATTCATTTAACACATATGCTGAAAAGTGCTGTAAACTTTGTTGCATTGAAGAATGAAACATGATACAGTTTTTCAAGGGTTTAGGGTTCCAACACATTATAATCTAGGTTCATTGATATGCACTTTCTTATGTGAATGCCACCATGTATATGTCACCTGCAATCTATTACTTATTAATTTATTCTTTTAGGGCTTGTGTTGTGGTTGATGACCGTCTTTATGTTATTGGGGGTCAAGAAGGTGATTTTATGGCCAAACCGGGGTCACCTATTTTTAAGTGCTCACGTAGGCAAGAGGTAAGTCATGAAAATACTAGTATTTATTGATGCTATACTGTGTTCTCCACATTGCTGTCCCATGGTTTGACACTGTCTCATTGTTTATTGCCATGTCAGGTGGTCTATACTGATGTTTACATGTTGGATGATGAGATGAAGTGGAAAGTGCTACCTCCAATGCCAAAACCAAACTCACATATCGAATTTGCTTGGGTACTTGTAAACAACTCCATTGTCATAGTTGGAGGGACAACAGAGAAGCACCCTGTTACCAAGAAAATGGTTTTAAATGGAGAAGTAGTCCAATTTAACTTGAACACTTTGGTAATGACTTTTTTTCGAAGCACTTAGGAAATTTGTCTTCATTTCTGCAGATTTGCTTCATATTCAATCATCATATACATATTCTGATATGCTTATTACTTATTTATACGTGACAATGCATATAAATACTCCACTATAGTAATTTTCTTGTGTCACCCTCCACTCCCCTGAATGAGTATATTTTTGGTATTCCTGTAGTACATAATTAATGCTCTTCATTTGGTAATGTTTGGTATTTCTAATTCAAAAGCGTTTTTAAATCATGGAAAAAAAAAATACCCATTCAAAGGAAATTGAGAAAATTTCCCACTTGAACATGGAGATTGAGATTTGACAGCAAAATTCTTCTGGCTCTCTTCCACTGCCATTAAGTTTTTGTAATTTGGTTTTCAACTAAGCTCCTGTTTTACCATTTCTTCATTCCCAAGATTCACCCGTCAGGTATTCTTGTTTTTTTTTCTCTAAAACCTGGTCTTATATTCAAATGGGAAATGGAGTTGTGAAGTTTACGATTCTGCTAATGCATATTACTAGGCTTATCTTGGGTGCCTTTTTGCTGTCATATTCAGTGGAATGTCACGCTTTCTTCTGCACTATTTTGCACATTTGGTTCAAATGATGTTTCTTGTGCGGTTAATTATTCTGTGTCAATGTATAGTTTTCAAAGCTCTTTTGTTTAATCCTTTTATTAAATAATTTTTGTCATAAATAGTGGCTTGTCAATCAAATTATCAGAACGTTTGTCTGCACCATATTTGGTGTCAACATGTAACTGAAACCAGGAATAATTTGATTGCTTCAATCCAATGCTGACATTCCAGTAACGATGTCAAGTCGGTAGTCTGTAGATGAAGACAACCATTTCAATCTAATTGCAATATGTTGTCACTGATTGTTTATTTCCCTTGTTATCAATTTTGCAGAAGTGGTCGGTGATTGGAAAATTACCATACCGGGTAAAAACCACGCTAGTTGGATATTGGAATGGATGGTTGTACTTCACTTCAGGACAGCGAGACAAAGGACCCGATGATCCATCGCCGAAAAAGGTCATTGGAGATATGTGGAGAACAAAATTAAAACTGGATGAGTGAGCAATTGCTGTGGAATCTTCTAGCAGCGTCCTTCTCCGAAAGCAGAGGTGAAGAGGCCAAAATTACATATTCTTTGCCACTACAATATTCGTTGTTGTAATTCACTGAGAATGTCTGTGCTTCGATTCACAACATTAATAGTTGTCCCCGACCTTTTCCAAATTTTTTACCAATCGGCTTTTGTAATTTTTTTCTCATATTTTTTGTTTTTAGGTTCTTCTGTTCAAGTAAATATTAACAGGTGAACTCTGTCTATGTTAATTGTGATTCTTATAGGCTTATTAATATAACCAATGTTTGTAGTAATAAGTTCAGTTTTCTTTAAACAAGGTTGTGTTTGAAGCTTCGAATGTGGAAAACAATTGTTGTGAGGTTCTTTCTCCTTGAGTGGGTCTATTCACCTTCATTTGGATTAACTGAATTGAATTTAAAGTGGTTTTGAAACGCCGGAGTTTCGTATGATTGAAGAGCTAAACCGATGTTAATATTTGAGAGGATTAAATTGGTGTCTTACAAGGACCATAGTGAATAATTACTCTTAAAAGTAGGACATTGATATGTACCTTTGGATTAAAAAAATTTCCTCAGAAAGTTATAAGCAATATAATTTCATCGAAAGGGAAATTTGAGAATTTTAGTTTCATAAAATAAAATATTAAAGAATAACTTTAAAAAATTGTTAAAAGACTTGAGATTTCCAAATTAACCTGATGCCCTTGACTGGGAGCCCTGTGTAATAAGATTCAAAACTCGGTTGGTGACATTGAAATTTTAAAACGGCTATCAACAGTGCAAAAGTTCTGCTTATCTTCACAATCACATCATGGCTTTCTACTTATGTAGTCGCAGTTCATAGTAAAGATATTGACAATGGCCGACCAATACAGCTGATATTCACAATAGCTATTAGCTAACACAATAACAGCAACAAATGGCGCTATACATAATATCATTGCATCTAATTGGACGATACTGCATACCGCAGAATGGAGCACATGATATCCACTGCCTTGCCTCCTTAGTCCTTAGAGCTGAAGCACAAGCTCCACAAGAAAAAGCTCCCCATCAAATCCAAGTCCAGAAGGTGCAGCGGGCTGAACAAACCCATCAACCATTCCGCCAAATACATACAAATAACGTCCAGAAGAGTCTGCACATGCACGATGAAAGGATCGAGGTCTTGGCTCATACCCACTTGATTTCCACCGTTTCCACATTCTCGTCAACACTCTCTTGGAGCTCAGTGTTGTTGGCTGCAGACTTATGTAAGGGATAGCACTAATATCTAACACCCAAAAATCATTTTTTTTGTGTCTACAAGAGTCTTCTCCTCCATAAATCAGCAACCTCCCTCCGAAAACCAATGTAGCTGTATGACCAACTCTAGGAAGGGAAACACTATCTGGTATGTTTTGTAGATCATACACTATTTGAAACCATCTCAAATACCCTTGACATGTATCCAATAACCAAACATCATCAAGCACCTCATAACCCAACCCTCTACCTCCAAATAGAATTGTCCTATTTTTCCCAATGCAAGTCAATGTGTGTCCTGAACGTGGTGGAGGTGAAGGGTGAGTGACAATCTCATGCCATGTACCAAAGCAAGGACTATTTGACAACTCCAAGACCCATGTGTCCCCAAAACGGAGGCCATGAAGCCCAATACCCCCATGGATCACCATTCTCTTTTCATCAATGCAACAAGCAGCATGAGCTCCCCTTGGGGGCGGGGCAACATTCCCCACATCAAGCATTTTCCAGGAAAATGTTATGCTGTTGTTCTCATTGAACACAACTTGCCCCAACCATGTGTCATTTTGACGGTTGCCACGGTCGTTGATTCCTCCAAAGAGAACAAGACAATCACCCATTTCCACGCATGTATGTCCAAATCTTCCACTTGGAATGCCTGAATGCACTGTCTGCCATTTCAACATTTTCCGAAAATCATTGCCAATATATGCGACCCACGTGTCATCAAGATGTCGTCCTAAACGAAAGTTATAAAACAAAGATGGGAACAAAGATATCATCACAAGGTAACATGTTAGTCAAGAGAAATAGAAACCTCCTATAAATGAAATCTTGTAAGTCAATTTTTTTGGACCCTTTTTCTTTGCAATGTACAAATAAACAATTAAATGGGAGAGGACATAGCAAAGGAGGGAGGTGGTGTAAGTTTCATGGGCACATACGAGTTTAGATATCCTAGGAAAGTTGACGTGCTTAAAAATTACAATCATATTAGTTATTGTAATGAAATATCCAAAAGGAGAGCTCAATATACGCTTCACTTTTTCCATAACAGTGGTAATCAAACATGACCAGATAAAAATATAATCACGAATTAATTTCATTCATAAATATAACCCCGATCACTTAAACGAATACCAGCCAAAAAAGTGAAACATCTAATTGTTAGATGGATCAATGTTACAACTTACAAGTCAACAAGGTAGGTTATAGTGATAAACTATACTTGCTTGCATATGACATAATAATAATAATAATAATAATAATAATAATAATAATGCCGTACCATTCCATTGATTGAATATATTTTCAATTTTCAATTCCTTTTGTAGTGGAGAAAGGACTTGTCTCTCTTTCTCCAATGTTAGGGACAAACTAAAACACACAAATAGTAACTGCTGGTCCAAAACCATTAGCCATGAGAGAAGCAAAAAAAGAACACTGAAAGAGAGAGTAACGAACCTCCCTCGCAGCCACCACCAAACAAGACAAGACAATCGGAGACAAAGTTGAGAGAGTGAGAAGCTCTGGCACTGGGAAAATCCAAATCCAATTTATGGCAACAAACGAAGTCCATCTGAGAGACTTGCTTGTAGAGCCTCATCCATGGGAACTCATGGTGATTGGAAGAGTTGAGTGCATCAACACAAGTGGAACCCAAGTCCCTTTTGCACAATGATTTCCATAGGGTGTCAGAAGAAGTGAGAGCTCTGAATCTCTTGCAAGTCATGGATAGAGACAAAATTGCATCTATAGGGAGGAGAAGGAGAATAGTTAAGAGATAGTCTTCAGCTATGTTGGTGATTGGTGATCCACTATAACTGTGATGATTACCACTTGCACTAGCTTCGGCTTCTTCCATGAGGGAAAGCTCTATGCTTTGTTGAAATCTATGGCTATGGCTGAAACAAGCAAGTTATATTGGCTAGAGGGTTTGTTTGAGACTTGAGAGAGAGAGAGAGAGAGAGAGAAATTTGGCAATTGGTAAAACGGGGTTTGTTGTTAGTGTGATGGGTTGAAGCAAGTGGTAAAAATCTTGGGTGTGGAAAGAGATTGATCGAAGACAGGTAAGTGGGGTGCCCATTTTTCTTTGTCGTGTTTAGGAAATTATGAAGCGTAGCCCTTTGTTTCAACATGTTTGTAGCGTCTTCTGCTACATGCTTTGTCATGTTATCTATCTGGACAAGACAAGAGCATTCACTTTTATGCCAAAAAGAAAGAATGAGAAAGATTTTCTTTTTTCAAAAAATATATAAAAAGATATAATAACTATTATTTTGCATGCTACATTGAATTAGGAGGCTTTTTTTTTTTTTTATTGCTTCATCATAGATACATGCAAATGCAATCAATTATAATATACTTACAGAGTATGGCTCGTTGCATATTTCAACTTTTTCTTTGTCCACTTTCTTTGTCCGCTCTTAACGCACAACAACTAACTATCCATGAGAGTTCAAGGAGTGGAACTGCTTCTAATGCATGCTTTAGTGTGTATTCCTTCTCTCTTCTAATACTTTTGGCTTCGTGCTGTTTATATTTTAAATTTATACATTAACACTGTCGTCAATTTTCCTCTAAAATGAGAGGCTGCATTCTATAGGATGCGATGTAGAGTAATTATAACTTTTGATGAGTTCAAGGTTGTGACTAAAGTAAACATATGTATAAATTATGAAATTATTAAAATATTAACCATTGATTTTCTAAAGAATACCCTCTTTACTAATAAGCAAAATCCTCACTGTCATATCTCTCTCTGCTTTTAATTTGAAGTTGCCATTTACAATTAATAGAAACTTGCGTAGTTTAAAGACAATCATAAAATGGAGCATTACAAAGTACCAAACGCAGTATAAACAAGAAACAGATAAGCGGCATCTTCGAATAAACCCAAAAGCGAAAATGCTTGAACATATCTACCGTGAAATATGTAACGCTTCATGTGCGTGTTAGAATTCAAATGATAATAATACATTTTTGAAAAAAGAAACTTTTTTCAGGCATGCACTAATGGTTCTCTCCAATCTTGAATAGAGAAATTTGTGAATAAATTATGTAAACTGTTCAACTAAAAATAATTTGTTTCTTTTTAAAAACCAATAAAGAACCTAGTCGAGTCAGATGAAAATCGATTTTAAACATCTGATGAAAAACCAATTCGAACCACTTTGTTTTATTTTTTTCAATGCTCTATATAATTAAAAGCATTTTTTAATCAACAAAGACTTATCTAACTTGCACATATTTATATAAAAAGTCCGCTTATTAATTATTATTTAACTTCCTATTAATAGATCTTATATCTTGTAAGACATAATATAATTATTTTATATTAATTTAAGTTTTAAATTCATTTTAGTATATTATACAATATTAAAATATAGATCAATTTACAACTTATTCAATTGCCCTTAATTATGATTAAACTAATAAACCTAAAATTAACATTTTCATGGATTTAGTAATTGCTCCGATTTTAAAACAGTTGATTCTATCAAATAAAGCATAGCAGCCATGAAACATGAGCAAGATTAGTCTTGGCCCTTTAGACTTAAAATGTATCCCAATCTTTTACCTTAGACCAGAAAAAAAAAATTGTATGCGTCGAATTTGGCAGCTTTTCACACTTCAAGCGGGGGTGGGGAATTCAGGCGAAAATTTTTGGCTATAAAAAACAAACTATTATTTCTTCAGAGTTCTGATATTTTATTTCTATTTTAACAATGGGATTATAACCCAAAAAAGACTCTCATGTTCAGCCTTAACAAAACCTCCTTGCAGTTGCATGAATATAATACACTTCACGGTATCATATAATACCAAAGTCCAAAAAGGGCAAAGAATAGAACTCGCAGGTTCCAACTCTTGTTGGGAGGAGAGGATACGCATATCCAACATCTTATTTCTGCACATTGTACACTTTTCCTTTGTGTATTAATTTCCGAAGAGCAGCTTTAGCTTCTTCTAATGTTTCTACACTTTGCCCTTCATCAAATGATATCCTCTGAATGTTGAACTGCACACAAGACATTATATGATACAAACAGCAGCTACAAATATTAGAAAGCAACGTAACAATTGTCAGAATAATTACCTGGGCACCTTGACGGACCCTAATATCAGTGCCTCTGCTGTCTATTGATATGAGTGCTGCGTCATCTACCTCAGTCTCATTTGATAGAAGTTTCTTTAGGGGCTTTGAGAAGATGGCATTGAGCTCCTATTATTTCAAACATAAAACCAAGCAATGATGTGATATAACTCTAGGACAGGTTTACATAAATGTATCAAGTATTTGGAGGATAAAATGTCATTGGAAAAGGTTTGACATTTGACAGAAACAGCCAGACCCAGACTTTATTTCAACTTCACAAAACTGTAATTTGAATTAAGGGTTACTTTTGGGGAGAGGGGAGAAGAAGGCTATCAATTAGGAAAAATAAGGCCATTAAATTAATATACCCTTTTAGGGAGCTTTATTGAATAAATGAGTTAACCCAATAAATCCAACCCCAGACAAGACAGGGAATGTGCCACTTGATATACATCTCCAGCTACTAGGCAAAAAAAATTAGAATGTCCCTTCCAAACCAATCTCAGTTTTTCCACTTAAACAAGAGAGAAACAATTTGGTGAGCTTTCAAAATTGTTTTAAAGATAATATTGTTTAGTTTTGCCCACACGAGCCAGATTTGATTTCCTTTAATTCCCAGAGTAAGAATTCAGAAAATTTACCTTTAAATACTGCTCACCACCATCAACTGCAATTTTATCAGGTTGAAGGGTTTCATATTCCTTGACATCCACCCAAGCTACAGTACCAAAGCCTCCAATGAAATATATGTCACTGCCAATAACAAAGAACTGACTAAATTAGGCTTGCAAGTTGATAATGACAGTACCTAACAAGAAGAAATAGAATTCCTCAATTCTTCATGGATTCTAATGTTCATGAATGCTGTATTATTTATTAAGGAACTATATTTTCTACGGAAAATTCAAAATGATACAAAAAAACCAGCATATGTTCTTGACGCTTCACCAAACACCCAAAATATGATTGTTTTGTAGTTCAACATATTAGATCCTTTAACTAATACTGACTATATTTCTTCTCACTCATATAAAAATAGATTTCTCACTAGAGCCAACCTTATATTCTGCATCCTAAAATAGTAGAAGTTGCCCCACTGTTGAGAAGGACCCTGTTGATGTTTCGCTATATACTGCTTATGAGCCCATTCCTGTTAGTACAAAATAGTCAAAATGATATCATGATATGTACCAATAAACCTCTAAATCAGAAAAGCAATTGTGTGTCTAATAAAAAATACAAACAAGTGCACATTTACTGACCCACAAACAAATTAGTCAGTAAACAACCTGTTGCTCTTCTGGAAGTGGATAGACATCCCCAAAAATAGTTACCCTTGCATTGGATAATCCACTCCATCCAGGAATCTAATAAACATAATCGTCAATAAAACCCAAGATGTAGAAAAACAAGAATCAGATATATAGCTCACATAGGGAAATGTTAAATTTCAAACCTGAACAACCAGTGTGCATCTTGGGTCAGCCAACAAATTCCTTGTGTGAATTGCAAGAGGAGAAAATGAAAATATTGGATCTACAATCAAGAAAATAAGATATGTTTTATAGATTAACAGTACAAACAGACAAGTAAGCCATGAGCGTTTAACAATTCACACTGATCTACAATTCTACATCCTACAAAACAAGGTAAAGATCAGCATGAGACAGACAGCAGAAATGAATCTAGGAGAACATTACAATGCAAGAATATTGTGGTGGAATGAATCGTTGGCATTTCACTAATGATTTTTTATCTTCCATGATATATAACATTATCACTTTACGCTAATTGAAAAGTATACCTAACTTGATTTATTATGATTTTATGTTCAGTTTACTACTGAACATGCTATGTGATGCTAAAATATATTGTTAATTATCACTATATCAACCATAGTCAGACCGACCAATGCCTTCACATTTTCAAGACTGGCCTGGTTTGAGAAGGCTGTAAGAAATGGATAGCAGTGACATGTTGATTGGTGGAATCACAATTGTGAGCAATAAGTCAAGGAGAGGGGGAGATATAGAGGGGGAAGAAGGAAGGAAGGAAGAAAGAGAAAAAGGAGAGAGAGAGAGAGTGGAAGGAAGTAAGGAAGGAAGGAGAGGGGGAGACATAGAGGGGGAAGAAGGAAGGAAGAAAGAGAAAAAGGAGAGAGAGAGAGAGGAAGGAAGGAAGGAAGGAAAAGAAAAAATTTAGAAAGAAAGGAAGAAAAACAGAAAGAAAGAATTTACAAAGAAAGAAAAGAAAGGAAGGAAGGAAGGAAAAGAAAAGAAAAGAAAAGAAAGGAAAGAAAAAGGAAGAAAGAAAGGAAAAGAAAAAAGAGAAGGAAGGAAGGAAGAAAGAAAGGGAAAAAAAAAAGCAAGGAAGGAAGAAAGACAGAAATTAATACAGGAAGAAAGTAAGAAAGAAAGAAAAGAATACAGGCAGAAAGAATCCAACTGCACAATCTCCATGGTTATCTTTCTGTTTTCTTCTGCATTTTAGTTTTAACACCAGGCTACCTCTGTTTGTAGGTGCTGGTCTATCTCCTTTAAAAAGAAAGAGAGAGAGACAAAAAGGAATACAGGCAGAAAGGAAGGAAGAAAGAAAGAAAAGAAAAGAAAGGAAGGAGGAAAGGGAGGAAGAAAGAAAGGAAAGGAAAGAGGAAGGAAGGAAGAAATAAAGAAAGGAAAAGAAAAACAAGCAAGGAAGACAGAAATTAATACAGGCAGAAAGGAAGAAAGAAAGACAAAGAAAGAAAATAATACAGGCAGAAAGAATCCAACTGCACAATCTTCATGTTTATCTTTCTGTTTTCTTCTGCATTTCAGTTTTAACACAGGGCTACCTCTGTAATGTGCTAGTCTATCTCCTTCAAAAAGAAAGACAGAAAGGAATGCGGGCAGAAAGGAAGGAATGAAGACGAGAAAAAAGAAAGAAAGGAATACAGGCAGAAAGGAAGAAAGAAGGAAGGTGAACAAGAATTGAATGAGATGGAAGGGCTGAAGTGGGCTGGAGTATAATGTCCAGCTGCACAATCTCCATGGCTATCTTTCTGTTTTCTTCTGCACTTTTGTTTTAACAGTGGGGCACCTCTGTTTGTAAGGTGCCAGTCTATCTCCTTTAGAATGAAAGAGAGAAAGACAGAAAAGAATACAAGCAGAAAGGAAGAAAGAGATAGAGAGAAAGACAAAAAGGAAAGAAGGGAGGGAGGAAAGAAAGAAAGAAAGTGGAAAGGCTCATGTGGGCTGGAGTATTATGTCCAGTTGCACAATCTCCATGGTTATCCTGTTTTCTTCTGTGTTTTAGTTTTAACAGAGGGCTACCTCTGTTTTTAAGGTGCTGGTCTATCTCCTTATTTTCTATCCTAATTTTCACTTAATATCACGCTCTAACTCTTTATGAGCAAGGATCAAAACTAGATTGGAAACATCTGTAGCGCATTCCCAATTTACAACTAATTAATTATATCTATCCAATCCACCAAATGCTAGGATTAAGAAAAGCCGTTAACACTTGTCATGATTGTTACAAACATGGTAGTTTGGAGTGGAACTCCCAACTAAATCTACTATTAACCTCATTTGAACAATGGATAAAAAACTAAGCACCAAAACCCATACATACATAAAACATTCATGACTGAATGGGAAAAACTAATGAAGCAAATACAGAATTATCAACTTACGACCCATGGAATCGGGTGCAAAATCAACCAGAGAACCAAACGGATATCCTTCTCGTCGGTGATGCATTCGGGACATTACAGAGCACAAATGAGCAAACCTGGCCTTGAATCATAGAATGAAAAAACAGCTGAAAATTATTAACGGCAATCCAGAAATGGAACTAGTGCTAGATTCAGTTACACAGTCGATTATATAAAACTCATTTGAAGTTACACCAAAAACAGCAGCAACTTACCTGCTCCATTAAATTTCGCACTGCTAAAGCAGGTCTAGGTAAACCATGAGCAGAGGTGGCACTCTGCACGCCACCAGAAATAGGAGTTCTGAAAAGTCCAGCTCTGGTGCCACCACCGGATCCACTTCCACCTGGGGCAGTGTCAGTTGACCACGACATGTCCATTTGCAATGGTTCATTTTTATCTTCTTCAGAACTCTCAGAATGGCTTAAATTATCCTTCAGAAAGAAAGGGCACCATCTAAGTGAAAGGTCAACGATAAAGCGTCCTACTTTATGAAAAATCGAATTTTGCATGAACTGTGAATTAAAAACAAAATTGAACTTAAAAAGAGAAAAAAAAAAAAAAAAAACTGATCAAAAGGTATCGTGATCCCCCAATGAAAGACACATAAGGCATGAGTATCGTGATCCCCTAATTAAATTAAAAGGTATAAGACAATAGGGTTTAAGGGTTTATGAATGAATGTTGAGTATGAGAGTCATAAAACAGTACCTGAGGCTGAGAAAGTAAAGCGAAGTCATTAGCATCATCGCCTTCAGTGTTGGGGAGAGCGGAAACACGAAGAGGGAGAATGCGTGAGTGTGAGTGTTGAGTGGTTTTGAGGAAAGCAAGACGCTGCGTTTTGAAGGAAGAAGAAGAAGAAGTGCGAAGAAGGAGCGAATGGGTGTCAGGGATGATCGAAAGTGCTTCCATAGATGAACGAATCAAATCGGAGAAGACTCGCCTTAGAGTCACTCACTCAGAATTTAGGGTGACCTCAGTACAACGTTATTTTTTAATCGATTTTAACTAAAAATAAATTAAAGATTGCGTTATCTGAACACAGAAGAGAATATATATACACGAAACACTCCCAAATTGTGTTTGCTTTTTCTTAGATTGCTGAGTCAGATTCTGGATGGTAGTGCGTAGTGGGCTCAATCACACCCTTACTCCAATATCAGCATCACTTCCAGGTTCCAACACTGCTTAAGGCCTGCAACAGTTTATATATTTTTTATATTAAAAACATTTTTTTATATTTAAATGCTCAAAATAAATCATAAAATTTGACATCAAAATTCAAATATACCCTTAAACAAAAAGTTTATACTACTGCTGCTTTTGTATCTCCCCCGATTTATTTCTATATTTTTCTGATTGCTATTTATTCAATTGATGCATCTAACCAATTCTAGACTCCCCTCTATTTCTTTACCGAAAATCTTCAAGGCCTCTTGTCTTATTTCCTAACTGACATTGTTGTCATTCTTGTTTAGTATTATTAACTTCTATTTTCAAAACAGTTTTAATATGATCGCAATATTAACTAGCAATACAAAAATATTTAAAATTAAATCTTAATCATGTGATAGAAAATTTTCTAAATTAAATCAATCAAAATGTAGAGTTCACCAATTTGTGAGGCTGACTTGAATCATGTTCTAACAAGTAGCAGATCAGGGAAACAAAGAATAATGAAAGAATGATAGAGATAAATTAGTACAAGCCTTAGGAAAAATATCTATTCTATTTGCCATTCAATGTGCAAGAGACTAACATTTTATTTAAAATATGTACATACAAACTCCCTCTCTTTACATACCTATAAGCTTTCAAATTTCTGAGCTGCTTTTTGTTACCTTCCAGTTCAAGTTTTCAAACGTTAGGTACAAGTCTCAACATCCCCCACCTTTTTGCACTCTCAATCGCATTCACACCTTCTACACTGATTTTTTACCTTACTCCTATTGCTTTAAGTTGAATTATTGATCCATAGTTATAATTATAGATATTTTTCTCTAGTGTATCTTCATATCTTCTATATTTGTTGGAATTCATTAGGATTATAAGACTACTTCATCTTTGCTTGAGATCCTCAGCATTTAGATCAAAGGCAAATTTTGTTGCTGCAAGCCTATCGGATGAACCTGCTTTCACAATAGATGAACTTCTTGATGATAGCCAAATCGATCTGACTTAAATCTTTCAGCCTTTTGTACATCCACAGATAACTATTTCAATGAGAACATCCAAATTTCCATGTAGGGGATTGGATTATCGTCTATGCCTTCTAACTTTTGCTGTGTGTTTGCTGTTGTTTGGATCGGTTTCAAGATTGAATATTCCAAATGTTTCTTATGCCACAGTATCTAAGATTCAGCACTACAATCCTAAGAGAGTTATATCAAAAGGAAAAGGGTACCCTCCTGTGCTTGCATATTGGATTCTTGGCACCAAAGGAGAGAGTAAGAAGATGTTGAGGCTGTTGAAGGCTGTGTACCATCCAAGAAATCAGTATCTACTTCAGCTTGATGATGATTCCTCGGAATCTGAGAGAATAGATTTAGCTGTTTCAGTTAAATCCCTTGAGGTGTTTGAGGAATTTGGAAATGTTAATGTCATTGGGAAAAGTTATGCCATCAATAGGATGGGATCTTCTTCACTTTCTGCCCCTCTGCATGCTGCTGCTTTGCTTCTTAAACTGAATCCTGATTGGGATTGGTTCATCACCTTAAGTGCTTCAAATTATCCTCTCATGACTCAGGATGGTAAGTGTCACTGATGTTAATGTGTTATAAACTGCCATTCTAATGTTCACTTTGTATTAATGGTATGCATCATGAGTTCGGTTCCAAATTGAGGATAATTTGAAATTTTAAAGGCCTCTGAATTCAAGAACTCTAACCAAGTAAATAAAATCTTATTGCTAGAAATATTAGAATTTCCCTCTTTCCCAGTTTGTGTTTTTATGTTGAGATCTATAAAAATGTAACTGTCAAAAGATACTAAAATGGCTTAACATGTGCAATTGCTCATGATCTTTTTCTTAGCACCTACATGGTGTTTCCTAAATTGTGATAAACAAGCCTAAAACATTAATTTTGTAGACTGGGTTCCCTATCAACGTGCCTTCATTGGGATAACCATTCAACCTTTTGCTTTATTTATTTTTCTGTGCAGATATCCTTCATGCTTTCACATTCTTGCCAACAGATGTCAACTTCATTCATTACACCAACAAGACAGTGCGGAACGAGTAAGTAATCCACAAATTAAGGTCTGGCTTATTTCCTTACTTATATGCATATTATAAAGTTTAAATTAAATAATCATAATGATAATTATAGCCGCTGCAACAGAGAAATCATCTAATCACAATTCATAATTGTGGCTGTCAAAGATCCACACCACGGGTTTCTTTCTTTCTTAATTTATTCATTATTTTTTCTTTTGTTTTTTCCCTTGGTGGGGAGGAAGAATAAAGAATACTTTTGCTGTTAATCATCCAAAGAAAGGTAGATTATGATCTGAATCAAAATGGGTCCAACTCTGCATGTTGTAACAGAAAATAAAGAAACAAGCTTTTTCAAGTATATTTATCATGCATCCAAATAGGTTATAAAATGGTCGATGCCATGATGCAGGCAACGAGACATTAATCAAATTGTGGTAGACCCAAGTTTACATTATGAAAAGAGTAGTCCACTTTTCTTTGCTGTGGAGTCTCGAGAAACACCAGATGCTTTTAAGCTATTTCGAGGTAAGTTTCCTAAGCAAAGTTTCCTGAGTACCATTTTTCAGTTACTAGTTTCTCAAGACATGTGATCAATAGGTTCACCCTGGGTGATTCTTACAAGAACCTTTATGGAGTACTGTGTAAGTGGGTGGGACAATTTACCAAGAAAACTTCTAATGTTCTTCAGCAATGTGGCTTATCCTTTAGAAGCTTATTTCCACACTGTTTTGTGCAACTCCCCCGAGTTCAAGGACACCCTTGTGGACAATAATCTAATGTACAGTCTTTGGGACACTGATCCATCTGAATCTCAATTGCTTGATATGTCACACTATGATATAATGCTGGAAAGTGGGGCTGCATTTGCACGTCCATTTGGCGAAGGTGATCTTGTTCTTGAGAAAATTGATGATTTGATTCTTAACCGATCATCTAATGGGTTGGTTCAAGGAGAGTGGTGTTCAAACTCAGAAGTAAATAAGACTTCAGAAGCTGAGGAAGAATTCTTCTGCTCACTATCTGGCAATATTGATGCTGTAAAGCCAGGGTCGTTTGGCATCAAGTTTAAGACTCTACTAGCTGAAATTGTCAACAGTAGTAAATATAGAACTAGCCAGTGCAAATTCTAAAATAGAATGTTTCTAAAACCACATTGAAAATGGATCCTTTCTTACCCCTATGCTAACTGATTGAAATTGGTTTTGAGATTGCCCTTTGCTATTATTGAGGCCTAGAAGTTTGGAACAGAAGATTCAAGATTGTGTCTGCTCAAAGCTGAGTTTGTTTCCATTTCTCCACACTCATAAGTTTTTTTTATTTAAACGTAAATTCGTTCCTTTTGGAATTTTTTTTTCCTTGAAATATTTTAGGATTGGCTAAATTACTCAATATCTCATTTAAGTTGGGGTCATTTGTAGTTTATTTCTTCATTCTTACAATTAAAGCGATCAACCACTTAGAGTTTGTATGATTGTAAATATCACGTGCTGTGTCTATCTGTTCTATTTAATTGACTAACAAAATCGAACATATAATATGACGAGTCCACGTCATATCCGAAATAAAGCAGATATTGAAATTAAAACTTATATGATTTTCTTCTCCTTTGAAGTTGAAATTAAAGTTTAGAATTTTTCTTTATTTTCAGTTTGTGCCTATTTTAAGGAAATCAAACTGATTTTTTTCTTTATGTCTTCTATGAATAAAAGAAAAGTAAATTTTTATTTAAAATCACACGAGTGAGTGTATTGATAAGTGTTAAGAGCATTGGTTAGCAATTTCTTTTTTGTATTTTCATCATTTCTTTTCTTTTTACTTGAATCACAGTAACTCAGCCAAAATAATGACATTTAAAGTGAAAAAAATACTTAATTATTATTATTATTATTTAATTAGAGAAATAAATAATGAGGAAAAAACAACATTTTGGAATCCCTGTCTCAAACATCACATGGTATGATGTATTACACGCGCAATTTGTTATTTGTTTAGTAAAGATAAGTTTGATTCTTATCACTTAATAGATTGATTGCTTTAATGGAAATCACAATAAAATGAATAATAGATGCCTTTGAGTTAAAGGTAGTTGTGTATAATTTAGCCTTTATCTCATGCAATGATTTTGGACAACTGAGGGACCTGGTTACTACTTACAAAATAGGATATTTTAAGCTTCTTAAAAATCTCCCTTCAATTAAGCATCAAACCATTACAAAAGGATTTAAATAACTTGGAAACTCTATGGCCATTAGTTATTGAATATTTTAAAGATATGAAATTATGGTTAAGAATGAGCCATGACAACTAACATAATGTCATCATTTTAAAATTAAAAGTAAATGAGACATGTGGTTTAAACGCAATCAATTCCATTGGGACAGAAAGAATCTAAATACGCAAAAACCCAATTATCTCGCTCTGTGTCTCTCTCTCTCTCCGTGGGATTCTTGCAACAACTATAAACAGCAACCACAATGATGTGCTTTTGTGATTCATCGACCCTTCTCAAGTGTCACTTTTCAGAAGCACATTTAGACCTCACATCTATCTCTATTATATCTGTTCTTGATTACGAGTGACTGAAAACACCATGCTTTTTGTGGTAGCTCAACCTCTTTGATTGAGTCTTTATTTGACCGCTTGTTTTTTGAGGTTGTTGCCGTGTGTTATTACTCAGCAGAAATTGTGGGTTCAACGTTGGGACCAAAAGCAGTAAGGTAGCAGACGTGTGGTTTTAAAATTTGGTACTCAGAGTTAGTATCTAAGAAATAGAACATCAATTATGGTTGGTGCCTGTTCAGAAGCAAATGAATGAACCTCAACTATAGCCAAGATTAAATCTGTTCTCAGAATTCAGATATTTGTTTTTCGATTAGAAGTAGCACCTACCAATATCCCTTTTTATTTACTAGCACGAGACGTGCGGGCATCAGCAACATCAATGGTTATATTTTAGCCTGATAAAACAAAAATCTGGTAGACAACATAGTGACGAATAGCAAATATATTAGATGCAACATCATGCCCCCAGACCCGTGTCACAAAATTTTGTGTTCATTAATTTCTCTTTTCTTCATATCTCTTTCCTAACTATATAGAATAGTTACAAAAAAAATGTAGAAGTGGGTGCTAGCCATTGATCCTGCCTGCCCCCTCCCCCGGTCCAAAAAAAACGTGGTAGACATTGTTGTCTTATCTATCATGACAATGATTTGAACTCGTCCAATTCGGCTTTCATGTCAAACCTTCGAATTTTTTTCATTCAGCTATGTTTCTCTCCCGAGTTATTTTGCTTCTTTTATTAATCAACCAAATCATACATAAATTTGTTAAACCTTAACCAAATATTCAAGTTATGAGTTGCGTAGCGCACTTGGTGATTTCGTAAAAAGATCAATAAATGCATTACCATAAAAAATGAATAGTAACTTATTTGAACAAAAATACATTAAATTCATTACGGGTTAACACCTCCCGCGCTCTCTCTTTTTCCATTGCTGTTACTTGGAACACATTTTGAGTTCTTTTTGAATTTGTTGATCTAATTGTTACAAAATTAGTAAAATAGATTAATCAATAGGCATCGCAGTGCCTATTCCTAGTTAGGAAAAGCAAACGAAATGAAACTAAGAACTGAAATTCACACATTTGGCTAAAGGCACTGTTTTGATATCCATAATCCATAACAACAAAATTAATAGAAACTACTCAAACTAGGCTCACATACAATGTATTGGTTGGGAGTAAAGTGTAGAGCTTAGGAGGACTCATCCCATCCCTCTTGCAATTCGCGGTGGTGCGTGAACACACGCGTCAGCTTGGCGTGTGCGGCCAGAATGAGCTTAGCTGGCACTCCGGAGATTGCCTCCAACCTCGACAGATTCTGAAACGTGGCGACGCACGTGTCCCCACAAAATCTGAGGCCCAACCAAAACGACGTCGCAGCAGCCACCCTGAACGGAAGAAACGTCCACCTTCCAAGGCACAAACTCAGAGCGTGCGACGCCACGCGATTTCCATTCACCCCTAACCCTAACCCTAACTCTCTGCTCCATTTTCCAAACACCTCCTCCGCCACCGATCCCACATTTCTCCGCCTCTTCTTCGCCGCCGGAGATACATCGTCGGTCACGGAACTCGAACAACTCCTCATCTTCTCTGCCGCCGTGCGCCTGACCTTAACCCTCTTCGGCGCCGTAGCGCAGGACTCGGAGCTGGAGACGCAGGTAGAGGAAGACGAAGGAAGGGAATCGGCATGATCGGAAGGGTTCTCCGGCGAGCAAGAGCGGCAGGTAGATGGAAGACGGCGGGATACAGTAGCGGAGGTGTGAATTCCGGCGAAACAGTTGCATTTGGAGCAGATGACGTGGCATAGATGGCGAGCTACGAGGAAGTTGGCGCGATGCACGGTGGCGTCGCAGGCGTAGCAGAGAAAAGCTGAATCGGAAGGACAATAGAGTGAAGCTTGTTGATTGCAAAGCTCGCAAGCGTTGGCCTTGATCTTCATGTCAAAAAATAAAAAAGAAAAAGATTCTCTTAACTTACAAAAAATCAATGGTTTTAAACAATGAAGAGAATCAAAGTCTTCCCTCTCCCTCAGGGATCAGAGTTATATAGAGAGAGCTTTATATTGTGTTGCATTACACATAATGAGTTGGAGATAAGAGTGTACTGTGCATAGTTTCTATACTTTGTGTAACTCATCAACTCATATTAATACCCCTACACCTTACCATACCATATTTTAAATAAGTAACATAAGCTTAACTGTGACCCTTTCAATTTATTTCCCTTTTGTTTTATTTGTGGCTAAGAAGCGAGGTGCTCATCTGGTAACTGCGATGCAAAATCAAACACCAGATATACGACACAACTTGGTTTATACTAATATTTATGTGTGGCGTCACTTTTAGATATTTAAAATATATAATATATGTGTGGGTCGGAGAGAGAGTGTACCACAAAAAATATCTTTGCAAATCTACCAATCCTATCATTTTTATCTATTATCATTCAAATATTTAATAACATTATTTACATTTTTATTTGTTTTAAATAATACAATATTCTCTTTTTGTAAAAGAAGTGGGGAAGTGAAGCTCTGTTTATAAACATAAAATGGATTGATAGAGGAGGAGCAGTGATTGAGAAAAGAGTGGTTGGTAGGAAGGAGGTGGAAAATATCGGGCTCTACCACCTGCCAACTGTGGGGAATGAGTGACACGTCAACAGAAGAAATCTCTACCAAGAGTTTATCCATCAAAGACACTTCTCCACGCGGCACCATTCACTTATCCCTCATCATTTCAGCCACGTCATCAATTCCCTTAACACACATTCTTCTGCGATCTTTCTGTTGTTTCAAATGAGAGTGTGGTTGCGTACGAAGCATAAAAAGAAGAGGCAACCAACAAAAGTAATGCTACTCTCTCCCTTGTATTTTTTTAATTCTGCTGTCAGAATGTCTTTTCCTTTTTTATTTCGAATGCCTTTTTATATTAAAAGAATCTGAAATTAGAGATTTTGATATTTAAAATATCATTTTACTAATATCATTTTCTTGGATTTATATTTAAATGTATTAAAATTTTGCTAAAAAGACAATCTTTTATTTTTATTTTATTTTCTTAATAAATATTCTTAAGACACTTAAATTTATAATGTACAAGTTTAATTTAAATACGGTGTAAATATTTTTTATTCTATCATCCGATCATAGATTAATATATTATTAAAAATTATTAATTTGTATGATAATTAACATAAGAATTACATTCAAAGTATATCAAAAATTACACTATTTTAACACATCAAAATTAAATTTTAAACAAAAAAAAAGGTGTTTTTTTTTTTTTAACAAAGTCACAAAACACACGCGTGCATGGCATAAAACATGAGTCATTATTATTGTAATTTTATCAACCTTTCCTGAAATTATATTATGAGTAAGTTAAATACAATTGATGACAATTTTGCAGTACTTTAAAACATATATTAATTCTATAAAAATTATGACATCCAATATGTATGGTTACTTTTGCTTAAAGATATTTTAAATCAAAATAATAAAATAAGTAACTATTTAAAAAGTAGGATCTACAAGAGCACTAAAAAATTGATCATAAGTGAGACCCCTCTTAAATTCTAAGAGTGTGGAATGTAAATTGAAAGGCATGCATTTGTGATATGAGTGGGTGCAAGGAAGTAGCAGTGGGGTCACATGATCATATGATATCAAATTGGCACCACTATATGTATAGCTTCTTCTTTGCTTTCAGCCACAACCACAGGCCATCGTTTGTTTCTCCTCTTTTTGAATGGGACAGAGAAGAAGATACCTTAATAAAATAGAATCCCATCTTTTTTTTCAAACAAATATCGATTCACGTGTTTCAAAAATGTTTGTTTGCTTTGTTCCCCTTACCTTCTTCAACAATTCAATTCTCAACAGTGTATAATTTGTGCCTCAAGTTTCAAAATTTTAAACTTTATTGATATTATTGATGCTAGCAAAATATATATATGCCGAAGGATCTTATCATGTTAGTGTAAATTTAAAAAAATGTATATTTAATTTAAACTTTTTATTTAACTTAAATCTAACTGCTAGTGAAATAATAAATTATAACTTGTTATATTTAAGTTAAATAAAAAGTTTAGATTAAATATAAAAATTTTTAAACTTATATCGATATAAAAAAATCATATCTCTATATATATTTTTTTATAATAATTTAGAGTTTTTTTTCTAATAAACAAGACTTAAAAACCTAACAATAAGTAAAGACTTAGACTAAATATCTAGGAGACTAAACACCTGAAAAATCTAAATTAAGAACATACACAAAAGAGGAGGACTTAATCAAAATAGAAATAAAAAAGACTATCTTCAGTCTTTAACTTAGTTACCCAATCGATATATTGATTTACTTCTTTAAAGGCATAACTAAATCTAAAAAACTTAAAACCTTTCAATAATTTTTTAATCTTGCTAATAACATAAAACAGATGATAATTGTAACTCTATATGTTTATAAGTAAAAAAATTACATTTTGAAATAACATTCAACCCAGACTATTTGGATGTTCTTAGAAACAGCAAACTATTGTAGACCCTCAAAAGATCATACAGGAGCAAAAGTCCAAAGCTTTATGAATCTCTCGAAACTAAATTTAAAGTTTTTTAATTATATTAACTTTTATAATATTAATAATTTTATTATCAAAGAGTTTTTGTTTTTATATATTTTAAAGGTATATATTATATTAATTGTAGTGTAATTTTCAATCAATTTAAAATTTTACGATCTATATTCTAGGAATGTTTATTCCAATATTTGATTTTTTTAAAGGAAAATTATCTAACAATAATTCGTGTAACTCATGGGAGTTTGTTTTGGGCCTGTGCTTACCCTTCCAGGCTATTTTATGTTTTTAGCAAGAAAACATAAAAATAGAATATGGAATTATATATTTTTATTTTTTGTCGAAAACTGGAATTATAGATCTGATAAGTGAAAACAACACATAGCAAAGAAGGAGCACGTGCGGTTGAAGTTAATTCTGATTGAACGGTGGGTTGCAAAAACCCAAAAAGGCCCGGAGCCAGCCCATTTTATAAGTTTTGACAAAAAACAATAACAAATATTTCATAAGTTGGCTTAAAATTTTAAAGAATTTTATTAATATTCTTTAATAGTCTGTGTTAATATTCTTATATTTTTTAATTACAACGTTTTTCTCTTAATTGACAATTAAAGACTAACTTTATGAGACATATAAAAATCATACTTTAATTAATATTTATGAAAAAACTCAAATATATACAGATTACATAAACTTTTACCAGTCAACATTTTATAATATTTACCCAAATTGATATATTAGAAAATGAAAAATTATGAAATAATTTTAGTTATACTGTTTATTTTAAAAATGAATAAATTAAATTTAAATTTATTAAATATATTTAAAATAATAATCAAATTAATTTCGCTCGTAAATTTTACGTTAAAACATGTATGAAACATTAAAAGTTCTTTTCTAATATAAAATAAACAAGTGCTCAATATTTCTTTGCAACTCGCCACAAGCAAATTCAATTCTTAAAAATAAGTTTAAGTATTAAAAAATAAAGATATTTTTTTATTAAAATTATAAAAAATAAATTGTTTTTAATAAAATTTTATCATTAATAATTATTTAAATAAAATAGGTTAATATTTTACTTTATTTACTTATCTTAGACTTACTCTTCACTGTCAGTCCCATAACAGAAACAGTGTGTGACAAACGGCACGTGTAAATGCATTGCATCTGGGATTTGGAACAGACGACGACGACGGGAGTGTTTGAGTTTCATGTGATCTGTGTGTGATGCCATGTCCAACAACAACGGCAAGAAGCGCCGCCATGTTCCGCCTGCACCATCCGACACCATTTTCCGTATCCTCTGTCCGGCGGCAAACACGGCAGACATAACGGCGCTTGCCGGAGACGGAGCTAAGATTCTGGTCGATGACTTCGGCGGCGCCGACGAGCGTGTTGTTGTTATTGTCGGCGCCGCGGAGCAACCTGTTTCTTGTGAGGAGTCGCCTGCACAGGTTGCATTGATTAGGGTTTTTGAGAAAATGGTGGATGAAGAATCTAAGGCTTCCAATTCGGCGGTTTCGTGTAGGTTGGTAGCGCCCAGCTATCAGGTTGGAAGTGTGCTTGGTCGAGGAGGCAAAATCGTGGAGAAAATCAGGCAAGAGAGTGGGGCTCAGGTTAGGGTTTTGCCCAAGGATCAAATTCCCCATCCTCCTCCCGGAGATGAATTAATTCAGGTCTTCTTTTCAATTCTATATATTTAGGCAATGTTATTTGATTGATGTTACAAAAAAAAAAAAAACGAGAGTAAAAAATGAAACAAATTAATGTGATCCCGCTCTTGCATTTTCTTCCCTGGATTATGTCACAGTGATGTTTAGGTTTATGATGTATGCAGATAACAGGAAACTTTGCCTCAGTAAAGAAAGCGCTTGTCTCTGTTTCGAGTTGTATTCAGGATAATGTAAGGGTGGATGCTGCTAATTCGGGTGGTTTTAGACCTTCTGGGCCTGGTGGACACCATGGACCGCCACCACCTGCTCAGGTTGAACCTTATTCTCAACGAGGTTACGCGCCATCTGGGTCGTATGCTCCTCCTGATCATCACCCCAGAGGTTATTCTTCTTTTCCAGGTCCTGAAGGTGCTGGGCCTGGGCCTGCTCATAGGATGTTTGCTGAAGAGGAGGTTGTCTTCAAGCTATTGTGTCACCATGATAAAGTCGGTAGTCTTATTGGTAAAGGGGGTTCTGTGGTGCGGGCTTTGCAAAATGAAACGGGGGCATCTATCCAAATCGTTGAAGCTGGACCTGATTCGGACGAGCGTGTGGTTGTGATATCTGCGCGAGAGGCATGAGAACTACTTAATTATCTTTGATACATAATGCTGTAGTTGCACCTTAGCCATAGTTATGCATAGGATAGCTTTTCACATGAAGTTGCAGACAAAATTGCAATATATTGTGTGGAAAATTTCTTCTTTAACTTTTCTTTGGTGGGAGTGAATTTTACCAACTCTTCAATTTTTTGTGTCTCAGAAAGATTGTTTTTTCTAAATTTGGATGTTTGTTGAGATTATTGTGAAGCTGGCTCTCTGGTGTCAAGTTATTCTGGGGATCTTTTTTCGAAATCTAAAATATGATTGTTCTTTTGTCGTAATCAAACAGGTAACCTTTGTGTGATTTTTGTGGCTGGGGTCCATCTTCAGATTGTTTACTCTGTGAGTTGCTGTTGAGTTATTCTAATCATGGTAACTTCTCTGTATTGGTAGTTTTCCTTGCAAAAATGTTTGCAGCTTTTGGGAGCATTGTAGCAGAAAATTATAAAATCTGATATACAATTTCAATGATATTTGTCAAGGAAACAGAACTAAATTTGATATAACCTTCTGCAGAATTCAGAGCAAAAGCATTCTCCTGCACAAGAAGCCGTTATTCGGGTTCATGGTCGACTTACAGAGATTGGATTTGAACCAAGTGCTGCAGTTGTTGCTAAGCTTCTTGTGCGTTCACCACAGGTTGGCTGTCTCTTGGGCAAGGGAGGTCTTGTAATATCTGAAATGCGAAGGGCCACAGGGGCTAGTATACGCATCTTTTCAAAGGAACAGATTAAATACATTTCCCAAAATGAAGAAGTCGTACAGGTAACTGGTGCTTTAGACATTTGCATGCAGACTACATGCATGTTTGATGCTATTTACAAATCAAAGGAAAGAGAGAGAGAGAGAGAGAGCATGAAAAAAAGAAGGTTGTAGTTTTTCCTGTGCTTAGTAAGTCATTAGGAAATGACATATACTCTCTTTCCTTGAATTTAAAAGCTTTTCCTTTTTACTATAATTTATGGTTTGGTCATTAACTTTTTAGTCTGTCCCCCTTATTTCTGTAATGTAATGAGCATGAGGATGTTGTAATACTTTTTATGTTTCAGCTGTCATATACATTTTTCCATGTATGATTGGTTTCCTCACATGGTTTAGTTACTAATAAAGGGAAAATGATGATTTAGATGTTCTTGCTGGCATTTCTGTAGTTTTATGATTTGGATTTTGATGGTCTTCTGTTCAATGAATAGGATATTAACATATTGAATAATTTGTGTTTATCACAGGTTATTGGGAGCTTACAATCTGTGCAAGATGCTTTGTTTCACATAACCAGCAGAATTCGGGAAACTATTTTCCCAGTAAGGACCCCTCCAAATTTTAGTGCACCACCACATTTGCCACCATTTCCAGAAATGCCACCTCCGTTATTTAGGCCAAGAAATCATTTGATGTCCTCTGGCCACCCTCCTCCTCCAGTTGGGCCTCCTCATGGAATTGACCATTCAACTGTTCCCCCGATGCCTGTTGACCATCAGCATGCGTTTTTACATGGTATGGGGCGTGGTCCACCAAACATGGATCGGGTTCCCTATCCTCGTGGTTATGAAGGACCAAATTCTCCAAGATCATGGAATCCTCTGGTCAGTCAGATTCTGGGTTTAATGCCTGGCCCCCTGCCCTGCCCACATAATATTTTTAAGAATTAACCCCGTAGGTTTTTTGTATTTCAGGCAGTTAACAGAGGAAATCCAGGAGGAACAGGTGATAATTCTAGTTTGGCTTCAAGAAATGGAACCCCTGGAAAGTGAGTTTAGGACTTTTTTTATAGTCATAGTATATTTTATACAAGTTAATAGGTGCTTTCAGCATTCATAAAAATGGATGTTGTACCTAATATCTTATAGTGGTATCGTGTTATTTCCAGGAATGGAAACCCATTACAAAATCCAAATAGCTTAACTATTGAGATTACGATCCCTTATACGTATTTAAACCACGTGTATGGGGAAAACAATAGCAACCTTACGCAGATTCGACAGGTCTGTTTATAGCTGATTAGTTATTCATTTCTTTTTGTTTGCTTGACGTTTTCTTATTAGTTTTTGACCCTTGTGTTTTCCTCAGACATCTGGCGCAAATGTGGTGGTTCATGATCCAAAACCTGGAGCCGCTGAAGGTCTGGTGATTGTGTCAGGAGCACCGGATCAAACTCACGCGGCTCAATGCCTAATTCAAGCTTTCATTTTGTGTGGGCAGACTGTAGCGTGAGTTGAGACTACAGGAACAAGAGGCAATCCTGTAATTGTTATTTTATCGTGATGGTTTAAGGAGATATTTGTATCAAGATTGTAACATTTTGTGAATTTTATGTTCAATTAGAGTAATTTTATTTATTCTTTCCTGCGCCGAGGGTTAGACCTCACTTTTGTATTGATGTTTCTAATCATTCTAGAAGCTACCTACACAAATTTATAAGTATATAGGTACCTTTGGAAATGTTTGAATCTTCCCTTTTATGTCATTTCCCAATTTCGAGTTTCATTATATGAGCAAATTTTTTTTTCAAACTACAGCCGCACTGCTCAAAAATACATCAGGAAGTGCATTGAAGCTGTTCATCATACCCAAAATAAATCAAAATCTCCAGAAAGAACTAGCTGTCACAGGGCAATAATACATGACTTTTCACTAATGTATGAAATAAAATACAGAATGCTCATTTAAACATTTTCACCAAAAGCGTGGTAGAATCAGCCCTTTCATAATTTCTCATCAAAGGGAAGCAGTCTCCTATTACCCTTATTTTATGGAATTGCTCTCCATGCTGTCTAAATATAAGGCGTATCAAGACGAATCATCAGCATCTCCAGCAACTCTGTGGACTATCTGATTGGCCTCTAAATTTTTATTCTGAAAAATATACAATGAATGGACAAATTAAGTTCGTTGAAGAAGATTTAAATTTGCAAGCTTCCAAGAAATACATTATCATAAAATTCAATAAATGCATGGTTTCTGACCTCATTCTTGTTTAAAGAGGAATTATGTCCAGATATGGGTGCTGCCCTTGATAGGTCCCTCAGGGTTCCCTGTGGTTCAGAAAAAGAACAAATAAAAAACAGAATCAAAATCAGGCATAAAAATTTCGCTGTTAACGTACAACGCAATAGTACTTCCTGAAATTAAATACAAAAGTTGGCAATATTTTAAAGGAAGGAGTGCAACACAGATAGTAGTATCCTACTGAGTTTAAATTGTTTTAAACAAAAGACTGCAATGCCCTAAATAGATGAAACTATGCATACAAAATAACAGCAACTAATATCATTTGGTGACCAGATGAATCTAGCATAATGCAGCCCTACATATCACCATCTTAGTTAACAGGTATATTTCAATATTCATCAAATTATTGACACCACATTGGTATGATTAGTACACACATGCTGTAACAAATAAGATGTCACTAATAAATTGGAAGGAAACCACCGCAATGTACCTTTTCATATGTTTTCAGACATTAATATTTATTTATAGAACAAAATTAAAAAAACCAAAAAGATAGCAACGGACATGAGCAATAAACATGACTCTCATTTACCTTATTTGCCCACATAAGTCCACAAGCATTGCAGAGGGTTCTTGGCCCTTCAGGCCCACGTCGCATCATTGGTGTGCATTTCTCACTGATGCCACAGTGCCTACAACTGACATAAATTGACCGAAAACACCATTTATCAAATGATATACAAGACAAATTCAAGATAGGCTCAAAACTTCCCAAATGGTCCGTGGGCCATGGGATCTCATTTCAAGCTGTGCAAAGTTGACCGCAACATCCACAATACTCATTCAGTTTTTCCTCCCTCTTGTTCTAGAAGGAACCAGTCAACTTACACAATATCTTGCTGCTGGGATCCATTATTGTCTGAGGTCCAGTTTTCATTTGTTCCCCAATTTGTTGCAGCTGTTGCCGATTCATCTTGATTGGACTTCGAAGATGTAAACTGACCTTTATTCCTTTGCATCCTATAGAAGTCACTTGTAATTGTTAGCAACAAATATATCAGAATAACATGGCCAGTCAGGATGTGGATTTAGGTATATATTTATGTGAAAAAGTAAACAAATAACATCATATCAACAACATGCCAGAGATCATAAATTTACTACACTATAACATTTCTTTAAGAAAGCTAAAGCAATAAGATGAGAGATGGCACATATTTCAGAGAGAGTTAAGATTATGTTAAGTACCCATCAAATCCCAGTTTATTCACATTATACCATATTTCAAGGGCTTAAGGAATGTCATTGACACTCACTAACACTATCAGTCATGCTTTTGATTGTCTTCACGAAGAAATAGATTCTTACCCTTGACAAATATTAAGATTGAAAACAACCCAATAAAGCAAGCACAATGGATCGTGGATTTTGAAAGAATATAGACATGATATCCCATAAGCTACAATGAGTTGATACAAGATAATAAGGATGCTTCAACAAACAAATTTAGATCATTGCAGACCCTTCAAGGAACTCATCACCATGTTCTGTTTTCCACCCTTCTACTTTTATTAATAACACAAAGCATTGCAAACATAAATAAAGTACAGTATAGTCGGGATTTCAACACAATACCTTAAAGCTACTTCTTTACGAACATTATATCGAATTTTTTTGTCAAAATTTCTTTCCTTCCGCTTTTCACGAAATCTAATCAATGAAGCTAATCTCTGAGGGACACTGAACTTTTGGGGAGTACCAGAAAATCCCTGATAAAATGCTTCATGAGCGTATATTTGACAAGAAAAAGAGCACCAATTGCACTCCAACTAAATAATGCAGTAATACCCGGTTGTTATGGTGAGGAGATACTGGGATGGCAGGCACAGTTGGAGGTATTTCACGGCCTCCCAGTAACAGTAGTACAGCTTGAACCTGAGAAAGCATCGTAGGATTCTCAGAAAATATTTTCTTCAATAAATAAAACCCACATAGGCAGTAGTCCCCGACTTGGTTCATAATAGATCAAATTATTAATTATCATCGATCAAAGCCATCACTACAAGCATATTATAAAACATGTCCAAAAGCATGTTAAACTGTATATTATGATAAAATTTTCCACATGAAAAGCATCGAAAATTGATATAATACAAGTCTATCCCTGTGCAAGTGCATGAAGGGTTAGAAGAAAATAATTAGTCATTTCTTGTCTTATCCAATTCATCAGCAAAAATAACAAACAAGCAAGACAGCTCCACAGATCAAAGTGAATCATGTTTATGAACAAAACATTGACGTCTAAATCCTTCTTAATGCCTATAATTTTTATTGGTCTTCCCCTACCTCCAGAAATAGGGCTACTCTCCATCTGATTTAATCTCATTGCTAGGGCCTTTATAAGCACACATGACCAAACCACCTAAGGCAAGATTCTATCATTTTTTCTAGAATAGGTGCTACCCCAACTTTCTTTCCAATGCATTCCTTCTTAATCCTATCTTTCCAATACAACTCTCATTATGCTTTTTACCACTCAACACCCAGTTCCATACAACATGTTTGGTGTCATAATTGTGCAGTAAAATTTTTCTTTAAGGTTGAGAATTACCTTTTTGTCACAACTCAACAATAATGGCAAATAGAAAAAGAACAAGAACAAAAAAAATCTTTGCATTGTCCATAGCTGCTATCACCCAACTCCTTATAGCAATGTTTGCCAAAGCAAACGCGTAAGGATCCATGATTGGACACAAACAAAGCACTTGACCATGATTTTATCAATGCATCCTACTATTTATAACCCAGGCATCCTCATTTTTATGATTTTATGTCTATTCATGAGTAAAGAATATCGTCTCATGCATTACAATCTTGGAGTCAATAAACTAGATATACTTTAAGTAATCCACTTGAAATCAATATTTCCAACAAAGCTTGAGTCATGCATACTAGGTTAGACATGGGGAGCAATGTCATGGCAATGCAAAGGTAAATAGCTCGACAAGTATGCACCTTTTCTGGCGACACAGAATCAAAGACATAAACCTGGCCCTGAAAAGATAATGTAAGCTGATCCCCACCATCACTCCCTTGATCCATCATTACAGTGTGGTTGTCAGAGAGATTTCCATGGTTGGATGGGACTTCACCTTCCACACTATCACTTCCCCCACAGTTAGTATCACCGCCATCGTTTGGATCATCCTCAATCCCATTCCCATTGCTCATATGGTGCAATCCATGGTGCTCATGCTCTTGCACATATGGCACATGCATAGGATGCTGTCCATCACTGATGTGTATCCGAGAGTCACCCCCATGAATACCATCCATGCTACAGGAAGAGCCAAGGTACCTTTGGAAATGGCAGAAAGATGATTAAAAGGAAGCCAAAGAAAACTAATAGTACAAAAAACAACAACATAGTAAATTTAACAGATTAAAAAAATATAAAAAGTCACCAACTTTGGACTATGGAAAGCACAAATTTCACCTAGCAAACCAAACAACACATGAAATCAGGAAAATGCAACGCCATAACTAGTAAAGCATGATACTGAACGATGGAGTACAACATGCCATTCTAATAAAAGTAGTACATTTATAGGAAATGAAACGTGATAACAGGCAAACATCCAGTAGCAAGTGCAGAACGAAACAAGCAGAAACACGGTAAAAACAAAAAGTGTAAAATTATCCCATTCCATCAGCAAGGGAAACCTCCCTTTTGTTGGGGAGTCACACCCCACTGACTATAAAACAGAAAGCTTTTGCAACGAAGAAGACAACAACAGATAAGGAAACAACCCAAAACATATAAGTGAAATCATAGCCTTTTAGGAATCCCTCGGGTAAAGGAATAGTTTTGAATCAGAAACAATAGTCAGAAAAGCAAAACATCCAAGACAAACACGATGGAAATGAAATGAAAGGTGCCACAAAAGAGTTTGTTGAAAAAAATTAAATGGAATTTTAAAAGAATGCATTTTTAAGGAGAAGAACCAACAGGGTATGCAATTGAAGGTTGTATGAGTTGTTGATCTGCACAAGAGGCGAAAAGCAACAGAAAAAGGTTTGGGATAAGGTGACGAGAACTGAAGAAGTGAGAAAGATGAAAATGGAGAGAGTAACGGCCAAAATGTATCACGAAAAAGAGAGTTAAAATGGGTCGGTAACGAAAGGCGATGATTAGGAATGAATGAGATCAGGGACACACAGGAGACACCAGACAGTGCCTTGTCTCAAGTCAAAATTTTTTTCACAAACCCAAAAATATTTCATCATTACGTCTAATGTCTCCAGTAATAATTTTTCTTTTTAATCTTCATCTCTAACTAAAACCCTTTTTTATCCCAATTCAAGTGATAAATTTTTTACCTATGCCTTCTTTTACTGTTCCATTTCCCTTATGGATCTGTGATGATAACAAATATAGTTTTTTAACCTAAAAGAAAACACTAATATTAACTTCTTTTTAATCGATGTCAAATATTCATGTTTTATATTTTAATATGTCTTGTGTATATTAAAATGTCACATATATCCATAAGGGTGATGGATTTTAAATTATTTTAATAATTAATATTAAAATAGTAACTCGTTATAAAATGCTTGATATTTTCCATTATCCTTATCTTTCTCACATTTTATATTAAAATAAATTTATTTCTATATATGTCTTATATAAATGTCTGCAATTTTATATTTTAGACAAAAATATACTTCTAGTTGATTGTAGTTTTATATTTTTAATTGATCTTAATTTTTATCATTTTATTAAAAGATCAAATATTCGTTAGAGATAATATAAATAGTGTAATGATTAAGATAAATACTAGTGTGGTATTCAAAGAAGTAATAAAATAGAATTGTAATTTAAATATTGAAGGTATAATAATAATAATAATAAGTTCAAACATTATTTCAAATAGTATTTTAAAATGTTATAAAATACTATGATAAATTAAATTACTACATACATATATTTTAATTAAATGATCTTAACATTTAATCTAATAAACTGTAAGTTATCTAAAATGACTTGTCAAATGTATTCTAAGTCAATTCATAAATGGTGGATAATTATGAGATATGACCCACTTAATAAAGCAAAATTATGTGGATAATTTGGCTGCATGAAAATTTTAAGTTCACTAAAAATAAATGAGCCAACCAAGAAGACACATGAATGTCGTTTAGTCCCAAACACATGGTGATCCATAAAAGAGTAGTTGTGGTGTGCCAAAGTGAAATGGCCACAGAGGTACTCGTAATTGTTTGAAAATAGTATGTTACTGTTACATGTTTACTATTTTAAAATATAAATACAATTTTAAGGATGAATCAACTTTAAATATGAACACTTCTCTCATTATATTAAACTTAATCCGTTATATGAAGAAAAAAACAATTATTTTGGTTATTTCGTAAAACTATTTCAAATGCTTTAAAAAAAACTAAAATTATATACACATTCTAAAACAAATGTATTTTTTTAAAATAATAAATAAATAAACTATAACTTTTTAAATAAAATCTATCAAGTATGAATCATTTTTTTCAACTTAAAATCACTTTTTATAGCATTAATAAAACTTCCGTTGAATTGTTAAATTTATGTAGATTCACAGGTTTTTGCTTTTACAAAGTCTAATTTTAGTTTTAAATTTAAAAACCACCTTAACAACAACAAACAACTACTTTTGCAAATACATTTATTTTAACGTCATCTCCCACGAAATTCTCTAACGTTCCATGCCAACCAGTACTTAATCTTATCTTTGCATAGTTTAGTTACTAGCATACTAATGTTAACATTGAAAATTATTTAAGCTGAATTGGTTAATTAATTTATCAATTACTATTGAAATCTATTTAATTTAATTTAATTTTTTTTGGCGAGGAGGAAAAAGTAAAAATAAGAAAGGGGCTGGATAATGTTATAGATTATAAAATTAATAATAATTCATTTTTCATACTTTTATAGTGATATTCTAATAAGTGATAACAGTGTAAAAGGAAAAAAAATTTCATTCTTAATATTTTGAATATAAAGTCCTTGTCCCATAAAAAAAATTTACTCATAAAGAAATACTTCTGTTAACAAGTTTTTTTTTTTTTTTTCTGTTATCACTTTTATTAACATCTTAATAGCATTCATTATATTCTACTTAATGTTCTAATTATTTATAAGTAAGAAATAATATTTTTATACAAAAAAATATTGTTATTTGTACTTTTTTTTAATAATATGTAAAGAAAATTAAAAATTATAGTAAAATAAAAAACATTAATGAATGCTTTTAAAATATGAACTAAAATATATTTGATACATTGTATTTAATATTTTTAAATTACTTAAATACAACACATTAGCATTTAATGAAAAATAAAAATGAAGTATTGATAGATTAACTTTTCTGTTTTCTTTTTTACCTTTGGGGATAATAATTTGCTCTGTTAATTAGCAATTAGAAAAACTCTTCTGCTGTGTTTTTTGTTTTCTGAATATTCAACGTTGAATGTTGAAATGGGAGGAATTGACTTGAATTGAGCTAACGGGACCCATGCCATGGAGAATTGAAGTCTCAGCTTCCTTTCTATGACCGATGATGTTTCGCAGTTGAGTTTGCAAATTAAGTGTTCGATTCCAATTAAACTATTAATCTGCTTTCTCTATCTTATTCTTCTTCTTCTTCTTCTCAGTCGTAGCCTTCCCCAACACAATTTTAATGCCTCCCAAAAAATAATTAATAAATCTTATAAACCCTCAAACAAAAAAAAACCTCTTGTGGTGTTCACATCCACAACAACAACCACATCGGACAAACAAAACGTGAATTTCAAGGAAGGGTTGACACGATCTTCGTATTTAGAATTGAACAAACAACAACGTTGGTTGTTGCTTGGTCTCTGCAGCAAGTCAAGTCCAAAGCTTAGATCTTTTTTGTGGAAATGGCGAGAGGGAGCAGATCAGTGACGAGCAGTAAATGGAGGTACTGCCACCCCTCTTATTATCTGAAGCGTCCAAAGCGTCTTGCCTTGCTCTTCATCGTTTTTGTTTGCGCCTCTTTTCTTGTCTGGGACCGTCAAACTCTAGTCAGAGAGCACCAGGTGCTTCCCTTTTCCTCTCTCTAGTTTTGGACTGTGGATCTGGTTGTTGATGATTTTGCTTTCACTTGCATGGAAATTTAGTGATGCTGTGTTTGGGGATCGTGATTTGATTGTTATGTTGAATTTTGTGAAGACTGTCTATTTTTCTACAACAAAGATATTGGTATTGGTTTAGGACAGAACAGCAGTGCCATGCTGTCCTTTATCGTATATTGATCTATTATTGCTGAGTAATATAGCAATATACTCTTTTTTGTTGTTTTGGGGGGAGGGAGGTTGGGGTTTCGAATTTCTAATTTTTAGATTAAATGGGCAGGGAGTTTAGCGAAAATCAGAATATAGAACGAGTTTAAGATTTGATCCATTTTCTATCATTTCTGCAAGATAATGAGTAGTACAAAGCTGCCATATTCAATTCCAATCAAACAACTAAATTGATATTTCAGTTAGTTATAAAATACGGTAATGACAGATGATAATTATTTGGCGTTGTTGAGATCCCATATTTGACTATAGATGTGATTAAAATACAGCTTATAATGACTTAGACAATCCTTACCTCACAAACTAGGTTTTAGGGTTGAATTAGACCCAATTCAAATTGAAGATAGTATTAGAGTCTATCGTTGATCTGATGTTTGGCTACTGTAAACTGTCAAAAGATCAATTTGGCCCCATGGATTTTTTAGTGTAATTAATTTGGCCCTTTATCCACGGCTTTCCCAATGCAGTCTACCTAGTTCCACAGCTTTTCTTGTGCAATTTTAAAGGAAAAAAATCTGTCCTACAATCTCCACACTCCATATGTCTAATATTGAGTGTGACGAGTGTGTTTTGAAATCCAACGTCAACTATAAATATGACCCAAGTAGAGTTTGTGGAGAATTAGACAGTCCTTACCTCATGAGTTACCTTTTGGGGTTGAGTTAAGCTCAGTCCAAATTCAAGAATACTAGGATGTACTGTGAACATCATTTTAAATTACAATTTTTTTATTTTCAATGTAAATTTCTTTATAAAGGGAGGATGGATAATTTCTGGACTTTTTTTAGGCATTTGAATTACTAATTTTGACGGCCAGTATGTAACTTTTCTGTAAAATACAGGTTGAAATTGCCGAGTTACAGAAAGAAGTTTCTGATTTGCAAAATTTGGTAAGAAACTATCAAATGCTTAACCTTTTCTATATGATGCTCCTTCTGCCATGTTTAGTCCAGTCTTTAGTACCCAGAAGCATTTCATTTTATTTGTATACAACAAACACAAGCAACAAGATGGCCTGTACACATCTTGTATTTCTTACCTGGATTCTGCTTCAAACTGATTGTAACCCTCCAGCATGAATTCTCATTTTGCATTCAATCACATACAAAGCCTAATCCTCACCTCTGGCAATTAGCTAGTAAATCATTTCCTTGTAGCCATTTTACAGTATTTGATGAATGTAATATTGTGTTATGAAACCTACTTTCATTAATCTTCTTGGGGGCTAAGCAATTGGACTTGTTTCAGTTGGATGAGTTAAATAATGTGAAAGGTACTGTTGAGAAGATTGACTTGAAGAGAAAAGCTACCAAGTCCAGTAAAGAGGTCCCGGATGATCCCATTGATATTGACAGAAGGGAAAAAGTAAAAGAAGCAATGCTTCATGCTTGGGGATCTTATGAGAAGTATGCATGGGGCCAAGATGAACTTCAGGTATGGTGAATCTCTACTGGAATAATCAACCTTTTACTTTTTAATTAATGATTGTTTTTATAGGTATTTTCCCTTGTGGGCTTCTTCTGATTTGTCCAAAGTTTATGTTGTAAGGCTACAAGTTCAGCTTCTTTCCCTCGATGTATATCTTATGGAGGTCTAGCCAGATCAGGATTTAATTCACTCATATTTTTGCTCCAATACAAAAACATAAGGAAAATTCTAGGATTAATGTACAAAAAAGGGCTATGCCTTGAAACCATTAGTCAGCAAGTGAATGACAACCTTTTTGAACTTGTCCTGATGCCTTATCCATTCTCCCAATGTGTGGTTATGGAGGTGATATGAGTGTGTTCTTAAATAGTATGTGATAATTTTTTTTTTCACAAAAATTATTAATTTATATGTTGTGTGACTTTACCTTTTTTTGCAATTAATGGTTTTTTTTTTTTTGGGGGGTGCTACCAGCCACAGTCAAAGAATGGTGTCAATAGCTTTGGAGGTCTTGGAGCAACTTTAGTAGATTCTCTTGATACATTATACATTATGGGTCTCAATGAACAGTTTCAAAAAGCACGAGAGTGAGTGTAACTTTTGATTCTACTTGAGAACCTGTGATTTTTATTAATTTTTGCGCAATCATATCTTTATTGTATGTTTGGAATCAATAGTGATGAGGTTGTTTCTAAACTCATCTTTGGCAAAGATTCTTGCATGTAGAGTAGAAATTTCATTTTATTTTGTTTTCCATTTTTCTCTCTTTCAATTTTAATACTCTCTTGGGGAGCATGCTTCATGCTGATGGTGTCTCCTAAGGTTTGATTTCTGATACATATTTATTATCCTTTTTTAGTCTTTATTGCTGAAAATTTTTCTGAATTGAGATATAGAAGTTACTTATATTTGCTCCAGTTTCTTGCTTTATGCATCTGTCTAATGTTTAATTGTCATACTCTTGGTTGTTCTTTTTTGCATTCCTTGTCATAATAAGAAATTGCTTTGACAGATGGGTTGCAAACTCTTTGGATTTTAACAAGGATTACGAAGCAAGCGTTTTTGAGACAACCATAAGGTTACTTTATAAGGTTTACTTTGCAGTTGAAGTCCCTTCCCCATTTACAAAATTATATTTTGAGCTTATGGGTTGGACAACTAATATAATTTTTTTAAAATCTTTGTTGGTCTGTTTCCACCAAAATCCAGAGTAGTAGGTGGCCTTCTTAGTGCATATGATCTTTCAGGGGACAAAGTTTTCCTTGACAAGGCTAGAGAAATTGCAGACAGGTTACTGCCTGCATGGAATACACCCACCGGAATTCCTTACAACATCATCAACTTGTCACTTGGACGTGCACACAACCCTACTTGGACTGGGGTAAGTTGCTGAAGAATTCTTTTTACGCATTCCGGTCTTAATGGGCACTTGGAGATTTTGGTTATTACTTTCATGGGGTGTAGTCCTTAATCTTAACTACCTGTCATTGTTTAAATTTTTATTAACCTTAGAGATATATGGCTTTATAGTCTCCTAGCTCTTGATTTCTAAGCTTCAATATTGTAGTTATACGTTATTTTTTAAGTTTCATATTGGTTTTCAAGTAAAATTTACTAGCTTAATGAAAATCTTATTCAGGGCATATTTGGATGAGCTTTTAATGAAAAATTTCTTTATATGAGCTTCTTACATAATCTCTTTTATAAAAAATTGTTAAGAAATTTGGGCATAAATCACTCTTAAAAGTTAGTTTATAGGAAAATGATTATCCTAACTCTTATAAAGAGTATTCTATCTTTATTCCTAACCAATGTAGGACATTTTAACACATTCGGTAGCCCAACATTCAAACTAGATAAGTTCTTATATCATGTTAAGAAATTTTGGCCTACCTCACTCCTAAAAGCTAGGTCATAGGAGGAGAACTACCCTAACCATTATAAGAAGTATTTTCGCTCTATTTTTAACCAATTTAAGACATTTTAACAAAAATAAATAAGATTGTATGTTTTGGTGCAATAGTCCTTTTTAAGATTTGAGCAGCCTTTAAGAATTTTCCCAAGGAACACAAAAGTTTAGCTAGAAAAAGCACAAGTTTAGGACCTTTTTGGCTGAGTATTGACCCATGAAATTACTATTTTCTTATTTTATTTAAAAATAAATAAAATTTCATCTTGGTATTTTGTATGGTGTGAATTTTGGCTAGTTGATATTGCAAATATCATTCACACACAACACTTGATTTTAGATTGGAGACATTCTATGATAATTCTACTAAGATTTTATTGATTAATTTTTTACTTGTAAATTAGTCTTGGATTCTTGCTCTAACTGTATGGGTCACAATCAGTAGAGCTACTTTTTCGAAGTGTCTAATTCCTTTTTGTCTTTATTTTTCCAAGGGTGAGAGTATCCTGGCAGATTCTGGCACTGAACAACTAGAATTCATTGTTCTATCTCAAAGGACTGGAGACCCAAAGTATCAGCAGAAGGTTTTCAAATTTGATTCTATATGTTCAAGTTTTTAATTGATGCCAGGCTATTTTAATTTTGCCACTAGCCTTATTTCTACCTGCTTGGAGCCTGACTGTACATTTAAGCACATAGCTTAGGGCATCAGTTAATTGCTTATGCCCTGTGATTTGTATATTGCATGTGGAGGTGATTATTCTAGCTGTGCATTGATTGGTTTTCACCATGCTATTTCAGGTTGAAAAAGTAATTACACAGCTTAATAAAACATTTCCTGATGATGGATTACTTCCTATCTATATTAATCCTGATAGTGGAAAAGCAGGCTACTCTCCTATTACATTTGGTGCCATGGGTGACAGGTATTAAAGCAATCTAGCAACCTTCTTTTAATGATGTAGTCATATAAAACTTTTGCATTTGTTAATATAGTCTGGATATTGTTAAATTCTAATCATCTTACTTTGTGTTTGTTAATTTGGTCTGGCTGGTGATTGACAAAATCTTGTTGCAGTTTTTATGAATACTTGCTCAAAGTTTGGATACAAGGGAATAAAACTTCAGCTGTAAAACATTATAGGTGAGAATAATGCACCTATTTAACACATTTTCTACCCTTGGTGCTGATTTGTTAATTGATGAGTTCACAATGGAATGTGTCATTGTGGTGGTAACTAAAATAGAATTTCACTTCCATGGATGAATGAATGTTTATTTATTTTAGCCTTAAAAATTTTGTGGTTAAGGACATTTCAATTTTTCTTTTCAAGTAAATATTGAATGAGTGTTCTTTAACTGTTTTTTCCCTATTTCTTTTTGGAATCTTGAAAACAGAGATATGTGGGAGAAATCAATGAAAGGTTTATTAAGTTTGATTAGGAGATCAACACCATCTTCTTTTGCTTATATATGTGAGAAGAATGGAGGATCACTCTCAGACAAAGTATGATATTTCATTACAATACTTGTATTGTCACATTTAGTATTTACCATATGACGTTCTGGGTGTTGGGTATAATTTTTCATTCAAATGAGTACCTGCAGATGGATGAACTAGCGTGCTTTGCTCCTGGGATGCTTGCTTTGGGATCATCTGGTTTTGGTGTCGATTCGCAGGAGTTTCTGTCACTTGCAGAAGAGGTACATGTCAACAGCAGTTTTGTAAACCCTGATGTGCTTGTTCTGTTGACTGACTTGCAAAGCCTTGACCTATCAATTTACTATATGTTATTCACATCAATAAAATTAATAATTTTTTTTCCTGATCTGAAATTGTTGAACTTCTTCGATTCAAATCATGATGTAATCAATTTCATTTCTATATTTTTCTCTCTGGTAGATTATCATGCGTTTCTAAAGCCAATTTTAGTAGAGACTGGAGAGTAGTGGATGTTGGCATGTTGCTATCTATGTTTCCTTTGTGGAAAACTTGTTTCCCATTTCTTTTAGCAAGAAATTTATCCTTGGTTTAAAAAAGAGAATGTATTGAGCTGTAACCAAGAATTTTGTTGTCATTCAAATAAATCTCCAGTGTGAGTGGAAAGCAGTGAGACTCTGTAATATTCAAATACCCATTGGGTATTGCTCTGTGGATTCCTTCTCCAGTGTGTGTGGATATTTTGTTGTTAAATGATTGATTTTATTAGGTAAATCACTGAAGATATATGCCTTTTTTTGCAGCTTGCTTGGACATGTTATAACTTCTACCAATCAACTCCATCAAAATTGGCTGGAGAGAACTATTTCTTTCATTCTGGGCAGGTTAGCTATTAGTTTATTTGTGATTTGCAATTTGAAAATTGCATGATCTGATTTTATTTTTTTTAATTTGAAGGACATGAGTGTGGGTACATCATGGAACATTCTGAGGCCAGAGACAGTTGAATCACTCTTTTACCTTTGGCGTTTAACTGGCAACAAAACATACCAAGAATGGGGATGGAACATATTTCAAGCTTTTGAGAAGAACTCCCGCATAGAGTCTGGCTATGTTGGACTGAAGGATGTAAGCATACCTTAACTTCACATTAATTAATGTCTTTTTGTTTGCAATATTATTTTTTATGTGGTAACTACGTCCTATCAAAAGTTAGAATTATTTGTTCTGGCTCTTCAGACAAAGCCTTTATTGAATTAAGCACTTTAATAGATTATAGAGGTGCCTGTATGTGTTTTTTCCAACTGAAGTCTTAGCCTATTTTCATAGCCATCTGGTGTGGAAAATTGTGTTGTTTTTAGGTTTTGCAGTTAGTTTCTGTTCTGAGAATTTGGAGGTTTTGCAATGCATAAACCATACTCATCAGCAGGGGATTTTTGACTTCTACTATTCATAGACAATCTACTCGATCATGCCTATTTTAGTTTGATGAATATTTGGCTGCTTATTATTTGATCCATGGAGGAAATTGTTGGCATGGGCTGTGGCTTCTTATTCATAAGATTTCTGCCTATTTTCTTCCTTGCTCTTCCTTTGGTGTTTGTCTAATCGTGGACAACTATTTAATATCCTTAGCAACGATTCTGTCTACTCATGAACCATCACTTCTTGTTCTCACTTCTCAGGTTAACACTGGCGTCAAAGACAACATGATGCAAAGCTTCTTTCTTGCAGAGACTTTGAAGTATCTTTATCTTCTCTTTTCACCTTCTTCGGTCATCTCATTAGATGAATGGGTATTCAACACAGAAGCCCACCCTCTGAGGATTGTGACCAGACATGAAGGGGGACATGTTGACAACTTGAGTGAGAAGCAGAAACCTTTTTCTAGACTAAGAGGCAGGAAGGAAGGTTTGTCAGGTTAGATCTCCATTCTTCTCCACCATTGCTGGTTGATGAACCCCTTTCACCAAATCAAAGAGCAGTTTATTCCACTATGGAGTTTGTAAGATGTCAGCATTCCTTCATTGGGAAGCGGTTACGGCCCTGGAGGAGTAAGGCGTTCATTCTGCTGCAGATGGTATCATCTAATATAGGAAATAGTTAACTCTTCATTGAAGTTCATACAAAATGGGTTTATTAAACATGACCTGACCTTTTGTTGATGAACGACCCTTTTGAAATTCATAGCCAATAGGTTGTTGTCCTTTATTTTCTTTCTCTGAAACCAAATTTTCAGAGCATTATTACAACTGAGGCATATAGCTTGGGCAGTGCTTTTACTCGTTAAGGAAGCGCAAGGTAGTGTGTTATACACTTCTATTATTGTTTCTTTAGTGAATTTTGATACGGAACTATAAGTGCATCTCAGTTTTTTTGTGTATGGGACTCGTTACTCATTTAGTCTTTGAATACTCTGAAGTGAACCCAGTCCCCTAAATAGAAAAAATGTCAATCTCGTTGTGGCCATCTCTTTTGTGAACACCGATTCGAATCATGTTTGCCCTCTAATTCTAAAATTGGTAAAATTAATTACTTAACTACTATTGGAAGATCACTTCCAAAAGAAGAGTATAGGAACAAAAATATGTATCAAGAATAAACATAAGACGTGGAGGATCTTTCCTCTTCTTTTGAAATCGTCTCTATCCAATAGAAAATTTGATAGAATGATAAAAATTCGTGAAGATTTTAGGGTAATTTTTAGACAAATTAGAGCGGTCGAGGGAACACTTTTTTATTGTTGGTCGAGAGGTAACACGTTTATCTTTCAGAAAGTTAGAACAAACTATTCTTTGAGCCTTGAATGATGCTTCAATTTCAATGCTATTTTATTTGAAAAATTTGGGTTATTGTCCGCTTAATGATTAATGCGTATAAATACATTTTAATTTAAATAAACTGATTGAAGTCAAAATTTTCTCTTTACGATTCTTAGTGTCACTGACAACTGATTTTGAATTCTTATTATTAATTTTAAAATTTTAGAATTTAACTCGTTTAAAATGACAATGTATAATAATGATAATTTGTTCTTTACTCTTCCCTCCAAAAGTGAGGAGATTTAGGGGAGAAAGAAATTTTTAAAACTAATCAAACGAATTTATCTTTACTTCAATATGTATATTTAACAATTTTAAGTATATGATAGTGAATTCATTTATTTTATTTTCTTTCTTCTTTTTTTTTCATTAAAGACTCTCGTCTCCTTTCATTTGAACCATAATGACTTTTAATAATTAAATATTCTTCATGCATGACATATAAAATGCTTTAAGTATTACGATCAAATATATCATAAAGTTTATATTGTTCATTAGTTTTAAAATTTATGAGTATTAATTATTTTTATTATTGCCTTTTCTAGCCCTTATTTAGTCTTTAATTTATAAAAATTTATTTATTTATTTTATTTTGATTGGATCATGGTTATTATTATTAAAAATTAAAAAAAGTGATTCGTTATTCATGCAATTGGATTTAAAGTTTTATAAAGTTGGAAAGTTGAAAATTAAGAAAATAAAACTAAAATTATAAAATTTAGAAGCAATTTCATTTGCTTGACGATGTGCAAACCATTTTACATTAAGTTATAATAACTTTTTAATTATCAATAAAAAATAAAAAATAATCATAAAAAAGATTATCGTTACTATTTTAAGAGAGAGAGTATCTCTTACAGTAAGTATTGAAAAAGCTTTGCTCTGGAGTGTGTTGTTGTTAGAGAAAGGGAGAAGGTGGAACTGTAATTGGTGGAATATTCATATTCACATTCACATTCAGTGAACAATTTTCTTCTTCAGTGAATGAATACGATATGAAATGAAAGCCTAAGCCCTAATTCAATTTTGACGCGAATCATCAACAGTATCATTGAGACTGGGTTCCATCGATAATTTTGTTTTAATGCGAACATCCTATAATCTCCTTCGTTCTCGATTTCGCCGCTCTCACCAACGACACTTTCACTGTTCCCTCGCCGTTGTTTTTCTCAAAGCAGAGCCTCTGCCGCACCCTCCACCAACCATCGCTGCTTCACATTTTCCTTTCATAAGACCCTTCAATGCTCATTATCACTACTCCTATCATCGCAGTAAGTTCCTCATCTCTCTCCTACGTAACATTTATCTTATCTTATCTCATTCATTTTCTTCTCTCTTATAGCTTTCTTTACTAGGGCTAAGCCAGTCAAGAACATTGAATTCAACGATCGCCACAGGTTCCTTTCTTTAATTTCTCTCTGCTGTTTCTGCTTTTATTATTATTATTATTATTATTATTATTGAATTTATGAGGATAATGCTTCCGTAACTTGTCCCATTTTACCTGCATCTGATTCTTCGTTGTCCATTATTATAGTCAGCGAGCCGTCACAACTGCATTGTGGTGTAACTTTCTTGTGTTTTCTCTCAAGTTTGGAGTATGGTTAGCTTCTTCTAGTCATGTAATGCTAGCTGAAGTCGTGCATTCTGTTGCTGATTTTGCTAACCAGGTAAATTAGTTAGTTGCCAATTACCATTGTAGGAGAATATATAATCCCTTTATGCAAACGAGAAACTAATGTGTGTTCAATAAGTTATTTTGTAGGCATTACTTGCTTATGGTCTAACTAGCTCGAGGCGTGCACCAGATGCCATTCATCCGTGAGTTAAACTATCTTGTTAGGCTTTATGTACTCAGTGTTGAGCTGATTTCATATTGGATTTGCATACACTTGCTGCATATTCGAGAGCTATTATATGTGCAATGGATGAATGACTGGTTTACTATTGTTTTTATCTTTGCATGAATTTTGAATTTAATCGGTCATCTGTGTGTTAAAATGGTGATGTCTTCTATTTCTACAGTTATGGTTATTCCAAGGAAAGATTTGTCTGGTCTTTGATATCTGCTGTTGGGATATTTTGTCTTGGTTCTGGTGCTACAGTTGTTCATGGAGTTCAAAACTTGTGGACTGCACAGGTATTTAACCAAATTGGATCATTGAAATGAAAACATTTAACTTCTGTCATCATAAGTTGTTGTCATTTTTCTTATTTTAATTATTCATCTGTGAATTTTCTCTTATTCAAGTTATTGACTTCTAAGAGTTTCCTTCTCAGCCGCCTGAGAATATGCACTATGCAGCTTTGGTGATATGTGGTTCATTTATCATTGAAGGTACTACTGTCTGCATTTCATCTGGTGCAGGCTATTCTCCTTTGTCTATTTTAGTCCATCCCTTTTTCTCAATGGGCATTTTTTGTTAGGTGCCTCTCTTATTGTTGCCATACAAGCTGTTAAGAAAGGTGCAGCTGCAGAGGGAATGAAATTAAAAGACTATGTTTGGCGTGGCCATGATCCTACATCTGTTGCAGTGATGACAGAGGTGGTAACTTGTGGACACTTACTCATTTTTAGTTCCTGAAACATGTTACAATTTATTTGCTAATGCGTCAGAGAAAAAAATCATTTATAAATAAAAGTTTTGGAATAAAATGAATTACCTATCATTTATTATGTGTTTGGCCATATTTTTTCTCATAAACAGTTATTTACAACTAGGTATGTTTTTCTAGTTATTTAGCTAGATGGAACTTCAACTTATATTGCTCCCCATGCATGGGCCATGGTAAAGGGAAAGGGATGAGTGAATTGATACTTGTATTGCTAAGAGGATTTGTGTATTCATTTCTCCAATTGACTATGTAACATGAATTTATTTGTCTATTTATAGTTGTTTGTTCTCATATATGGTAGCAAAATATGCAGGATGGTGCTGCAGTAACTGGCCTTCTTATTGCTGGAGCATCATTGGTTGCGGTGAACGTTACTGGAAATGCCATTTATGATCCCATTGGTTCAATTGTAGTTGGCAACTTACTTGGAATGGTAAAGAGGTTTCAGAAGACAGCAAAAATTTCCCAGGCATTTGAAGTTAGCATAGAATTGGTATCTATTTTACTTTAATTTCATGCTGCATTAACCATGCAGGTAGCCATATTTCTTATCCAGAGAAATCGGCATGCTTTGATTGGTAGAGCTATGGATGACCATGATATGGAGAAAGTACTTCAATTTTTGAAAAATGACCCGGTACAAGCTTGCTAGTTTCCACTGAAATCACATAACAGCTTTTTTTACCATTCATATGACTAAGGTGACTTTTATGCTTTAGGTTGTAGATTCCCTCTATGATTGCAAAAGTGAAGTCATTGGGCCTGGATTCTTCAGATTTAAGGCAGAAATAGGTGGCCTTTCTCATAGTTGTTATTTTTTTAATATATAGTTTAGGTTGTGGATATAATTCTGAAATTTGCCTTTATCTATCCCATTAATTTGTTCGTTTTTAAAAAAAGAAAAGGCACTTTTTTAATTCAAATATATGTTGAAAAAATAATAATAATTTGTAATTTCTTAGAAAAAAAATTTCTTGCATGGTCTTGGCAGTTATTGACATGAAAGGTCTTATTTTATTTCAATCATCTTCCTGAACCTGTTATATATAAAATCCCTCATTATGCTTTTCTATAATGTTCATCACCACTTTTTGAACATGCTGTCTATTGAGCTTCAACTTATATTGTGGTACTTCTGTAATCTTAAAGGTTTTTTTTTTTTTTTTCAATTTATTTTGTTACTATCTATTAGGATTAGTACTCAGATCCAAAGAATAAGGATATGTTTCCATAAACTTGATGGAAGAAAAATCTTTGTTTTTGAGGATTCTTTCTTTTTTCCCAAAATCTGTCTAATTATTGTTTTTTTTTTAATTGAAATGTTTTTTTAAATAAAATGCACAAGCAAGCAGATTCAATGTTTGAGTTTTCTATAAAATAAATTCAATTTTCGCTCTCTAACTCTGGTAGTGGTAACAACTAAACATGGATGATGTTAATCTGATAGTTCTTAATGAAACAGATTTTAATGGAGTAATGGTGGTGCAAAATTATCTTAAAAGGACTGGACGTGATGAGTGGGCCAGACAGGTGGATACTCTTCTTTTATTTATGTTCATGCAAAGGCCTCTCATAGTATTCTATGTTCTGCTGTTGTTACTAATATTATTCACTTAGTGCTGCTTCCTATTACATGCTAGCGAAACAGGAATGCATTGGCATCTACATTAAAACTATCCTAGGGCATTAGTTCACATTGATAATATCGAAATGACTGGTGTAGGTTACCTTCTTTCATGATCATTCCATGATAGTTCCATTGCCCTGCTTCCCTGCCATTGTCTGGTTTAGAATCTTTAGATGTGTAACTTTAATAATGACTAAGTCGATTTAATACCACCTCTTGGCTTTTGTTATTTACAGTTTCGTGAAGCTGCAAAGCGGAAGGATGATACTGCCCTAATGAAGATTATGTCAAATTACGGTATGCAGTAGATAACTTGATCCTCATAGTCTTGCTGATTGAGAAGTAAATGCATCCTTACAGTTGTAAGATGTGGCAGGTGAGGAAGTAGTTACAGCTTTAGGAAGTGAAGTGGATAGGTTAGAGAAGGAGATCCAGAATCTCGTTCCTGGTATCCGTCATGTTGATATTGAGGCCCACAATCCAGCAGAGGCGACCTTGTCAAGTGAAAGTTCTCAATAAATTCGACATATTCTTCACATTCTTTTATATTAGGGTACTGTTTCCGAAGGAAATACGAAGAGTTCGATGCCTCAAGTTGAGTCGACAGCTTTTGATAGACTAGCGCACAAGTCTTATATTTTCTTCAGTGAAACGTGTTCAGGTTTGTCGAACGAAATCAGAGCTGCCTCTAGTGTGAAAGAGTAGAATCCATATATGCAACAGTGCTATGATGAGGAATGCTAGTTAGAAACAGTAACTTCTTTTTTTTGAGCTCATAGTAAAACGTAAATGAGGAATGCTAGTTATTCTTTCTTTAATGCACTATTTCCGAATACACTTCCTCAATGCCAAAAGAACCATGAATGATATCAAAATAAGCCCTAGTAGTCCGATGAACATGAGAAATCGATAATGGAAGAAACTATCAATATGATTTGTAACTTCATCCCTTATAATACGAAGGACAATTTAGCAGCAAGTAGCGTCGCACTCATAATTTGTTAAAATTGTGCCCTCGTTCAAGATGTAGCAAGTAACGAACTCGTTTCGGAGTAAACATAACGTGGCATTCAATTGGAGGGAAGCCAAAGAAGGAAAACGGACATTTAAAAGAATAAAGGGTAATTAGACAATTATCCCTAATTTTAATAATTTTATTTAATCATATCTTAAGTAGAAAATTAATATTTTCCTTCTCTTTTTATAAATCAAATTCAGTATCTTTCTTTTCCATTATAATTGCACCATTCTTTTCCGTTTCTAACGGAAGAGTCGACAACTAGAGAGTCAACTCTAGATTAGTTCTTCAAATTGTGTGAGCTTAACTCGTTTTAATTTAAAATTATAGTCTCGTTTTAACTATAAAAAAACGTAAGTTGAAAATCATAATATTCTCTTCCAACACTGAATAATATTAACAAGCATAAGTTGCATACATTCAGATCAAATTCATAACTGCTGCTAATTGCAACGAGGGCGTGAAAATTTTCACTTCGCTGCAAAATAGAATCGGTCATCCATTATGTGACACTGACAAATTTATCAAGTTGGATACCGCGGTGTATAAAAAACCAACACCCCATTACACATTCATCCCAAAAATCAACATTCGAAAACCTTCACTTGACGTCAATTATGGAAAAATGACTCGTGAAACACCAAAAGAATTTCTGAAAAAGGCGACTCCAACAAATTCATACTACGAAGTGCTGAACAGAAAGTAAACATTATAAACCAAGCATAGTAATTATGGCAATATTTTAAAATAAAACTCATCACTCTGGAATCTTAAAAATGAAAAACAAATTCAACCTTAATAAAACGATTTATCAAAGTGAGAAATGTGCTATTTCAAAATTTCAGATACGGCAATAGTCTGAACTTGATCTAAACCAGACAAGGAAAAATTATATCCTAATCAATGAATGAACACTGCCACAGCTTAATTCATTCTCCTGATTAGCTCATTGATGTAATTCTCCCGGTTTCCTGCATCACCTCCCTCAACATAGTGGTTCCTCTTCTTCTTTAAGCCACCCAAAGGAGCCTTGAGCTTAAATGGCCAAAGGAAGTTGTTTGCCTCCTTAAAGTGAGGTCCAACAGTTATGATCTCATGGATAAGATCTTCTGTGGATATGATTCCATATTTTCCTAGTGCCTGTCATCGAATCAAGTCAGCAAAACAAGTAGTGAATGAATTCAAATTGCAATATAATTTATAAAAAAATAGTAAATAAATATACCTGCTCAATGATGGAGTTGTCAGTTAAACCAATTCTCTGCTTATTTAACTTTCCATACCCTCTCTTGTAGATAAGTTCCCTCACACTCTTCAGATTTGGGTATCTAAAGCAAAAACAGAAATCTCTTCAGTGGTAAGAAAAAGAATCATCACATTATAAGTGTGACAAGGAAGTCAACATACCCATAAGTTACATAAGGCTCAACTCGGTGCAGCATGTTCATTGTGGCTTTGTTAACTTTGAGAAATACACCATTGAAAATCTGTTTTACAAAATCACAAGCATCAGCACCACAAAATCACTTTCATATTAATAAAAAATTAGCATACATTTGTTCATTGCATGCTCTAAAATGCTAAACAAATTGCACTCGATGCATTACAAATCATAACAAAACTCATCCACGCACCCAATTGTTTTTAAAAACTTAAATAAGACACTGCAATGACTGACAACTCCCAGTCTATATGCAGAATCTAACACAACAAAACAACCTAAAAACTAATGATCTAACATATAAACCTCTGCTAGGGGAATACAATGAGAGAAACAAAATTAGACGAGAAAAAAGTAGTAGTTTGACTTTATTTATAGTACACTTTACTTACCTCTTCTTTTTATTGCTCAAAAATTATAAAAAAGTTCCAGTTCCAACTATCCTACTACTAAGCTCCACTGTAAATGGAAATCATATCAATAAACCGAAGGAAACATCAAACATCCATAGAGCATGCTATGGTTATAAGTAGTACCTGTCTCAATCGCAACAGCTGCAAGATCTTCCTGGTCTTGGGGTGCATGGCATTAATACTGGAAAAACACAATTATATTAATCAGAACGGCAAAAACACTAAGGTTTGGGATAACGAGCAAAACCCTAATCAGAAAAAAAAAACACATACCCACGAATGCGAATAATAAACAACAGCTTAGCCTCTGGATCGACATAAAATCCACCTTTCAGCTTCGCCTCGCGTTTCAACCGAATCAATTCCTTTTCCTGCAAAGTTAAAATAAGAAAAAAAACTAAACCAAGTTAAAAAAGGGGGTGAAATAGAGAATCACAATTATAATAAATTAGGTTAATAAAGTAAAACGATTTGAGAATGGTAGTAACATATACCTGATCATCGTACTCCTTAGCATACAACTTAGCTCTGTTGTAGATCAGCTTGCGGCTCTCGGCTCTCTTCTTCTTAGCAGCATCGAGTTCTTGCTTCTTGGCCAACGCCCACTCCTCTTCCCTCTTTCGCTTCTTCAACACAGACTCAGGAACAATAGCCTTCACTTCTTCACCCATCTCTGTTATTCGTGTAATGAAACAAATGAGTCTCAATCTTACAACATTTTCAAATCTACAACAATCATACCGCGGAAATGGAAGATCTAGAACAAGGGCAAATACATGAAGCATATAGATCGAAAGTTGAATAGGGAATACGAACCTTACCGAGCTAAAGCCTCTCTGCAACTACGAATTAGGGTTTTCTCAGCCGGCTTGACAGTGTGAAGTTGTGAGACAGCTAGCTTTTATAGTGCAAGTGCTCCTCACGCTTCCGATATTTGACGGCTCGGATTTGTTTTTACTTCAAATATGATTTTGACCGTTGATTAAAATGAGGCCCTGATAGATTAGTTGTTTTTCAGTTAAGCCCACGTCCATTTAGATACACACCAAACAGGTCCAACATCTTGATTGTTTTGAGGGAAAAAAAAACACACACACACACATAATTAATGATTAATGTAAAAAAAGTAGATAAACCAATGAAAATTTATCTTAATATATTTTTATAATAATCACTATAAATATTTAATGATTTTTAATTATACGAAAATGTATTCAGTGACACTATAAAAAAGTTTGCATTCGCAATATATTCTAGAAAATTCTAATATATTTTGAGTTTCTGAATTATTATATTTATAAGCAATATGTTCGTATAATAATTATTCAAATAATAGTAATTGTTGTTATATTTATCTATAACGTGAAGCTTTCCTTCAATCAAACTTTAATATTCGCACATATTAATGTTTTAGTTCAACCAAGCTCACATGCTTTCTTTAAATAATAGTCTTCATAACAAATTAAACTTTTAGTGAGATGAAATAATTCTAGTATATATTATCGTATAATCATGTAGTTTTCTTCTTCTTCTTCTTTTTATAACAGTTTTTCTTTTTAATTAATTATTCAGTCAACAACAAAAAAAGTCCCTTAATTCATTTAATTAATAAATTTTATAGTGAACATCTAATATACTAAAATATATAAAAGTCATTATTAAAAAATATTTTCCTAATGGAATTTTAATTTTTTAGCAGTTTTTGGTGAAAGGCGGTACAAAACACGAGACCTGTTTCTTATTATTATTATTTGCACGCGTAAAATTTACATTTCAATATTTTTTCAAACACATAAATATTTTGTTCAAATTAAACACCGAAACGAAACCCTTTCAATCAGATCAACACGTATCAGTGAGCTTATTTTTAAAATGTCGACACAAAATTTGCTTATTATGTATATAAAAAAAAAAGTTGTCAAACAATAAATTAGTGACATTTTGAAATGGAAAAAATATTGTAGAATAGTAGGAGTTGCATGCATGCCAAAAATGCACAAAATAACAATAGTTTGTGAGGTGCTTTGATGTGTGCGCACGAGGAGGAAGTTTCCACGAAATTTCCCATCATCTTTTCCAACCATCTCAAGTCTCCCAAGTCAATTTTCTCATCCTTTATGCTTAAAGAAAGAGAATAAGCAGCGACAACCTCTCAATTTTCCGCAATACACTACTGCAATTAATGCCTCATAGGTGATATCTATAATGGCATCGCGAATTCTCCTTTGTGGAGTTCAGGTCGATTTGTAAATCCGTGCTCATGCAAAATCCTACATCGTCTTTCTCTTTCTCTTGCTGCATCTATATATACTTCTTATCAAATAATTTATTTTCCATTGCACAAAAGTCATTATCACTTGTGAGGATCATCCACGTCTCCTTTACAGAACCATGCATTTCCCACTCCGAAACGAGGCTCCTTTTGATACCGATAGTGATATATACTCAGCAAGTGGGAACTCCATTCCAGAAATATATGAATTCATCGTCTTACCCATATCCATCATCGTTCAGGTAATTAACTGTTAAAAGTCTTAAGAATTCGGTTGCTACTGATTGGTATATTTGATATATTGGTGTACGAAGCCTTTCAGTTATGATAATCGTAGTGCATCTTAAGCCTTTCAGAATGGGGTGTGATTTTGAATTAGCTCTATCCAGAATTAGTGTGTTCCCGATCCTTATTTTAAGTTTTCAACTCGTAGATTTCGTTATTTACCCATTACTGAAATTAATAAACCAAACCATATTACTCAATTTTTTCTTTCCCTTTACTATGATCCTTTAAAAAGATAATGCACTCCTTATGAGATATGATAGTATCCTTTGTACAAATGTAACCGGGCTTGGTTGACACATCTAACTTTATTATTTGATAAATTAAAAAGAATTTACTCTAATTTGTATTTTTTTAAATTTTGCCATCATTGAATAATTTAACAAGGTATCCCAAATAATGGGCTTTATACTAAGGGGAAGAAACATGTAGAGAAATATGGAAGAATCGTGTTGGCAGCTTGTTAGTGTGTGTATATAGTGGACAAGGTTTAGAGTGACTAAGAAGGGAAACTCATCTTGGGGTGTTAGGACTTTTAGATGCACACAGAAACTATTTTGGGGTGTTAGGAGGGTGAGTGATCTCGCTGTTGTATCCGATTATTGATTTTTTTATTTTTATTTTTTGGATTTATGAAGCCTTCATTTCTTAAATTATATATTTTGGGTTTTAAGAAAATGAGGTGATGGTGTCTATCTATAGTCACTGTTATTAACATACATATTTGATGGGAAACATTGAAAATAAAATCATAAAAACACTTTTATTATTCTTAAATTATAAATAAATTAAGATAATAAAATATTTTAATTTTGATATATTTTTTATTTGTTCCATGCAGATTCCTACTTTAAAAAAACTAACTATGGTTCTTCATTTTTTTAAAATGGTTTTTAAGAAATACAATCCAGGGATTGTTATTTGAGATGATTCTCAGAAGCGAAACAACTTTAGAGGCAAATCGAATGCCTGAAAACAAATTCACTTCATATTTATATGACGTTTGCTGAAAAGAAGTATGAACTACCCTCACATGATGGTGGGGTGGGTGGGTGGGTGTGGGGAGGGGGCGGGGGGGGAGGCTTTAATGGGAAGCATAATATAATGGAAAAATAGATGGACTTGTTTTCAAAATCATTTTGTTTTAGATTATTGAAAACTAATGTTATATGTGAAATTGTTTTAATTTAGAATTATAGTTATTTATTTTTTAAAATGATAAAAATAAATAGTTATTTATTTAAATTAAGTTAAAGTAAACACACAAAGGTGATTTGCTTTTAGTATGTGTTCTGCTTTATAGATTATTTTGACCGATAATGAAAACGAGGTCATGTTGGATGGGGACTGCTGTATGCACACATTTTTTTATATTATTTAAACCACTCATTTTATTGTGACATTTGTATCTTAGTTTTTGAAAGTATGTTTAATATTTTTTTTAAATTAACTTCTATAATTTATTATTGAAAAGTATAAAATTATTTAATAAACATTTTTTAAAGTGACAATAAAATGGATGGCAGAAATTAAAGAGAAATAAAGAAAAGCAGTGCGTGAAACAATCTCAGTTGTTTCCCACAAAGGCTTTTCTTCGATCCATGCTTTTTAAGATTGGGTACCTTTCAGATAAAAAATAAAGACAGGGTACCTTATCCCTTGAGTTTATGCCCAATAGAAATATACCGTGTCTTAACATTCACTTCGAAAAAAGTTAAACATCAAGGTCCTTGTTGGTGCCACACGTGATATAAAATAAAGTACGTATTTGAACCCAAAAAGTCAAGATATGTATATAAGAAGTATTTTTCTACCTAGGCTTGGGATTCTTTCATGTCAATTGATCGGTGAGTAAATATACATTCAAATATTAATTTTATTTTATCAAAAAAGTATATACATAACATTATGATTTTATTTGGATAAAAATTTCGAAAAAAATCTTATAAAAGTTTTGAGAATGTACATTTCCTTAACCAATTAGTTTGATTCCAAATTCATTAACGACTCAAATTAATTTACTCAAGTGTGTGTTTCACTAGTAAAATTCAAATATATTAGCTTTTGCTTTTGGATGTTTATTTGAGTCGAGCTAAATTCACAGTAAGCATGTTGTATGAGTCTCTGATGGCACTACTTTTGATACTTTGGCAGCATATTACACCATTTACGTTTGCCAGTTGAAGATAAGTTACGTATGCTTGGCGTGCACAACACAATTGCATAATGCTTTCAGAATTTGTGATCGTGATGGATTTGCACAAATTACAGTAAAAGGTACACTTGTCGCATGGTGTTTTATATAAAGGGTAAAATGTCGAAAATATTTTGTATACATGTTAAGGGAGATAATTTTTACATTTCTTTATTTTGAGAAATGTTTTCGGAATGCATGTAAAAAGAAAAAAAAGAGAGAGTAATGACAAAATTTAAATGTTTAAACTATATAAATTTTAAATGTTTTTGAATAACAAAATTGATGAAATAGTAAATATTTTCATTATTAATGACACATACTTCTATCATATTAGATTAATGAATTTCTTGTACATTCATTACCTATGTATTATTAAATTTATATAGTTTTTTTTTAAATCAAAGATATATTATATGATAAATTTTAAATTTAATATATTTAAAAAGTAAATACTTTACTATCAATAATAATTTTTATTATATTAAACGAGACTGAATTAAAGAGATAAATTATGAAAGCTTTAAATTTTATAAAATTAAAAAATATTGAATGTATGAGAAATAATACAACATAATGAGACAAATAATAATTTCAAAAAACACTTTCATTTCAGACAGCCTCTCAAAAATGTTCTTACTTAAGAAATAGTATTACATTACATTTAATATACAAGCACAAATGTTTATTTTAACAGCTAATGCCAAAGCTTTATGGTCCAATTTGATCGATAAAGAGTATGTTTAGGTAATAGTCATTTATTTTTTTTAAACAAGTTAAATCAAACATTAGTTTCAAATTTGATCTGGTGAGAGATACAGTGATCAATTTTATATAATCAATCTCATATTATGAGATATAATCATACAATGAAGAAGGCGAGAGTGGTATACGAAAAATCCAACATAACTACCACATTGCATCTGAATTTTAAAATGCATGCTGAGAACATATATGTGTGTGCCGATAGTAATGGTTGAGGTGAGTTCGTGCTTAGCAACACACTTGTTGTGTGTGTCTTTATTTTTAGAAAAAGAGAAAGAGAAACAGCAATGAAGTGTAATTGAAAATGGAAATGAAAGAACGTGTCCACCAAAAGTTAACGGAACGAAGCGGCACTCCAGCATCGCCACACAATAGCACAGCGCACAACTCATTCATAATTTTGTTTTGTTAGCTTTTAATTTGTTGACAGTAGTTTTCAGAATTATTTTATTTTAT